GAAGTTGTGGCCTGAGCAATGGCACCAAGAGTTAGACTTGGGTGCCGGTATTGAGTGAGAAATAAGATTCAGTTAAAGATCCAGCGCGGATCACTTACTCTTTTGCTGAAGATGAGGCGGTATCTTCACAGCTGTCCAACAACCATTGAAAAGCTCATCGCGAACCCCAGGTAAGACTTGATCTTGGAGTATCTTGGAGATTCCAGTGATAGCGTCTGCAATAGCAGGAACAGGTGGATGGGATGAAGTAGCGAGCAGTGTGATATCCGGTGATTGAACAGTGAGAACGTCTTGTGGCTTGCCTCGCTTTCCTTTATGAATATGAATTCTTTTAGGTGGTGGGTATGCGAAGTCAAATGTCGCATGAAATTGGATTGCGAGGTAGTCGCGCTAGCTTTGCATAAGAATTGTGATGATTATGTAGAAAAAAATGACTTACCAATAAGCTTGTGTCGTCGTTAGAGAAAGCAAGATCTAAGTATTGTAGCCGATGAATTGGTCGAGGCAGACAACCATCTTGGCTTTGATCGCAGCCTGAGTATGAGTATCAAGCATTTGGAAGTTAGTAGTACCTGCGAGACCTCGTGAGACTCAAACATCCTCGCCTTCCATCTTTTTGTACGTGATAATAGCGCCGACAATCCTTGAGATCTATAGATCGTCGTAAACATACTTTTCACGTCATACAACACGAAGAGCAGATAAGCCTTGTTAATTGTGTTGTTAGCTACTGTGATGAAAGTACAATTGACCTGTAAGTACAAGTATGATGAATATTGGTATTGTGAGAATGAATCAGAAGCTCTATACGTTGCGATACTCTTTACATGTAATACAAGTGTGATGGTATTGTGAGAAAATCGAGAAGCTCTATATACATTGCGATACTCTGTAAGTACAAGTGTGATGGTATTGTGAGAACGAATTGAGAAGCTCTATATACGTTGTGATACTCTGTAAGTATTACAAGTGTGATGGTATTGTGAGAACAGATCGAGAGAGCTCTAGACGGTTGCGATACTCGAAGGCGGGGCTTCCAGGTTTGGAGGACTCTACGATAGTGTGCGTGAAACACAACATGATCAACCTCTCTTGGCAAAAAACCTCCTCAACAGAAGACTTCCACATCTTCCAACTCAAAAGACTTTTGGAGATACGGCAGTAACTCCTTCGTAATGGTCATATGTCTTTACCTTGAACGCCTGGATGAATGCATAGCGCGCTTTACATAGAACATATATCTAAAAACCATACACCAAGTTCACACCTTCAGAAACCAATCGAGTTCTTGTACATTGTCAAAGCAACATCATGCTACAACTAGACAATCACTGTGAAATGCTGCTGAATACAGGACTCAAACCGGCCGACGCCTCGCCTTCTAACATTGGATCATATTCCTCCTCATTCTCACTGCCAGCGACCACTGTGTTCACTTGCAAGGGGATAGAACCGGTGTAACCTGGTAAGCTATATATGTGTGCAAGGCAGTTGCGATGCACATCGTTAATCCGGTGTTGACGATGGTACAGTAACCACAACTCCGCAGCAAGTCGCGTATCCGTCGAATCGAGTTCTGTAGCCGCCCGTTCAATATCAGAATCCTCCATGTCAACCCATGCCTGCAGGCGTTGTATTTCAACATTCAGTCGAGTTATTTCTTCCTGCGCGCGAATGATTTTGAAATACTTATTCGTCATCTCGTGATGGATGCCTTTGCTCCATGGCTTTGCAAGTATGTCATGGCGTGAGCACTTGAGAATCTCGAACTCACCGAGAGCCACACAAGACATGACCTCACTGTATTGAAGGGTAGGCCGTTGGGGGTTTTGAGGGAGAGCGAGCTTGTTGTATTTGTCGAGCGCTGATCGGATCGCACCAGAACACTTCATGATGGCTTTGGAGATCTGTTTCCGAAGTTTGTAGCCTAGAATCACATGAGTGGCAAAATATACATGAAGACTGATAGATACCTGTGGATGCAAGATTTGCCTTAGATAGCTCGAACATGCGTTGCACAACGAGACCTTCAAGATCTTTGATAGCACGAATAAATTGATGCTTTCAGCTGTATTCCAGTGTTTTGATATACTCCTGAGACTGAGGGGACCATCGTGTGACTACACTCATTCGATCTTCGATATCCTCGACAACACTTATCTGGACTTGCAGGCGTCGCTCGGCAGCACGTCGAGCTGCATGTCCTTGCTTTGTCGCATGCAAAGTGTCTTGACTAAGGCCCGAGTCTTGCGTAAATGAAGAGGGCGTTGTGGGTGAGGAAATAGAGATGCGAACTCCGGGGAGTCACAAGAATATCTACCTCGAGAGGCGAGCTAGTAGAATCGTCCCTTAGGGGATGCTACTGAGTCAATCTCCCTAAATAATGAGAGGGATCAAGAGAAAGGCTCAAGTTGGAAAGTGCGCGAAGGTGCAAGGCTGATGTGATGAACACGCGGAACGCGTGTGGTACGTGCGCGATAGGAGAAGAGTGGCGGAGGATAGTAGGAACTCTCCCTTGGATGGGGAACGAGGCTTCACAAGACAAAGAAGAAGATAGACAAAAGCTGTAATGATATTAGCGCTCTAAGCGCGACTAGACAGAAAACTGATAGTGAGTCCAAGTAAGGGAAAAGTAAGTAAGTCCGAAATCCTCTGAGTCTACTAGATATGTAAGTCGCTACGCGCGCTCTCAGGGTAATGAAACGTAAGGGAAGCGGATAGGCTGTGCGGAAGCGCGTAAGGAAGCGGATAAGTATGTAACACTATGTAAAAGACCCTGGATGTGGTCAGAGACGGAGATGACAGTGAGAGTACGCACCAATGGTACCGGACATACAGGACAGGACATGGGAGGGTATACCAAACTTAGCGCTGGGCTGCGGAAGGGTGCGCAATGTCGCGGGTCGTCGCGCATGTTGCGGAAGGTTGCGGAACACTGTGGAGGGTCGCGCGTGTAGTGTGCGTCTCTATAGAACTATGCATGTGTTGGGATAGGGATGAGGTCGATGTACAAATGAGGGGATACGAGCCTGTAGAGATATTACTCTCTACAGCGTGTATGACATAAATTGACTGTTATGTGAAGCTTCAAAAGCGGCCCTGGAACACATTCATGATTTATCATGCAAAGTTAAAAAAAATGACTCACTGGCACTTCTCGAGCTTCTCGAGCGCTTCAACTACTCGACCTGCAGTAGCATCCTGTGCAGGCTTCACGGCCACGGCTTCCAGATAGCGAATTCTTCCACAATCCAACTTTCAAAATCAAGTCCCCTCCCCCAGGGAATGTTGCGTGATAAGCTTCGAGTTCCCTTGGTGTAGTCGGAAATCACAGTTAGCGCTTGCTTTGTAATTATTCAGAATAAACCGGCCTAAATCAAATGATTGAATGACCCGAAATTATCATACTAAGTGGCGCACTTACTAAGTTCAAGGTACTTATCGATATCCCACTGGTCGAAATGAAGCTCCAGGAACTGAACGTAATGGAAATGCGAAGCATGACGTATAAGTGGCGCTGCAGCGTTAGAGGCTGCGAACACACGCTCGCATGTTTCCAAGTCCTCAAGCCCAAATCCATGAAGGTAAAGAGGGTGATGTTGCAGCTGGCACTTGCGATTGTGCGCGTGGCCATGAAATGCATTGACGGCAAGGATAAGATGATGATCAGCAGCTTTCTCTCGAATCGAGCTTGCAGCAACCGTTTTCCTGAGACTACATCCGATGTCGCTACCAATGCCAAGGTGGTCGCCAAACACATCAATTAGTTTATTAATTGTTGCCAGTGGGTACTTTGCCCTAGTAGAAGCAATGAAGACTTGATAACGTAAATAAAAATAAAAAATGTACAGCTCTCCACTGCGCCTCATTTCTGTAAGAGTCTGAATAATTCCATGGCGACATGCAGATAAAAATATTCCCGTCTGCTCGAATACGCGGACGGTGTTCTCGCTCCCAGACGCAGAATTTGCTGCTTGCCAATTATCTGTGCAAGTAAGAGAATTGTTCAGTTGGTCGGGCTGATTGGCAGCACTCCGTTCACCAGGACGTAAGCATACGTCATCTTTAAATCTATCCACGTCAGAAGACACGATCATATACCTACTTGGATAAATTCGGCGGTCAGTGAAGCCTACATTGTCCATTCGTTTCGCAGAATTGTTGCCGTCCATAGCCCTGAGAGATGCGGGAAATAAGGCAACTTCGTCAGGTTGCTGTCAAACGAATTCAGACATGAAAAAGAGGGCACTCATACTATTCACCTTGAAGGTACATGCAGGGCAGCTGTTGCGAAGCCGCCAGTCAGGGTCAGATCGGCTGAGCGCCACATCAATGCGTGATTGAACCTCGCGAATGATAGCAAGATAGACATCAAAAGCAATTGCAAATTGTTCACGGAATGATTTGATATATGTGACCTAAACTAAACAGTGAGCCGATATAGTATCATAATCAGGAGTGGTGTGACATACGTTGTGTAATGCACATAATACTTTCATGAAGGCCTGGATACTGAATGACGACTGTCGACGTCGAAGCTGATGGTAAAGTTCGAGACATTGTAGAGTGATCACAACTGTTGGAGTCGTAGGAGAGCACCCAAGGAGGCCAACTTGCAATAATGCCATGTTGGCTGTTTCCTCGTGATTTTGCGCAATCTCACAAACTGGATGATAATCTATACTGTGTAAGACCTATTGATCATAATGAAATAACTTGGAGTACATACCGAACACATCAATCTTGCTGACGTGGAAGTGGTGTACTGGTTGACGGCCCTCTGCATTTGTGTTGTTGCGAGGGCCATGTTTCCAATGAAGATAGGCATCCGCGAGCGCTCGTATCTGAGCACTCCAGGCTGCATGCATATTTGCATTGCGTGCCTCCTGTGTGCGCTGGTCGTTACGGCGTCGATTACAGCTGTAAAAAAATGAGTGTGATGGTCTGAAATCAACTGTAAAATATTACTTACCTGGTGTTCAATCGCAGGAGTCCATATGAAGAGAAAAGATTCTCTTCAGTTGATCGGAGTGGTCTGGCCCCACTGCTATCGCTCCTGGTACTGGTATCACTGTCATAGTCTTTGAAATTGTGCGCTGTGGAATCGAAATTGTCCTGCAAGGTGTCATGGAAGTTGTCGGCATCAAACACAGTTCCTGTTTCAATAGCAGCCTCAGCGGCAAGCAAAAGGCGCTGATCTGGAGACAGGTGAGGGGAAGAAAGTAAATGCAAGGACAAGGACAAGGACCAAGAGTACGGCTTACCACGGGCTTGTTGTTCTCTCAAGCATTCAGCTTCAAGGTGATCACGGCGAATACGAGTGAGTCCAGCTGAAGAAGTATGTAGACCAGAGCTACGGAGGACTGTCATAGTCACACGGCATGATGTTGAACGGAGAGTGGGCTGCTTCCCCATTGTCAACAGTGGGGTGGAGATGAGGTGATGGTGGAGCGGCAAGCCTTTGCTTTGCATGTGACATAGATCACATGATCATTGTGGGAATTTGAGCTCGTCGTTGTCAGGTGCTGACAACGATGAGCTCGACCGCGGCAGCACTAGAGATGACTAGGAAAAAGCTTAGTAAGCTTGCCCCAGAACATGAACATACCTTACATTCCATAGACCGTTAAAAATGTGAATTAAAGCCGGATATTGCTGGTGGAGATAAGGCAGACAGGCTCCCATGCACAGAGGCAAAAAAAGCGCTTGAAAAAGGCATAAATATGAGCCATATAAGCGAGCTCATCGTCGACGACGATGAGCTCGCATGTTGGTAGGTCGTGGGAGACGGTGCGGAGACCTGACGGGAATTGCCGGCTGCTGATTAGTACATAAGCATAATAATAGCCACCCGGCTATACACCGGGTATAGCTGGGTATATAGCCGGCAAGAAAATACCTTACAAGTCACTGGTAAATGCTGCGGAAATCGCTGAAGTCTTGTGTGGTAGACTTTTCCCTCTAATTAGGAACGTCGTAGCATATGTGCTAATATTACTAAGTAGTAACATAAGCGGTGACGGTCAGGTGATCCAAACAGTGACAGATTATGCGTACCGACAGATTTGGGGACAGGGTGCCGAGTCCCAAGGAAGAGACAACCGCAAAGCTAGCACATGAGGAGCTTCAGCAGAAAAATGGCATGACATTCAAATTGCGAGCTCACGCTCCAAAGTAAAACACGTGTGTCTTGATTAGCACCGCAAAGCAGTCCCTGACGGACCATCTCGATTGTGGTTGCAGTTCACGGTAGTGTTTTATGACAATCCAGACTGCAAGACACAAGGTGAGGACCTCCCATGCGAGCCCACAGACGTATATCCAATCCCTGCCAATCAAAAGTGGGGCATTTCCATCCAGGTAGTAGGACTCGCAGTAATAGTTACCAGAGAGGATGAACTCCTCTGAAATTTGTCTCATAAACCTGGCACGCTTAAAGTTGGCCTAGCATAATTAAAGCTTACCACCTCGAACATCTTGATCTTGTATTGCGAGGGTCACCCCTGCTGCGATCGTGAGTGCCAGGCAGTTTACAACCAAGAATATGAGCATCTTTCTGGACCCCAGGTACATGGCATGTAGCCGAATGATCATGACGACTTGCATGATATTTCAGTCAAATCAGAGCTACTGCAGCTGAGGAGCTCACCACCCAGTATGACAAACGTGACGACAGACACCCAGCTTCCTACCCACGAAATGATAGTGCCTGCAAAAACCGGTTACTGACGAGCCTCGGAGATTCTTCAAACAAACTTGCAGCTGTTGCGGTCATTATGTTTAACCCACGAGCTAGTTAAGAATCTTACTCACCCCTACGTAGAGGTGCAGTTGGTTAGTTCGGATTGGTAAGGTTCGATGCGGAGTACTCACCGCATCTGTCATCGAGACTGACGGCATATTCGCTGCATTCCGCCGGTCAGAACAGCGAACACAGTGTTTGCGAGAAAACATTCCCATTATAATTATGCTGCTCGTGAGAGATGGTTTATTAGCACGTTGCCAATTTACTAGCCATGAACACGTACACACAGTACAATACTCCAAGGCAGCGCACCTAGAACATTCTGCAAGTCTGCACAGCTCGTCAATGGCGATTATAAGATAATGCACGCACACTGAGATATAGAACGGTGGTGAGGGACCAGCGTCGTGTCTGCCCTGCATTGATTGTATTATCCATTTTGATATGGGACTGTACTCACCCAGACCAGTTCGAACTATAAAAATATTCGCGGTGAGATGGCTGCTCCGACAATGGCAACCTACCTCCTGTCCAGATGTTAGTACTAGAGAGTACGATAAGGACATCAGTAATTTTACGATGACATGTATTATGCTCACCCCAATCATAAATCATTACAATACAGGATGCAACTACGAAATCATAATCAATGATCGAATGAGAATATCACCAACATCTCGTCAACGAACCTGTAGAGTAGCTGTTAACAAGGGAAAAGGTGATTAACGGCCACCATCTTGGATCGTTTGAGATTAGTGTCATATTCAAGGGGTTGCGTTGGTGAGCAGTGAACTTGGTGGACTACTTATAACAACTCCAAAGCAGTGTCGCGCGGAATGCTTGAACACGCAGTTTTTGCAGAGCTGTCGAATAGGCCATTCTCAAGCCGGTTCTTATCACGCTTGCATCGGATCTATGACTATCAGCGAATGGCGAGTGCTTGAGATGTGACGTTTATTCAAATTGGTCACTGATGACAATACTCACAAGATGCGCCCAAGTCGGCGAGTTTTTGTACCAGACGCGGGCTCTGAGATTGAAAGTGCGAGGTGTGCAGCGTATCAATTGTGGATACAGTCCATCGCAGTCGTGACAGGGTACTTCACGGAGTCGTCTAGGAGCCACATACGCCAGACGACAGTGATGACCGATGGATCATCGAGCGCCTTGCTCAGGATGGCAGCCTGTCAATGAAAGACCTGAAACAAAGAATCAGCATCGTAAATATACAACCTGTTCACTTTACGTCAGTGTACGAGGCAACTATCTCCATTTGTCTACTACGGTTCGGTGACCTATTAATGATTAATGAAGCCGCAGTGATGTATTGCCCGCAGTTGCTGTCCAGCACATCCATACAGTTCACTGGACGAGCTTAGTTCAACATTACAGAGTACGCCGCATCTGTCATACGAGTCATAACAGTTTGTCATTAACAGAAGCTCTCAGCATGGTCAGCCTCGATAATAGGCTGCATGTACCCGAGGAGAGAGTTGCGTTGTCCGCGTCGACTTTTGCGACTTTTTTCTTGCCAGCATTAGTCTCGTACTTTGCAATGGGCGTGTTGGTTCAACGAAATCGCACTGCAACGACACGATTTGCACTGCTTCCAATCGCTTTGCTGTGCGCATATCGAGCTGGCTCATCGCTCGATTTTTCTTTTGGCATCCCCAACTACCGTTTCCTCAACCAAGGCTTAGTTGTGAGTGGACTGAATGTCATGAGGAGCCAAGGTCTCATCCAAGTTTTACAACTCAGCTCGCCATGTTCACCGTTTCGATGCGATCGACCGCTTGGGCCTTCGCAAAAAATCCATATAAACGGATCGCTTTGCAACCGAACAAGATATCCAACAATAATACCTCATCAGGCAACACAAGCAACCAGTTGACTGATGTTGATGATACCCCACTGTTTACCGCTATCTGGAACGCATGGGATCTTTCAGTTAACCTTCGCGGGATTGGGTGGGACTGGGCGGAAGGCCTGCGCATTCCAAAGAGCAGCCACGAAACACAGTCAACATTAGAGTTCCTGCTTAGCACCCTCGCGAAGCTACTGTTCTATATGCTTGCATTTGATGCCACCTCTGGAGCCACTCGCGACTTTTCTCCGGAAACATTTGGATCAGTTGAAGGGGGTACAATATTTGACGCATCACTTCCACCCCTCACTCGCTATACCCGGTCTGCCATCGTTACGATCCTCTCTGGCTGGACAGCATATTTCGTGATTGACTTGGTGTATCAGATACATGCCATCGAGTTCGTCTTGTTATTCAGACAGACACCGTCTCAATGGCCGCCCTTGTTTGATGCTCCGTGGCTCTCGACATCGCTGACCAGTTTTTGGGGTCACGGGTGGCACCAATTATTCCGGCAGTGCTTCATATCGGTCGGTGCTCGGCCGTTGTCATACCTGCTTGGTCGCGCTGGGGGGGTGATGGGCGCATTCCTCGTCTCAGGCGCTCTGCACTATCTTGGATTGAAGGCAATGGGACGAGGTGGTTACCCTGTTGTTGTTTTTGGGTTCTTTTTCATGCAGGCCATCGGTCTAATTCTTGAGGGCGTGTGGAAGAGGTGTACGGGCACACGCGTCGGTGGAATTTTGGGCTTGCTGTGGACTTGGATTTGGGTAGTCTTTTGGGGTAGCTTCATGATTGATGCATGGGGCAAAGTTGGTTTGATTGGGTCCAAGTCCTTCCCCGACGATTACAGACCGACAATCTTGCTTGCCCACTTTTTAAAACATTGTCTCAATTTACTTGATTCTCTGAGATAGAGATTACCGACACAACGTCGATCGCATCGTTGTATATATAAGGATGACTTGTATGGATGGTATGGATAGATCTAGAGCTTGTGTATGGTCTCCGCGTAATATGATTCAAAGGCTTAGGGTGTGATTGCTCTAAGCAGTACTAGGTTAAAAGGAAACGACTGCCTTTTTTCCCTTGTGGTCGGACCATGGGAGACAAGTACTTAGTAGGTGCTGTCAAGGTATGATGACAACACGTCTGAACATCCATCATGTCATGAACTCGCCACTTGGTTTGTCTGTGGTGTATAAGACAGGCTGGTCCCGAGCCTAGCTCGTACTCTAAATCGCTGTGTGTATTAATATAAACATGAAGCGATCCACCATGGAGCCTGTTCAATACATGCGCCTTGTCCCAACCAGTGCATTCATGTATCAGAAAATGCCATCGTGGTGGTGTCAATAGAAGCAGACGTCACATTAAACATACCTCACCATGAGCGCTCGTACAAAACTTCCAAGTCAAATGTTCACCACGCCAAAAAACTCCAAATAAGTCGGTATATTCTAGATACGACCAAAACGACATTAAGCAAATGGTATATAGCGCCTCGCGCATCGTCCGTGCATGCCTATGCATACGTAATTTTTCAGAATACGGTAGGTGCAATTACTCCACCAAGCTTCCAATTCAAGGGCGTGTCAGTTCTGTCCCACAAAGTAAGGCAGGCTGAAACACTCACCTAATCTCAGCATCCCTCCCGTCACGCACCTGCAAACTCCAATGGTTCTCCACACCCAAAACACGGTGATAAGCGTTCAGGTTCTTGTGTAATGTGAGTTGGAAGACGCTGAAGCTGCCTTGGCGGGAGATGATGGTGCTATAGGCGAGGAAGAAGACCCAGATGCGGTACCACCGTTCACCGTATTTGTCTACGACCTACACGAACGTGTCAATGTCAGTACGGGGCATGGGGAACACATGATAATAAGATAAGAAGACACACATTCTTCTTGTTGTCGACCCAGTTCAAGTACCACCTCCAGATAGTAGCGCTATAATGCACACCCAGAACGTCAATGTTCTTGACTTCGAAACCGGCGGCTTCGACTTGGTTGACGACCCATCCAAGGGAGCAAGAGGCGTCTGCGCCGGGGAAGATGTATTTATTCATGAAGAGACCCCTGCGCGTCGTTAGGCACGATAGATGCAAAACTCTTATGGAACGCACCAGATGAGATCCTCGTATTGCCACGGGGGACGGCAACCGGCGACTTGGAGAACAAAGATACCATCGTCTTCGAGGAGGTCGTACATCTGACGCATGAACGAGCCGTAGCGCCTGATTCCGACGTGCTGTTGAAAGTTAGGCAGGGAAATATGACGAGTAAACAGGACTTGCCTCTGCCATCTCGAGACTGACGATCTTGGTGAAGTGTCCAGGGCCGCCTGGGATATCCCTGTAGTCCATGCAGAGAATACGAGCCTTGTCAGGAGTGACACCGTTTGTCTTGATGCGCTCGTTACCGAACTTGGTTTGGTTTTTACCGAGGGTGATACCTGTGACGTCGCATTTGTAATTTTTGGCTGCGTATGCTGCGAGGGTTCCCCAGCCACAGCCAACGTCGAGGAGGCGGTCTTCGGGTTTCAGGTTTAGCTTTGAGCAAACAAGACGGAGTTTGTTGTCCTGGAGTTCTTCGAGGGAGGCGTCTTTGTTAGCATCTAAGATGACGCCGGAGGTGTAGATCATGCGTGGGCCGAGGAACCTGTGATGTGTGAGGAGAAAACAACATGGGCTGAAGGGAATACATACCATGAGTAGAAATCATCGCCTCCTGCACGGTCGAATGAGCAGAGTGAAGAGACGAATAGAAGGATGCTTACTGTCGTAGTGGTCGCGGACCTGTTCTTCGTCTTGGGATTGGGAGTGAACAATGACCTCGGGCAGGAGGTTCGTGAAGACGTATTTGAACAGTTCTGGAGTCATGACCATTTTGGCCCAGTCGTGACGTTCTTCAAGGATGTCCAACACGTCGCCTGTACGCGTAGGGTGAGGAAAAATGATGAGTGAAAATAGAATGGTAATTACCGTTAAAGTCGATCTTGCCCTCAAAGTACGCGTCATGGAAGACCTGCATTGGGATTTTCGAGTTGCCATGGTATTTTTCCTTGAGTTCAGGGTCGTGGATGGTGATGTAGTCTTCGAGGTCTTTACCGGGCATGAGAACTTTGACGTTCTTGCGACGACCATAGATGCTTGCTACTGCCCAGTAGCCGACTGTGACCGGGATTCCTGTGATGACGAGGAGGAAGAGGTAGGTTTTGAGACCGCCACGGTTCACAAAGGGAAGGATGCGTTTGATGACCCATGGAACGGCGAGGACGAGTGCAGCAAGTTGTAAATTTGAAAAGTAACCGTTACCTTCTGCTAAACCAAGGAGTGGTGCATTTTTTATTGAAGGAACGTTCGTTATACGAACTGGAGTGAACGTCATCCTCGCCGTTGGTTGGTCTGTGGTTAGTAGAGAGAGGTCTCAGTTTTTATGTTTTCTGTATGACTTGTTTGTATTTGTTTGTACTGAAAACGCGCTTAAGTGACCACGATAGCACTAAGTACGCAGCACCCTCTCTCGAGACCACCCGCCATGTCCTACTATTCACGATCTCCTCCTCCTCTTCAACACCCAGTCCCAACTCACCCAGCTTTCATTCCAGAACCACCTTCGACCCCAGTCTCGCCGCAAGGCTATCAACGTTTTGCTAGCTCACCCCCAAACCAGCAATATGCTGCACGTCCACAACAATACAATCCCCCTCCATTCCAACCAGTCCCAATTCCGAATCCACAAACTCAGCACATTCCCGACTTTGCTGCATGGGGCATGAACGATACCACAGCTCAGTTCGGAATGCACCTCGGTCAAACCGCTGTAGCTGCTGGTCAAGACTACGTACAAAAGAATGTTCGTGCCATCTCTTTTTACTCTTTCCTCGCTCACCATGAACAGTTCGGCGGCATGATACCAGTCACCATGCTTAAACACCATTTTAACGTTTCGAATTCCTATGTGATGCACAAACTCCAGCTCATCATTTTCCCTTGGCGGCATAAACCCTGGACAAGAAAAGTACGTCGCACAGAGGCTGGTCACACAGAATGGCAACCTCCTCGCGACGATATAAACAGTCCAGATCTATACATACCACGTGCGTTTTTTCTCCGCTCATGTCACCCCCCTCTCATTCCTTGCACAGTCATGGCACTGGTCACGTACATCCTCGTAGCAGCACTTCAAACAGGCCTTCAAGAACGATTCCACCCTTCAATCCTCGGCGCATCCGCAACCCGCGCACTCCTCGTAGTCTTACTCGACTTTCTCTTCGTCCAGTGCGGCTGTTACCTCCTCAATGTCCAAGGTACGGGTCAGGTGGTCGACTTGATCGCATACGGCGGGTACAAGTTTGTCGGGTGAGTCCGTACCTTCTCTATTTTACTTCATGGCTTACTCTCATCAGTGTGATCCTCACCCTCTTCGCCGGCCTCCTCAACCTAGGTCCAACAGTATACGCGCTCGTATTCCTCTACGCGTTTGCTGCAAACGCACTATTCATCGTACGTCCCGTCCTTATACTATAAACCTATCACTGACGCCCTCGCAGCTCCGCTCCCTCCGTTCAGTCGTCCTACCCGACTCGCCCGCCAACGTAGGGACTGTAAACCCCGCATCTAGAAAACGACGCATCACGTTCTTGTTTCTGGAAGCTGTGTTGCAAGTTTTGTACATGGGGATATTGGTGAGGGTGTGAGTGTTTGGCGTGCTTTCGATACTCGAATTGTCGCGCTATGATCGTAGAAATTGCTATGCTTTGTTTGTGCGAGCGCTGATGGTGATGAGACTGGTACTGGTGGGTACGTGTCAGTTTCTTTGGGAGAGTTGTTAGGTCTACAGAATCTAAATGCAGTCGCTCGTATCGCGAAGAACGCGTCTCGATGATGCATCTCGGATGCCGTGATGATGGGGTACGTTTTTTCTCTAACGGGTATTACCAGGTGGAGCTCGGACGCCCTCGACGTCGAGTTGGCACCCAACTCTTGTATATTCGCCACATTTGTTGTGCCCGACACGTGGGCCGTCGGTAGGTTCGTGAACAGCCTGGCATATAAGTACTACCACGTATGCTTGAGATCTCAAATTGACGAGTCTAGTGAGTGACAAGGTCTCGTTGCCATTCATAGAACACGACCTGTCGATAATATCGGTCAGTGGAGAGATTCAATACCAATTTGCGTGCACGTTCATAAACAGGTCTTTGTGACTAGGTTATGGTCTCCTGTGCTAGGCAGACTACATACTAGAAAGAAGACCGTCTTTCCTTCTATGTCCGGGGCTTGTCAGCAACTGTTTTCCAGGCACTATACTTTGGTTCATGCAGAAATGCACACCTGCCGTCGTCATTTTCATACTGGGCAGTGAGTCCCTCAATTGTAGACTGCTATAGTTGTGATTTGACTGAAACAACTTATCATGCACAGTCGTGATGATCATCCGGTTACACGCCATGTATCAGGGATCCAGAAAGATGCTCAACTTTCTCGTTATAGCTTTCCTGGCTCTCATGTTCCTAACCGGAGTTCTTCTCGCATTTGGAGATCGCACTTATGTTCGGGGTAATCTTTGATTGCATATCAAAAAATGAAACGCGCCAGGCTCATGTAATGTATCCCAGAGATGTTTATCCTCAATGGCGCCTACACGGTGACATATCAGTGCCTGAGCCTCCCTGTGGATGGAGATGCCTCAATTATGATTGACAGTGATTTGGAGTACGTGACTGGACTCGCATGGGAGGTCCTCGCCTTGTGCCTCGCAGTCTGGATTGTCATAAAACACTTTTGTGAACTACAACGGCAACCGAGAGGATGGAACATCAAGGATTGTTTCACAGTGTTAATACAGACGCACGTGCTTTACTTTGTAGCGTGAGCTCATGATTTCACTGTGATCATCTTTTTATTGTGCTAAAGTTCGACATGCACTAGCTTTGCTCTTACCTCCTCCCTCAAACTCGGAAACATATCCCAAAATATGATGGTAAGTACAATCTGTGACTGACTCACCTGGTTCTTACCGCTTGTCGTTATACCTATAGAATGACTCAATTGTCTTGTACGAGGGCTTCATCCAAATTGTCACCGTCGTGCAGTTGTTTGTACTTGGACCACGCCTCATCCTTAGCGTTCGAGTATATCACTACCAGCTTCTGGCCGACTCCGACGAAGGAACTGCCATGACTGCAATTGCTTTTCAGGAGTGCTCACGGGAGTCGATTGGCAGTGATGTGTAGCGCGGAAGTGGCTTTGCAGGTACTGCGTTGAGTACTTTGGTAAGGGTTCAGTGGTGCGCCCGTGAGGTGGAAGAGGTGTAGAAGCAGTGAAATGGACATGTTCAAATTGCGTTCAAAGGGTGTTATACTACCTGATGCCAAAAATTGACATATGCTGTGCAATTGTTTCCCCCTCGACCAAGGATGGATGAAATTACTTGTTGAATTCCCAAAACACAAGCAAGTACTCTCCTCGTTGACGAGGCCGCGCGCTGGGCTAAGGATTCCAATGACCGGAACTTCAACTGATACACAGACGAGTTGGAAGCTTAATATTTTCTGCTCCTGGCTGCACTCCTGATACTGATGCTCAGCAAACGGGGCCCAACCAATCAATCCGACATTTCGACACAAGAATGGCACCATGGCATCCGCATAGTATAACACTGCGAAGAAGAACCAGGTGTGCCATATACCAACTTCATCTAAAATCAAGGAGTATCGTGCAAGTTCCTGTGTTATACGTGTTCAACATGACAAAAACTGAGAAACGCCAACCGCAAGATAGGATGGACATCCACAATTCATTTGAGGCCGCCTACATACACCTGTCATCAAGGTGGAACAGACAAGGATAGCCAAATAACGTATTAGGGACTGTATACCTCGACAGTGGGACTTTTCCATCTCGTGTTGAGATGGGTATTGACAGGGCGCGCCATTGACAAAAAATGTGTCAACAGTACTAGTACCATGGTGAAGAAGTTCAGTGCATCATATATAGCGGGGATGATCCTCAATCATAGCGGGTCTGAATTTGCACTGCGACGAGGAAATCGATCAACCCCGCATCCAGAAACCGACGGGCATCACATTTTTGTTCCTAAAGGATGTTATGCTGTGAGAGTTCGTTCTTGACAAATACTTGATCTCCACCCCCAGAACAAATGGACTTGAGGAACTGGCCCGAATTTGATACACTGAGAGGCCGAGAGGAACACTGAATGCCAGTGCCTCAAGATGCTCACTAAGGTTGAATATCGCAGGTTGGTCAAGGCAAGACATTAATGAAGGGAATTCTCGTAACGGATGAAATCTACTATATGTGCTCAGCTGTTGCAGACCAACATTATTCCTCCCGTTGAGCCATCCTTCTCAACACCCATATGTATCCATTCTTGACAAACGCGGACACAAGTCATCCCCACCCTCGTAAAGGCCACTGTCCTGATGACCGCAAACGTGTCAAACGAGGACGATGAGTTGCACAGCACACAGAAAGCACGTACCGTATGATACTCGCAGGCCACCTTGCCACCCTTCTTATCCGCGTAGCTGCCAGGCCATCAGACACTTTGCTCAATGAAGATGTGAGTGGGACGTACTTGCAAACTGTGAACCCGTTCTTGGAATCCACGGAGCTGCTGACTAGCTTGTAGGCCGCTACACCGTCAACTTCCAAAGTTTCTTCACACGTTGCGCATCCCGCGTTGGCGCCAGCGAGGAAGGTGAGCAGGGCAAGGACGACGAAGCGGGAAGTGAACATTATGGGATTTTTTGTGGTGTATGACGCAAAGCCATGGCATCCATGGTATTTTATAGGCTGAAATTACTGGGGCCGTCGCGATTTGCGAGATTTTCGCTTCGCCTCAGCTTCAAGCGCGCACATAACATTATTCGGTGATGCTCGCTTTGCTGCTTCCGAATTTATGTAACATAATCATGTGACGTACTTATGATTTAACAATTTTTTTTTGCTTTATATAGCGCTGATCGTCGTACTGCAACCGGATGTGTCTTAATGTCATGGATTACATGCACTATATAACTTGTCTAATTCAACGGCCCTCTCATCAGCAAATGCACTGAAATGAACACTTGACTTACGCGACTTACGGACACTTACGAACCCTTACAAATTCAGTAGCGCACTCATGCGATTGGTGGAGATGCTGAACACCAATATAATTAGTGATGTGCCAGGCCTGGCCTGGCCTAAAAGCCCTGGCTTGGGCCTGGCTTCAGAGGGCTCAGGCCTGGGCCAGGGCTTCTGATATAAAAATGTGAAAAAGCTATATTTTTCTATTCTAATACCTAGACTTCAAAATCAGACTCATCTGACAGCAAGACATCACCACCCTCTCCAACCAGTTCCATCTCTAACTCAGCCTCCAGAACAGAAGTAGGAGCAGGCTCACGAAAAATCAAGTCTCGCTGAAACATAAAGCGAAGAACTTGAAGGGCCTCCACCACATCAGGCTTTAAGCGATTATGACGCTTCGTAATTGTCATTCCAGCTGCTGAAAAGGCTCGTTCACTGGAAACTGAGGAGGCCATAATGCAGAGATAGTCACGAGCCAATGAGGCCCAGACAGGATAGCGCTGAGCATTGATCTGTTGAACTCACTTAGTAAGGCATCATATATGAAATCAAGCACATACCCCCCACCACTGGACATGTCTTTCGGGACAGTCTCAGTGGTGTTAAGATACAAGTTGAACTCTCGCATCCAAGGTGCCTTGGGATCAACAGGATCCTCGGTCTCGAACTCACTATCACTGTCCCCCTCGTCACTTGACAGCTCCCGAAGGATATTGGCCAACTTCCCTGACCCTATCTTCTTGGGTGACACGAGAACCTCTGTCTCCCCAAACATCTGGATATGGCGCTCCTTGAACTACCAATAATTATGTCAGACTAGACTTAAAAATAAAAATTACAAGTGGAAATCTCGACTCACAATTTTTTCGGCATGCTGGAGAGCCTCCTGGTGTAAAGCCTTACCCCAGAATCGCTTGAAATGACCATCCTTGTGGTTCGAGTCAAGTACTTAACATGTATGAGCAGAAGATTAGACAGTAGAAAATATTGACGTACACATGCCAACGATATAGGCATCAGATTCTGCAGATTTCTTGTAGTATTCCTGGATCTTGTCAGTAGCAGCTGTGAGTCCAGCATGAAAAGGAGAATATTTGGGGTTGTTCGAACGAGACACCCAAGCCTTGTGAAGGCCTTCGAGAGCTGGGAGGGCAAGATGAAGGGAGGGTCCAGTGTCAGAAGAGAAGGCTTGTTGTGCATTGTCTGCATGCTGTTTGACTTGATCACTGAGTGACGAAGAGAAAATATAACCAAGGGACAGACCGCGAGCAAGTTCACGAATAATTTGACACGTTCCCATTCATCAGGCTCGAGCTTGAGTGCGTCAATCTTCGCCCGTTTCATGAGGTTCGTCTCCTTCTTCCCAAGTTCGTAAACAAAGGTATCAACAAACTAAATGACATTATTTTAATACTGGTTCAAAACACAAACTCAATAAACTTACATGCTTCTTCTTCTCGGCTCGGTCCAACATCACATATGTGGATGACCAACGAACAGGCATGTCGAGAAGAAGCTGGACCGAGGTAACACCCTCATTTGGTGGACGGGCCTGAATATCTTTGAAAAGCTGCTTTCGGGATGCAGAGGAACGTTCCTAGTAAATTGTCAGTCATTACATAGTAGTAGGCAACTGTTAGTACACCACCTTGACAGAAATAGCACGAATGAGACCTATCTCGTCCCGTCGGCCATCCTCAATGTGAATAGCAAGTTCACCTTGTGCAGGATCATAATATGCGGCCTTGCTGTATGTTGATATCAGGGCACGAGTGGCGAGATGGATAACATGGGCAAGACACCTGTCACAATGTGAATATCTGAATAGTATACATAGTGAAAACCAAACCTGATGTGGTGTTTCTTTGGTATGAAAGTCTTGCCATCACGAGCCTTGAGTCGAAGTCGAAGGGCAAACTCGTCGAGCATTGTATTGTTATTCGAGGCATTGTCACATGTGACATAGCCAATCTGTTAAAAATGTAAACACGAACAATTTCGCTTCAAAAAAACAAACCTTGTGGGCAATTCCTACTCGATCAACAACCTTGAACAGTGCCTGTCCCAGTCGTGCACCATTATGAGCATTATTGAGAGGGGTGAACCCGATCACAGCACTTTGAACTTCCCAGACACCAACTGACGGCTCCTTGATCCAATGCCCAGTAACGGCAAAATAGGCCTCGACATTCTCAGCCTGCTATGCATCACACGTCAGATTGACAGCGCCTGTCACGAGTTTGCTCTATAAAACATCAGCAGACACTTAAATTTAATCAGTCAACAAAACCTACATTCAACCGTTCCCTCAATTTTGTCAACTGCTGCTTGAACATGTTAATAATCTCGCATCGAGTCGTCTTTCGGTTGGGCACAATAACACCCATTGTTGCACATGAAGCGATGTCGACCATTTTCTTGAAGCTCGGATGTTCGACTGCTTGAATGGGCTGAGAATTATGTCAGTAATATGACATTGTCGTGTCGAGGAACAAACATACCTGGTTGGTAGATGCAAGCCACTCGATTGCAGCCTCACGAAAGAGTTTGTCGGAGTATGGAAGAACCTGTTCGGTGGGATTGAGCTCGCGGAGATGGTTGTCGAGACTCCCCTGCACTGCATTAGCAACAGCGGCAGCATTCTTTCGATCCTTAACATCTTTTGGCAGCATTGAGGTAAATGTGTTCTTCGTGCACCATGTATGATATGCAGGCTAGCATGTATTGAAATTAGCACATTGAATAAGTTAGAACAGATTCATGTACCGCATGTAAGTAGGCCAGATGACGACGACATGTCGAGGTGTCGTTAACAAACTGGTGTGGTCATCCGCTTTTTCTGCAACATATAAGTGAAATAAAATTACAATGTGCGAGAGCGAGTACTCACTTGCATAGATCACAATCTCACACGTTGCGAGTCTTGCCATCCTTGGACTTGTGAGTATAGGATTTACCAAAAAACGCGCCAACGTCACGGCTCTTGTCCTCTCGACGAACTGTGGTGGCTTCAGAAATATCCTGGACATTGACATCTTGCAAAAGATCGACGTCGTCAACAGGCGTGATGTTACCTGCGCTCGAACTTGTCAGTAGTCAGTAGGTACAGGAGAATACTAAAAATACATACCATCAATTGTGTTTGTAGCATCGAGGCCATCAGACGTATCATTAAGACCTTCTAGATATGGTCAGTAGTAGCAAATAGAAAGAATGATTAAAACATACCTATGCGGGAATCTAATGACACGATAGAATGTGTGTCATCTGCGAATGATGACTCGCCTGATCGTCGAAGGCGTTTACCTGTGATACGAGCAAAAATACATGTGAACAAAAACCAAAAACGTTCATTTACACACCTTTCATTTGCTTGCTGTTGCTATCTAAATCTTCGACATCTGAAGAACTCAGACTCCAGTCAGCATCCATTGCACTGCGCTTGGGACATGTCTTTGCTGGCTGGACTGTTTGTTGAATATGTTTGTGACTGGTGAGTTCTGGAGTCGCGCTGTTGTTTGAATCAACGAGGCGAGAAGAAGGTATGATCGTGCGTCTGGAACGGGCGGTGATAGGCGCTATGTCGTCGTCGTCGGACATGACTGTGGGAGGCATCGGGATCAAAGTGGTCCGTTCTTGCAGGTGGTTCTTACTCAAAACGTCCAGATGTGCAGTGGTTATTAACTGTACAGTACTGGGAAAAAAATACTTGCCGGCGGCATTCCTTATTTGGAAGCCAGGGCCTGAGCCTCGGGCTTGGGCTTTCCAGAATCCCAGGCCAGGCCCAAAGCCCTATCAGGCCGTTACCACAGGCCTGGCTTTGGCCTGGCCTATGAGGGCCTATGAGCCAGGGCCTGGAGGCCTGAAGCCAGGCCTGGCACATCACTAAATATAATTCACCATATCTGGCTGATAATAGTTATCTTTCGCTAAGATGCGATACTCAGAAATGCGATACCATAGATGTGATGCGATAGATGCTATTCAATAGATGCGCAGACAATCAAATGTACCACAGGCAGATAATCAATTGTACTACGGGCAGCAGGTAGCGTCTACATTAAACCAGAGTGCATTGTATTGAAGACCTCTTTGTCAGAAAACGTATTCAAGTAGTATTCGTCGCAGATCTCCATCGCGTTTGCGGCACTAATCGTACGATCCATCTTCGACCCATACACAGAAATAAGCTCGATGGCACAGGTGACCACTATGAGTGGAATGATGCTGCCGGGTCGGAAGACCCGGCCTGTGCCATCCCAATGATAGATGCGTTTCACGCGGTACATGCCAGCGCTCATATCCTCAGTAGGTGTTGCTGTGATCTGAAAGTACTGAACGTATAGCAGGGGAGAGTCTTCAAGATAGCGGGGCAGTGTATGACCTTTCTTCGTGACGGCTTGAAAAATGCAATGGACTTGTGTGATGTAGGTATCTGCACAGGCTTGTAAGCGCATGAATAATGACGGCAGTCAGATACTCACCATCGTTAGCAGGCAATTGCACGAGCACCGCGTCACAATTACCCAAAGGGAAGGTGTCCGATGGTGGAAACGCTTGAACAATTTGGCTGGGCATCATGACTCGCGACTTGAAGGTAGATAGCAGCTGTAAACGAAATTTGTTCCATGTCCTGACTGAATCTCACGTACATGTCCAGGCCGTTGTCAGGGTGTTCTGGGACGAATCGTTGATATATTCTGTGAGCACCGTGCCAAAATCAGGGAGGGAGTAGAGAGATTGCAAATCAGTGATAGAAAGGGACTTGTGATCGGGGGAGATGGTGATGTGAAAAGCAGCATTAGCTTCAACGGACAAAATTCCCTTCAGAAAATGGTTTCGGATGGGACGCGGGCCATGAAAGCGCTTCTGCTCGCCGGGGAGCACACGCACTATCCAGGCCAGTGTGGGATCTGTCTCTGCGACAATACTATCTTCGGTTGCAATCGCATTCACGAGCGGTGTGCCGTGCGAATGCAAGAGGGTATACAGATTGAAACGATGCATGGTTTCATCGCGATTGAGTATCTGGATGACCTGTAGGGTAAAATTCCTGGCTTGGCGACTAGTCCGTTCGAAAGGAAATTTACAGTGCGTGATCAGGAGCCGTTCGCTGACATCGGCTGAGAACTGTAGCAAACTACCGAGATCTTTGATAGACCCCGCAAAACTGTGAAACAATTCGATCTTCGGGATGGAGAAGTTGTTGATCGTTCCACTCTTGCCTCTCCGAGCACCAGCGTCGAGTATCGCTTGCTTCAGCCTATGAAACTCGCCGAGGGAGTGCACCATAGCATCAATGGACGAGTCGGTATGGATGGGGCTCTGTGCCTGGTACATGAACTCGGTGAGGAAACAGATAGCATGTACGAAATTGGGGGTTGTGTTCGCTGCACCAGCGATCGTGGCAACGATGGTCCGTTCGATGTTGCGATGTTCTTGGCAGGTCATCTGGCTGATGTGGGAGATACCGGACCCAAAATGACGCGTCCCGACTCGTTGATGATGCGCCTTGTAGCGAGCATCGAGTTCATCCTCCCCAACAACCTCCTTGCACCATTTCAAAGGATGGTCGCCAAAATATTAATATTTGTGACACGTGTGAAGCAGTTCGCCGGGCAAAAAAGAGCTTGGATCTGCATACGGCCAATCTCTCCAATATGGCTGATGAACACCGCTGAGCAGCAATGCTTTGGCTTCACGTTGGAAGAGCGGTACATTCCACGGATCAACACGTTGGCATAAGTCGTAGATGAGCTTGAGTGTGTGGTCGCCTGTTCGACGGGGGAAAAGTTGCGCACTACCAAAGTCACTTTGGGTAGCCATTGTAAGTGGTGATGCGCTCTTTGAGACACAAGCAATGAGCTGTGCCTCAGGGAGATCGGCTGTGTATGCGACGAGTGGAGTGAAACAGTGCCAGAGATAACCCATGGGATCTGGCATGTATTCGCTGATCCTCGTAGCCACCTTGCATTTGGCGAATATCAAATCCATGCACTTGTGGAACAAATGAGTGTGGAGGAGCGTTTGAAAATCCCCGTGAACGTCAAACTTTGGAATTGGGATGAATGCAACACAACTCCATGCATGAGCAGTGGCCTTCATCCGAACTTCAGATTGGATATTGCCGATCGTAAGGAACACTGGGTGCATTTCTAATCCACCTGACATCCTGGTTACGGGTGTTTTGTCCGATGCAAGGATGATTGGTATGATGGTTGCACCTTCTGGAAGGTTGTTCTGCAGAGCGCTGAGTGATTCTGCCTTACTACTAACAAAGAGCCATACCTGAATAGCGAAAGCCCTGTTGGCAGTAAAGAATTCGCCGTATTCGCGTTCAGAGCCGACCATAACAATGTGAGGATCATACATCATATGGTTGGAAAATATTGGGTTTGCGAAGATATCCTTGACAACTTCGAGGCCGTCACGCCAGATTAGCTCGATTGGCCTTATGGTTGTGTAGTTGGTAAACTCGAGTGTTGTTGATTGCCACTAGAGTTTAAAAGTCCAGTTGCAAAATCGAAAAAAGACCGCAACCGGACCGAAACCGGACCGAAAAAGACCGGACCTCGGTTGCCGGTTGCCTCAGGTCCAGGAAGGTCCAGTTGCAGTTGCCTAACTTTTGCGAAAAATGAAAAACCGGTCCAAGACCGGTTGCCTATATATGGGTAGTACTCATTTAGGCGATTCTATCGGTGGTCTGATCTTCAAAATCGGTTGAGATTTGGGAAAGTTATAAGCATTTTAAGAATGGCTCGTATAAGTCTGTGGGGTGTGTTTTTACACTTGTTGGCACTGAACCAGGGATTGATTTCCAAGCTTAAAAACATTTACCAGTGTGTTCATAGACCTCAAAAATGGTATGGAACATCAAATTTAGATAACTCTTGATGATTATCATGCTCCAAGACTAGCACAAAGATCAGACATGTTAGAACGGCAAGTCAAAATCAGTCAAAATCACCGATTGGCTCATAACTTACCCAAACCTCGAGTGTTCAACAAGATATGAGTAGCTATAGACTTGCCTAGACTAGGACTACAATTAACATTAAGACACCTAAGCCTTACGACAACTTTTATTTTTCAAAGACAAGCCTGATAACGATTTTTTGTCAAGCTTATATCTTGCTTATATCTTACCCTATTGACAAGATAAGACTAGCTATAGTATCGCCTTGACTAGCAGCACATATTTCGTCAAGAAACTTAAGCATAGTAATGACATTTCATATTTGACTCACATGCAGGGCGGAGTTTAGGAACCCTTTTTTATAATGCTCATATCTTGCTCAGATCTTAACCGTTTACTACAAATATTAGACCGTTGGAATCGTGGGAAGGGGTACTACACTGCCACAGGACCGGTTGTGGTGGCAACCGGTCTAAAACCGGTTGCAGGACCGCAAAAGACCACAAACATCGGTCTTTACGGGTCCAGTCCAGGTTCGCTGATATCGTGGGAATAAAAAGACCGGTCCTGGTCCGGTTGCCTCCAAATAAGGCAAAAGACCGGACTTAACCGGACTTTTAAACTCTGATTGCCACGCTGGGCCACTTGGTAATGCATCGATCCAGCCAAATAGCTGATCTGCGCTCTTGAAGGATGGGCTGGGTCTGGATTTAAACTTGTGCAGGGCTCATGGTCAGCGCAGTCAGAACTGCAGATACAGATAATACTGCTCACCCAATCTAGCTTCAGAAACTTGTTAATATCAGTTTGCGTCAACCGCTGGATGAGAAATTCTGCTAGTTGCCATTCAGCCTGATCAACGAAAGGGTACGATGAATTTATTGCTCTGCAGCGCTTTTGGTCTGAATCATGATCCTCCATTTCCTGTAAGACATTTCGTCCCCGTCCAAAAAGGTAGCCTGATTTTGAATGGTACTGGCCAGTGACCTCTTCCCGGTTGTTATCGCCTCGTTGGAAAGCTGGAGGGACTGGCAAGCGGTAAGTGTTACGACAACGGTCGTAGTCGGACTGGGATGGGTAAGCGAAGGACGACGGTCCTAAGCTATCTGTCGTGTATCAGTTGAACGTCAATATACCTGGTAGCCTAAGCTGTCAGGTTGTGACAGAACGGAAGGGGAGGTAAGCCCCTAAGGCAGCGGCCGAAGAAGGGTTTCGTGTTCGATGGTTAAGTCTAGACGAGGGATCGGTATCGACTCAAAGACAAACGGTCTGAGAGAAGATGTATCGGACTCGAGGATAGCGATCCAAGAGTATAGAGGGTTCGTGATCAGACTCAAGAGAGTTAACTCAAGAGAATATACAAGTCAAGGTAAAACCCAGTAGAATCAAGTTAAGGAATAATAGTACAAGTGGATCGACTATATATAGGTAGGGATCTCAATGTTCAGGGCAGGTCTGGTAATTGTACAAAGGTCAAGAAGGATATATCAGGAAGGCAAGAGCAGGCAGGAGTCCATGCGGTCAGGGATAGGGCTCTGTGGGAACATCAAGGGAAAAGGAAGTCAGGCCATGAGGCCATAGATCAAGGGTTCAAATGGAAGCGTCTAGCTTCTATCACAGAAGGTCAGGGTCGGCGGGGATCAGGAAGTGCGTCAAGCAGCATGGTGAATCGTGAAGAGGTGAAGGTGTGACGTTGTGACGAGGTGAAGGGTCAGAAAAAGATAGGGGTGTCATGTTACTGTAACAGTAAGTGGGCTCGCGGCTCCAACAAGAATGCGCCTGATCATTGAGATGATCTACAACAGCAAGGTTTGACGCGAACCCTAGTCGGCAATTTGGACATTGTACAGAGGGAACACTAACAAAGTCGGTCAGTTACTGCTGTACCATTTGATGAACTCACCTGTGATGATTTCGTATTTCCAGCCCAGTTGCAGCGCACCCTTCTGCCTGTTCCATCGTGGTGTGCTCGCGGTCTGTTAGAAGAAAAAATCACTAAGTTCTTCAAACTCCGACATCTCTTGCTGAATACTCACCACCGATAACAACGTCTAGACAGCGTTATGATTCCAGGTTCTCTCAATAATGCTCTTCCATCGTCTGTATCTGTTACATCAGGATCCAGTGGTCGAACTTGTGTCGACTCCTTCCAAATTTCTAACCCTTCCAAACCACTGGAAGAGAAGGTCATGACTTTGACCTCCCCGCCTTTAGAGCCCAAGTTGTTTCCCTTTCCACGCTCAGAGTCCTACTCTCTGATTTCAAACCGCTCTGATTCCGAATCACTTATCGGCAGCACTCGCAGTTCCCGGGGTGGAGTGCGGTCTGCAAACAGAAGCCACCCGTACTCGCGTGTTGGCGCTCCCACCCAGCTGGAGCTGCGTTTTGCCCACAAGGCAATTCAAAGAAACTCTGACATCACCCTTACTGATGTCATAAAGGCAAGCAGGCCTTTTATTTTGTAACTGATGAGTTTTTTTAACTGCAGCAGGGGCGAGACATTTTTTTGAGTGGTCTCTCATCTTTGTCAGATGACACCATAACATTGGTGGCGCACGCCAAACATGCTACACGAGAAAGTCTCCGTCACAAGGTCAAGCAGCTCGGTTGGGAGATCCAGGAGGTACAATATAGCGAGCTACTTCTCAAAGTGTTTGAGCGGAAGGAAAAGAAGCGACTGAACATGGCAGAGTCAGATTTTCGCCTGTTCCAGAAGCTCTTAGTGGGCCGCAAACTTCCAGCCCTACCGCAGGATGCTGAATACTTGGAGGGATCACACGATTCTGAGCTCGAATCCCTAGCCACAGCTGACGAGCAGCTCTACCAAATCTCGTCAATCTCACCGCTAGGCTTACGAGGAGGAACAATCTGACAATGGTTCTGTAAATAGCGATTACAGTGATTTGGACGGTAAGAGAATATTCTCTACCCCCTAGAGCACAAAAATAGCTCACAAACCTACCCTTTCAGGCTGATCGTCGCCCACGAGTGTGGTCAGATGCTACCCATACTACTTTTTTGGTACCAATTCAAATACTTCTGTCGGCGCCCTACGACTCATTCCTATCGCGAAACCCTATTCTCATTTGTACAATGTACTATAGTGGTTTGAATAGCAGAAGCATGCATTTCATCGATTATTGATGAGGGACAAAGTTCACCGCACCTTTTATGATTCAATGACTAACTAGCTATCTTATGCCGCAACCACCATGAACAACTCTCCACCGCGACCAGCAAGATCCACTGCCAGGCGCAAGCCCAGCACCGCAAGAGTAAGTACCTTTTTCAGCCTTTCGTTTCTTTTACTGACCATTGAATCTACAGAAAGGTTTCCACCCGGGAATACACTCAGATCTTAATCCAAGCGGGCAGGCTGTCGTGAATCAGCTTGGCTTAGCTGGCGACCGCGCAGCAACACCCGCGGAATACCAGTAGCACCCGCAACCCACGCCTCAACCCCATTACCATCCGCAACCATCCCAGTACCATCCACCTCCCCAGCCTCAACCCCAGTACCATCTGCAACCCCCTCCTCAACCACAGTACCATCCACCTCAACTCCAGTACGATCCACAACCTCCGCCCCAACCCCAATACCACCCACAACCCCCACCTCAACCCCAGTACCATGCTGATCGGAACGAGGACAGAGCAGTGGCGGAGGCGTACGCCGCCACATTCACGCTACTTCGGGGTGGGTCGTCATCGAGGCTCCCACCACAGTCGGATTCGATTCAAGATGGCCCTTTGGCCCCATGGGGGGCCGCACGGCTCGTCGCCCTTGCACCCCTCCACCCAGGAGAGACGATCCGCGGGGAAAGAACCCAGGGTGTAATCCGAGTAAGTCATCCCCCTCATCCCCCGAGCGCGCCTGTGACCGAGTATCCACCCGACACACAGACCCAAAAACATCTATTCGACACCGGGAGACGACGATGTAACGCTCGACTCCCCCCCACACCAGAAATACCCGTGGCCGTCGTACCGAATCCTCCCGCTGTGCCAATCGCGGACCCACCTATCTCGAGACACATTAAGCTCTCGACAACATCAATGCGAAAGTACAAAGAGGCTGCGAAGGAACATCTTCGCAGCCTCATCCTGAACGCGGATCCCGAAACGGACAGGGCTCCCGAAGACGAGCTTCGCAACAAATTGATCGATACCACACTGCAAATCGCACGAACGAAAATCAGTCAAGGTAAGCTCATTCGATCCGAATTATCAAGGCACTAATGAGTTTCATAGAGGAAATCGAGGATATCAAGGGGATCAACCACTATATGGTGACTTCGTTAGCAGATATGCGACGAAGCTTCAAATCTTACGCTTTGAACACTGTTCCAGTTGGTTACCATCTACGTCTACCATTATTTTCTGAGGAGGACCAGCTGGCGCATACGCGAGACCAAATCAAAATTCTACTCGAGGATTCAGAGTACTTGCACGAAATTGAACAGGTAAGTATCCTCATCAAATCAGTGGGGGTGTTTGGCTTACTTGGCCACAGACCATCGACGGCACAGAGATTAAACGGCCCCTGGAGAACAAGGTCCTCATCAACATGGTCATTGACCTGTTGAAAGGGGGCCTATCAGACGTGATACATGGTCCGCTCGATCGTTTGTTTGCAGTGTGTGGTGCAACAATTCGTTGCGTGCTACAGGCTTATCAAACTGGTCAATTCGTTGATGTCTCGGTGAACTCTACTGCCTTTGATGATGCTTACCACGAAATCATAGCTTACATTACTACAACCATCCGTGCCTCGCATACCTTGCGTGAAAGGTTTGATTCTGTACAACAGGCAATTCTTAAACGAGTACTCGTGAATTAGTAGCAGTAGATTTGTGTAGCCCTCGTAATCAATGATAATCGAATCAATGTCTGATAATCATCGATTCGGAGACTGATTTGACGCTGATAATGTTGATCTCTTCCTCGCTTCCTCGTTTGTTGCAGTCAGATCTCCATTGCTACATTTTTGGTCTAGTTACATACTAAATACAGCTCGACCGAGACTATACTAAAGATGGATCATAAAATGATGCTTGAACGACAAATTAAACTCTAGATGCTGGGCATCCCAGGACCCTTTTTTTTTGACTTTTTATTTTTTCTTCATTATCATTAGGCAAACTCCTCATTAATATTATTCGTCACTTGCTTTACATGTACTACATTGTGTTCGTCCAGTTACGCTGTATCATACGAGAACAAAAGAAAGTGTTTCCTCCTTGTCACCTTCAACACATTCTTGCCCTCCGAGGCTCCCGATGATGTGACAAACTAGGCGCAGACACTGGCAAAAGATCACCAGACAGAAACTGTTTTGAGACATGCACATTGCAAAGACACTCGAGAGTCGAGACACCCCATAATACCTGAAAAACTTGCGTAAAATGCATGATGACGCAATGGAATTCCCGTCATTGGGAAGTTCTTGATCAGACGCAACCAACGCGACAGGACGAGCGAATCTGTCGAGAGGATCAAGCAAAGACGAAGAGCTACTAGCCATGAGGAAAAATAACAATTTTAAGGAGAGACAGAAAGAAGCCCTGGACTTGAACGCAATCCATGTCAAACGACGGTGGCGTAAAAAAATATATAGAGACTAGACACAGTTAGAGACCTCAGTCGTAGTGGAACGAACTAGGATTAATGTACCTAGACACAGTTAGAGACTATATGTACTCGTAAGTGTCTGGCGGTACAGATATAAAAGAACCAAACTTACCCTCAGTCGTAGTGGAACGAACTGAGGGATAAGAGCGGGAAGACGTTGACTATATGCGTTAGTATTCCTAATATTCAACTCCGCTTGTCGCGTCGCACAACGGCACGAGCTCACGTGCTCCAACAAAATATAAACAAACACATTTTTTAAAAGATCCGGGATTATCAAGCGTTCATTTTGCTTCACCCCAAACCAGTACCCTTTATAGGGTCCTGGAACTGTGAAGGCAAACGGCCACGTCTCATCAGTATTGCACATATCAAGTGCTTGGCCATCATTGACTTTGATATAACTCATAGGCTACGAGTGTGGTAGCAACCTCTCTGAAATGGCTTCTGACAGAAACCATCACGAGTTCGACAACCCGTGTCTTCAAATGGCACTGCTTTGCAAATCTACATAAAATCCGCACGCTTCAATTCTATTCCACCAAGTTCGCTACTCACTCACATCAATCCCTTGAATATGAGCCGAATCTCAAACGATCCCCGTTGGTGGCCGCTGATCAATTTTGCATTTGATTACAGTTATCATGTTGGTTCGTTGATAGCAATTCAAATGTTGGCGATGCTCTCACTCAGTGATTTCACAGTCGCATCCTCTGTTGTAGTGGTATATGATTGGGGTGAGCAATATCATACTGACACGAGGAATTACTGCTGTACTTATCTTATTCTCCAGCGCTAACATCTGGACAAGAGGTAGGTTGATGCCATTAGTACCGCTCGGAGCAGTCATCTCGCTAAGAACAGATTTATAGTTTGAACTGATCTGGGTGAGTAACATCTCATATCAGCAGGGGTAATGTAATAAATTCGGGACAGTCTCAACGCTGGTCCTTCATCACGGTGCTATATCTCAGTGTGCGCACATTTGACAATCACTGTTGACGAGCTGTGCTAACTTGAAATGTTCTAGGTGCGCTGCCTGGGAATACTACATTGTGGGTATGTTTTCAAGGTTAATAAGTTGGCAATGTGCTAACAAGCCATTTCTCACGAGAAGAACCAGCATCCTGTGTACGTTCTCACTTACACTGTATCCGTTGTCTCTGACTGGCGGAATGCAGGGAGTCTCTCATCAGTCTCGATGAAAGATGGAGTGGGTCTTCCGCACTGAACCTTACCATTCCGGTCTAACTAAATGTACTTTCACATAGGGGTGAGCAAGATTGTTCAACTTGTTAGTTCAACATAATGACTGAAACAGCTGTGAGTTTATTTGAAGCATCTCTGTGACTCATCAGTAACTATATTTTTAAGGCACCATTGTTTCACGCATTCAGGACTGGATGCCTGTTGTCACGATCCTCATACTGGGCGGTGAGCTGCTCAACTGCAGTAGCTTTGACTTGACTGAAATTTCATCTATAGTTGTCATGATCATTCGGTTACACGCCATGTATCGGGGATCCAGAAAGATACTTTTATTTCTTGTTATAATCTTCCTGGCTCTCACAATCGCGACCGGAGTGCTCCTCGTGATAGTGGAGAGTTATACTCGATGGGGTAAGCTTTGAATTCTCATGACGGAGTTAAGTGCACGCTCATGAGAAGAATCTCAGAGGAGTTTGTCCTTTGTGGCACCTATCAGTGCATGGGTCACTCCTTGGAGGGAGACATCCCACCACTTCTGATAGGGACTGATTGGGAGTTCGTGACTGGATTCGCATGGGAGGTCCTCGCTCTGTGTCTCGCAGTCTGGATTGTCATAAAACACTTCCGTGATTTGCAACGACAATCGACCGGATGGACCGTCAGGGATTGCTTTGGCGTCTTAATAAAGACACATGTGCTTTACTTTGCAGCGTGAGTCCGTCATGTGAATGTGATTATCATTTCCCCTGAAGTTCCTTACGTCGTAGCTTTGTTGTTATGTCTTGCCTTTCATTCGGCAACCTGTCCCCAAATATGTCGGTACGCACGATCTGTGACTGACATCTGGATCTTACCACTCATCGTCATTTCTATAGAACTTCTCTTCCGCGGGAGTTGAGGTTTATAGCGGTGTTGGCCAAATTGTTACAATCGTGCAGTTGTTTGTGCTTGGACCGCGCCTCATCCTTAGCGTTCGAGCATATAACGCCCAGGTTCTGGCCGACTCCGACGAAGGAACTGCTATGACTACGATTGCTTTTCACGAGCGAACACACGGGTCAAGCGGCGGTGATGTGTAGCATGGGGGCAGGTTTCAGGCGCTGTACATGGTTTTGGTAAAGATATAGTGGTACGCGAACATGTGCGCCCGCGAGGAAGTGCAGAGGCAGTGAGACGGACACTCTCGAACTATTATACTGCCCGATGCTAGATAGTGCTATGCACCACTTACTAGTGCACTGGATATTGACTCATATACAGGATAACTTGCAGATAAAATGCACCAAACGAGTACATACCAACACAATGGGTGAAATGACACTCATGAACGAGAAACACTGGCGCAAGAGGCCGGACATATAATACTGGAAGATCTGACGACGTCGATGATGTCCTCTCGACAACACCGTCGGAAAGTTCGTTTCCTCCGCCAGGTTCAAGGACAAAGGAGCTCCCAGGCTGTGGAGTTCCAGTCAGGCACGACCTGGGGTTTCCCGTATTTCCGTGGCACCCAATATTTGCTCCATAGCGAAGCCTTAAAGTCAACACGGCAGCAAATAAATAGTAACAGGCTTAAGGTTACACATTCGCTAACTTTGCTGTTACCTCTTCCCTAAAACTCGGCAACAGGTCCCTCGCTGGTGTTGGATCTTTCAACTCGTCGGTATTCATATAGAATATCTCTTCCGTTCGAACTGAGGAATATCAGGGATTTATTTAAATCGTTATCGTCGTGCAGTCATTCATACTTAGACTGCACCTCATCCTCATGGTTTGAGTATTTCACGCCCATGTTCTAACCGACTCCGACGAAGGAACTGCCATGACCACAATTGCTCTTCAAGAGCGCAACACGAGTCAAGTAGTGGTGATGTGGCATGGGGGATATGTTGGTGAGTGCAGGTGGAAGAAGTGTAAAAGTGAGTGTTACACTTCAGTGTCACTACCTGATGCTATGCGCTATACGTATGCTTTCCCCATTGGACCCTGCAAGCATGAGAGAACTTCATGATGTGTAGGCGCGTATCAATTTTGGCAGGTTTTATGAGACACTGACCAGTAACAGGTCGGGAGGAATACTGAATGAGATGAGGGGCTCAAGGAGATCGACTACCACAAGCTGATCGATGCAAGACAATGATGGGAAGCCTTCTAACGGATGAAATCTACTGACATGGCCAACTATCTGCAAAATAGTATTACTACTCCCGTGGGGCCATTTTCACTTTACGTCCTGCTCAGCACTGTCCATACGTATCCGACCTTGACACAAGCGGACACAAGTCATCCCCATCCTCGTACACGCCACTGTCCTGATGACCGCGAACGTGTCAAACGAAACCGATGAGCTGCACAGGTCCAATATGCACGTACCGAATACTCGCAGGTCACCTCTGTGCCCAGCTTACTCTCGTAGCTGCCAGCCCATCAGTCACTTCGCTCGATGAAGTTGTGATTGTAACGTACGTGCAAAGTGTGTACCCGTCGTGCTCTACAGTGCTGTTGACTAACGTGTAGACCGCCGCACCGTCGACCTCCAAAGTGGCATCGCATATTGCACATCCCGCGTTAGCGCCAGCGAGGAAGGCGAGCAGTGCAAGAATGGTGAAGTGGGAAGTGAACATCATGGTGCTTGTTGCAGCAAACGAGTAGGATGTAAAACCATAGCATACGGGTATTTAAAAGGCTGAAATTACTGGGGCCGCGCACGCGAACTTAAGGCAACAGGCCTAAGGTTGTTCGGTACTTGAGCGAAAAGAATCAGAACTCTGCACAGACAGAAGAAGTGTGGACGTCACTCTCACGAAATTGGGGTCGCGGGGGTTAACTTGGAGTGGAGGCCCGGGACTAGATGACCCTTGGATGGGCCCAGTGTAGGCTATGTAGTGCGCGAAAAGAGCTAAATAGTATGATAAAAGGATTTGTCTACGCTTTGTAGCCAGCTAGTCTCCCGTGTGCAGATTCTTGAAGGAAGAAAGAGGAAGAAAGTCGTTCTTTCTATCAAGCTTTGCATCATACGTCAGTCAATTAATCCTGTTTCATCGATGACAGAATGTGAATGTAAGCATTTTGCCAAAGCAGTCGAAACGTTAACGTTTATCTAGAATTTAGATATAATTGGTCTGCGGTTTGGAACAACACTGGCAGTGGTTCTAGAGTTATCCCCGACTCTCCAGAGGAGGGATTTTACGGTCATGATCGGTTCGTTCGTTCTATTAAACTCGTACAGTCCGTGTGTCTTTTTCGGATGTCGGGGTCGGAAAGGCTACATTGGTTGGTTTTCGGAATCGGCATGTCTTGAATAAAATTGTGATCTTAGATTGGGTGGAGTACTATCTCTTGCCCAGAGTTGCAAAATGGCCCGGAGTTGCAAATCACGATGTAGCACACTCATATTTCACTCTTTTCCTTAGCACAATGATTCTAGAGGGTGATTGATTGATAGCTTACTGTGTGTATTTTTTATTCTACAAAAAATGGACGAGAAGTACTTGCGGCAGCGAAACACTGCTAAGAATGTGCACTTTCCACGCCAATCCATCGGAGGGAAGCCACCACATGCGCTAAAAAAATCAGGAATTTTACTACCGGTTTCCCATTGCCTTCTAATATCACTCTAATTTTTTCTGACATGATAACTGAGTGGTGTTGAGAGACACAAATGTTGTATCATTGAGATGCAAGACGTGACAGGAGGTGTGAGATTGTGTTCGGAGTCATAAATCGCTGCTCGGCAACTCGGCCAATACTTGCACAACTCGGGACCCATTTTCGCTCAATTGTGCTTGACGGCATCGGAGAGTTAAAGCGGCGGTGTGACATGGTGTGACGCGACGACTTCTTTGCGGGTGAGAATTTTTGCAACTCTGTGCTCAAACACTGTTTCGCACCGGCTTCTCTCTGGCAACGTAGCCTTAACATTTTTCTACATTTTTTTTTGCAGAGCCTTACAGTATGTACTGAATCCTACTTGCTCATGTTGTTGCTTTATTTTAATGTTGTGTAGTTGTTGTGTTATAAAAAACGGGTCAAAAATTTTGCAACTCTGGGCAAGAGATAGTATCTCAGATTGGAGTGGTGTGATGATTAGTAAGTGGATTGAAACTTTGTTACACTGCCGCTTACTTGTTGCGCATTCTCGTCTTTGTCCAGCTTCCTTCGTTGCCAGTGATCCTCTTTGGTTTGTGTGGACTGTTCAACAATTTCAGCGTGCTTGGCCAGCAGCCTCTGTCTCGTAATGAGCTTCGAGAGTATCTGTCGCGTCTGAATATTTCCGTCGGCAGGAGAAAAAGGTCGAAATGTAATAACATTCTTCCTTTCTCGCGTGGGCCGAATTCGAGCTCTGCCAACTGATGAGTTGCTCGTTTCACTTGCTTCTTTATGTGATGAGCGGGACTTGCCTTCTCCTCCTCGTTTGATTCTAATCAACAGATTTCTTAATAGGCTCGGTGGTCTCAGAGAGACTGTATGTTCTGATAGTTGCTGACCCTTTGTATCCGTGGTGGGTTTCCGGCGTTCCGCAGCATCTGATCTGTTGATATTCAGACTCAGTCGGCTTTCAATTTCGCGTCTCCGTGAGCTAATGACAAAATTCCATCCCGATTGTCGTCCTTTGGTGTTAGGAAGTGTTAGGGTCGGTTGAAAAAGCCTCTATATTCATGTCACTCTGAGTTCTCGTGTTTTCGGGACAAAAAAAAGGCAGACAAGAATTTCAGAAAGGGTACGTATGATGAGTCGTTATCTGTATTCAATAATGAGAGAAAATACAAAAAAAGGGGAGGGCTTCAGAGAGCCACGAAAATTCTTAAGACAGAATCGACAACGAAGGAGAGTCGGGGACTGGCGCCCGCGCCCTTACGATGATGTACTGTGAGCCTAATCTCCGACGGACACGAAATCTAGGATTCTAAACTCCCTATTTTCGTTCTTGCAATGCCGGTCATATTCTAGGATTGTCGCTTTCTAGATTGGTTTTAGATGCGTAATGATCTCTACATGCGTTCATGTACGATAATTTTTTGGACTAAACCCGTTCCTAATCTTCCGATATCGTCCAGAACGGCCTGTCGATTTAACATGACAAGCTCCTTGACCTTCGCTTTATCCTCCTACAAAATGTTGGTTTTATGCAGATGGTTCAATGAGATCGACATACCTTGGGCAGCGGCTTGCTCGAAAAACCTGCTAGTGCACGGAAGGAACGGGGTGCTCCCAGACCCGGAAGCCAAATTGCTCCAATGCAATCACCTCCCAGGGGGTCAGCAAAGAATTTTAGTGTATCTGCGAACGTGTTCTGTGTAGGGAGGGTTGTAGAGGGGACCCTTCATTCATATGTGGAACATACCTGCAGATCGGCGAGAAACAGGAGAAGGGGATCAAATCCCGGGCGAGGCGTCGACTCAGTTACGCCTAAATGAGAGTCCCTAGTCCAAACACTTGATTCTGCGTTGACGTTTTGGTAGTATCTCGGTAGAATAGCAGGGTTCAGTTGAATGACAATATCATAGTCGTCGGTTGAATGTAAGAATAGACTCTAAAGGACAACGTTAGCTATGTCATCGCACGCCAGTTTGTCAACTAACCTTGATATCCAAGTCCGTCTCGGCATTGCGGAGTACTCTGATGGCCTCCCTAGTAAATGCGCGAAGACGGTGGGCAGCAATTGTATCTGGGCCATTTGATGTCCATACATCGGGTGCTGCTACTGTGGCATCATCCTCATACAGCGGAAGACAAAGTGGCTCTTCCCACTTCCAATCCTTCAAGAATTCTAAGACGAGGGAGAAACCACGTTCTTTGCTATGAGGCACGGTAGCGGCGCTCTCTGTCGATCCTTGTTTTCCACCAACGAATGGCCGTGCGCAAACGATCTCGATAGCCTCATCTGAAACGTGGGTTTGCAATAGCCAATGTGCAGCAAGCCAGCGTTTGACGAGGCGGACGGTGCCGGAATATGCGTTGTACTTGTGGCAAAGATTCGCGATGGCACGATGGTGCCGTGGGGCATGGATGAATCTACGGGTGTAGAGTTCCTGAGCGGCTTTGGCTTCGCGTTGTTCCCGCGCGTTGTATTTTTGATCGCTGGGACTGACGAACATCTTGCTAGGGTCGATAATTCGGTCAAGTAAAGTCGCCTCTCGATCGTGCCAAATGAATGCAGAGAATGACCAGCCATCAGCAGTGAATATCTCCAGTGTCGCGCATCCTTGGAATGGATTTGAGCTATTGGCGATGGCAACTGACGCCTTGAGTTGGGGATTTGAAGCCATAAGTGTCTGGGCGATGATTTCGAAGAAAGCAAGCTTGATTTTCTGAATCGCTTTTAAGTCATCCGGCCACTTGGATGACTTCTCGAATTCGAGGATGATAGGGATGGTTGGAAGAAAACGCAGGGATTCAGGTAATTCCGTTAAAGCCGAAGCAGGAATCGGTAATGGAGCAAATGTTGAGGTATACCGTAGATAGTCAGATATGGGACTGACATTCAGCAGTGCCAGCGGCAGCTGCTCGTCCAGTGCTTTCAGGCTCCTGACGACACCATCGAATGCAGTTAATGCGGCCTTAAATCCACCAGTAGCCCGATGCAAACGACGAACATCATCTGGCAATCGGAGCATGCTATCGAATGGCGTTTGAAACGTTCTCGCATATTCGGCAGAAATTCCAAAATGAAGTTGCAGCAAATGTCGGACGATGGAAACCGGTATATGGGCACGCTCATCGGATGTGGCGACTTCCCAAACAACACTCTCTGTGATGCGACCATCCTTGAATCGACGAAGCTCAGCCCGGCGGCCCCACAGATGCCGGAACTCCTGGGCGACGTTTGAGTCTTGATCTTCTGCAGAAGGTCCATGGTCAACAAGACGGAAAGCATGGGCAGGATCATAAATAAGCCCGATGTGGATCGTGGATGTGCTGGGGCTTTCAGCGGAAGATATGGGATGGCAAGGGGTGACAGGCTGGAGGATGGCTATCGCTTGGGTCCGATTGCCAAGACCTTGTCTTAGGATGGATGAAATAGAAGCCAGAAGGGCTGCATCAGAAGACCCATGTTCTACGAGAGCCGAAGCAGACTGGTTCCGAGAAGCTTGTGATAAGTCCACTCTGCAAAACGTTTAAGAGTGTGGAATCTACAAGAAGGAAAGGAAACACTTGCCTAATCACCGCATCAAAGCGAGAGGAGAGTTGGAACCGACCGTTCAAGAAACATTCGGCGAATGGGTCAGAAGATGTGCCAGGGTTGCTTAAATGCTCCAGCGTCTCCTTAGCATCGTGACTTAGCTTGACGGTCGACAATCAGCGGCATGTGTTGAAATACGCTGGCAGGGAAGCTCACCAAGTCAAGTGAGGTGAGAGGAACGCCAGACAAAAAGTTGATAGTGGATGTTTCATCCACGAATACAGCTGGGTGGTGGGTAATGTACTCCTCAGGAGTGTACTAGAAAAAGAAACATCGGTACGCAAGTTCTACATCAGTATACAGAGACGTACCCTGTGTCCATTAGCTGTCTTTACGAATGTCGGAGTCTCGCCGAACTTCTGTTTGGCTAAGCTCCCTATCAGCTAATCTCATGAAAGGGAGAAATAGAGGGTTTACCAAGAAAATCGAGAGCAGCTTTGAACAATTGGTAAGAACTTAATCCCTTTCCCAGCGGCCTCCTCAATTTTGCGCTCCCACTCTTCGTGCCAACAACTTCCTCGCCCGAAATCAAATACTGCAATAGTCCGGCCCAAAATGGGCCTTTTCCCTCGAACCCTCTCACGCATAATTCGCCATCGCCATAACCTCGCTGGTTAGCCCATACTCTTAAAAGGGTATAGGCGTCGTGGAAGGCTGGCAGTGCATTTTTGAGTCGATAAGTGGACATAAGGGCATCTTTTGCATGTGTGGAAAGAAGGATTGCGTTGTTGTAGATTGGGGTAGGGAAAGATGACGAGGACGAGGACGAAGGTATGCGGACATTCGGATGTGAGGGTGAGAGCCTTGTCAGCGATAATGGACTCGACTGTGGAAGAACAGGGATAACGTGAACTTCCGCATGAGTTTTGTAAAAATCATGAGATACACTCCCTTGCAAGGATATCAGTTATGTTTTTGTTCTCAAAATGAAGAAAAAAATTATACCATTCCGTGGCCTAAGAACTAACGTTGTTAGGCGAGGATCTCCGAGCACAGAGGAGTAAAAGGTGTCCACATCGAAAGAGGTTGAAATGGATTGAGCTAAAACCGCGAGGTAGTATGACTTCTTGTGAAAGAAGCGCCCATCGAGGTAATCTTTTTCTTGAAAGAGAGCCTGCCATACATCGATCAGTGGTGAGTATTAGGACAAATCCTCAGTGTAAATACCTCAGGCATCTCTACGCACAGGTCGACGCTAAACCGGTTACCATTCTGCTTTTTGACAGCGATTCCGTTTGCCCAACTTCCAATAACACAGATTTCGCTTGGAGGCTCAAACGCAACTTTCCATTTGGCATCTCGAGGCGGTAGGGGAGACGCAAACGGAACTGCGATGCCTTGTTTAGCAAGAGCTTTTGCAGCCACCATAGGATTCTGAGGTGCAATAGAAGGGATAGAAATGCAGTGGGTTCGCAGAGCAAAAAGAAAGTGATCGAGCTGTTGTTGGCCAGACTCTTTAGGTCGGACATTAGGAAGAAGTGCATCAATCTGAGAAAAGGTGAGCTTAACGAGTCATCACTAAAATGATCTGGCCACACCTGAAGCTTGAATGAGCCAGACTGATAGAGGTCAGCTGCATCCTTAATATCTCTCAATGCATGACCAGTAAGAGGTTCTATGGATATCACATAAGGCCGGATTGCATTTACTATGAGATGAAACATACCATCTCTGCCGTGGCGATCAGGATTTTCGGAGTCCACTCGGTTCATCTCACTGGCATGTATTGGTGATCTTTTGGTGATCGCCGCGGTAGGGACCTTGCAATGCCTGCAAGCTGATGTTATGATCGCAATGAAAAAAAGCTTGTATCACGTGACCATTTAGCAGGGGTTGCAAATCAAGCAAGCTTGCCGCATGCCCTTGCTCTTTCACTTTCTCTATGGACGGACTACAAGGCCCTCAAATCGAAGCCTTAGAACGGCTACAAAGTATCCTTGGTCCACATGACACAGAATTTGTGGTTAGCGTGCTTGAAAGTGTGGCATGGGATGTTCAAGTGAGTACTAACTTATAACTTGCCATGTTCTGCGGTTGAACGCGGACCCACAGAAAGCCACAGACCTCCTGTTCGACAATGAAGTTCCTAAAGTTTTAGCACCAACACAAACCGCTAGCACTCCAATGGCACAGCTGGAGTTGGATGATACTGAAGACTCCTCAGAGTCCTCACCCACAATCCGACATTCTCACCGTGGCCAGGGTGTACGAACATTCAGTTTTCTAGCCATCTATGATGAATGACCCCCTTGCAGAACCCGCGGTCAAATTGGAGCTTTCTATGGTCTCTACTCGCTGTTCCTTTGCACCTCGTGTCTGGGGTGCTGCGCTTTGTGTTTAGCGTTCTCCGCATACCAATCCCGTCCCTGCCATTTATGACCACCAACTCCTATCACTCTCACCGCCCCACCTCTCCAGATTCGCGCAGCATCACCCAGAGGTGGGTGCAAGAACTCGAGGAAGAAACAGGTGCATGTTCGTCGAAACGTTCGATGCCGAACGCAGTCACGACAGGATTCGAGGCGGGACCATCAACTGCAAGACGTCATACATATCCACCTGCGGCTTCGGATGATAATCAGAAGATCCTACCAGACTTCTATGATGGCAGTTATGAGGAGGTTCTTGACATTTGCCAGAGAGAAGGGCGCATAGCATGTGTTGTCCTCGTGAGCGCTGAACATGATGACGATGCAGATTTTAAGAGGTACGTAATGTTCAACTGTACACAATGCACAATATGTCATCTTATTCTCTGGGCACAGGTCTGCCCTTACCGACACAACTTTTGTCAAGATCTTGCTGGATAACGATTTCATTGTCTGGGGCGGGGACATCAGGGACAAAGCTGCATGGGATGGTATGTCTCATATAATATCTTTTCTACAAATGGTTAAGCCTCGTCCAGCTTCTCAAAAATTGCAAGCGACTACGTATCCTTTTGTGGCTTTTCTTGCCCTTCAGCCCAGGCGTCATGGCGCTCCCTCTAGCGCTGCCCCGGTTGTCACCATTTTGTCGCGTCACCAGGGTCGTGCAGCCGCGACTGCTCCGGTTCTGATCGACCATCTCAATACGCAGCTACTGCCACGTATAACGCCGTTCCTGGCACGATTCAAGACAGTATTACAGGACCGTGACCGTGACCGGCGTATACGTGAGGAACAAGATCGCGCATTCAAGGAGACGGCCCGTAGAGATCGTGATGCTATCGAGGCGAGGTTGCGGCAAGAGAAAGAGGAAGAGGAACGTGCACGAAAGCATGCAGAAGACGTAAAGAGGAAGCAGGAAGATCTGGCGAAGCAGAAGCATCAAGCCGGAATACGCATGGAGTGGAGGAAGTTCATGCGCAACCGCCTCCTGTTACCCGAGGCACGCGGCTTGAGACTGGCCGTCAAACTCCCCGGGAATGGACGAGTCGTCCGCAGTTTTCCTCCGTCGGCGACCCTTACTGCTCTCTATGCCTTTGCAGACTCGCAGCTTATCCCGTCCACTTCTCGCCCGGAAGCTGATCCCTCGCAAGCGCCGGAGGGAGTTGTTGATAATATCCCACAACTTGATTCTTATATTCAGAGCAAGACGGCAGGACACGCGTGGTGGGGCTTTACACTCGCTTCAGCATACCCCCGGAGGGAATTCAGGTGGAAGGCGAATGCATCTTTGACAGAAACAGGACTGAGAGATGGAGAGCAAATTGTCATGGAATTATCCTCCGGACGTGGATCCACCAATGAGGCCTCTGACGACGATTACGAGTCAGAAAGCGATTAGAGCTGCTGCCATAATGCATTTTGTTGTTGTTTTATCTTTATGGACGGACATATGGAATAGATACAGTAAGGTCCAGATGCTGGTGGAACACGAGTTGTCATGATCATTGGCTAAGTATTGTGCGAACGAAGGATTCGTAGTTTACGTTTCCGTCGCTGCATTGTGCGGTTAGCCGTGAATGATAGCAAATAGAGATTGTATGCTTACGGGCCGATCTGAACACCTTTGAGCAACTCATCGACCTCCTCGTCTGACATCTTCTCGCCAAGTTGCGTCAGCACATATCTGAGCTCACCAGCCCCAATGAAACCGTTCCCCTCTTTGTCAAACACTTGGAACCCTCGGATGAACTCCTCTGCATAACGATCAACGGATTGTTATCCTTAACGAATGATGTGAGACATACCAGGTGTTCCTGCAGGCTTGAATCCATCTGGCCTATTGAGTATTGTCAAAAATGTCTTGTAGTCAACTGCCCAAAGTAAATTGTTTCACTACCAACAAAAATCATAGGTGTAGCTGACCTTCTCGTGGTGCATTCGCGATGATCTCGGTCACCTCAGCCTGAGTTGGGTTCTGGCCGAGTGCACGGAGGAGATCGCCCAGTGTCTCCCGTGGAACAGCGCCTGTGCCCTTCTTGTCGAAGAGCGCGAAGGCCTCCTTGTATTCTGTTAAGCGATCAGTCCGCGATACACTAGCCAGATGACGGGGAAGAGACAACCTGCATTGTCACTCTGTAAGGATTAGTCAAACCTAGTTTGTATAGTTGTTTCAACGCGAGACTTACCATGGCTGCTCTGTCGATGCTATCTTGAAAGACATTGGGATTCACTTATACATTGTTGGATTACATAATCATCAGCTGCAGGCAGTGCCCGATGATCAGTAGCGTAGTTAGCCAATGAAAATGGTTTATCGTTTAGCCTCATGTCTTCGAATTCGGTGTGCCTTGTGAACACAGCGCTTTTTTTCTGCTTTTTCCCGGCACCCAAGACACGAAGGCACTTTCCTTTTCATTCGAGCTATGCTGAATGGCTACTGCTGGCACTTTTAACAGTCATATGTACATTCCGCCTTCACCAACCTCTGCGAGATTCTGCCTCTTTTTTGACAAACTGAATGCACTCCCTCCTGACATGCTTCTGAATGCCCAAGTACCGGATCGTTTTGCGCCAACTATCTCAAACAGTTTTTCGTCTACTTCCACCATCGTCTCAACAGGCCATGCTTGATCTCCTGATGGACGTGAGAGTCTACTAGGCGATAGCTTGGATGGCGCGGTGCGGGGTATTTCTGGTGATGGAAGGAGTAAAATCACTGCATTATATTGACGCGACGAAGAAAGAGTGCGTATGTTCATCGCAGACATAAATGCCGCCGATGTGGACTGGAGAATATTTGGAGGAGCGAACATATGGAAGGGATCCTGAAAATGGTTCAGTCAGAAGATCGTTTGGTATGGATGCTAGGCATACCAAGGATATGTTCTGTAGAGATAGGTAGCGAACGGGCGCCTCATGCACAGGCAATAGCTCTGATGAAATGTAGCTTTGTACGGAATACACATCGAGGATGGAAATACTGAAAGGTCGAGACGGTCAGCTTTGTTCACACAGCGTACAAAGAACTCACGCGGATGGCTGGAGATGATCTAGGATATGATTCGCATATTTGTTCATCGACCATAACGGCAACGCCGTAGTAGCCTCGGATACAAGTACAACTGCTCGGGTTGATGAGGGCTTAAAGAGCGATCCTACCTGTAATACTTTATTCGTGTCCACGTATTCAATAAACTAGAAAATTTACCAACCTGAATATGATTGACAAATATTGCACCATGCTGTTCCCCTAGGTCTGCGCCATCAGCCCAAAAGTTTCCTGCAGGATCTGATGCGATAACAAGAGGATAACCCGGAGTGAATTGGCCCTCTATTTTGATGTTTATAACTGGGCCCTGATCAGTTGGTTGGGTGGTGAGTGGGTTATATTCGTCCTCGTCATCAGACTCGATGGCGTAACGCGGTGGAAGGCCATCGGCCAAGGGATCAATTTCCTGCAATCTAGGTCAATAATGGACGTACCTTTGCTGAAGAAACTCACCATGTTTCAAGCTTAAAGTCAAGATATCGAATCAGGATGATGCGTTCTGCTAAGAAATATCACAGCGTGGTCACGGTGTCCACTGTCCAGTAGTTGAACAGGGTTTACGGGGTCTGACTATCTGACATACCAAGTTACTGGGACGGCAAATTCAATTCACAATTCATCATGTTCACCTCAAAATTAGTACTATACCGCCATGGTACAGTTCTGCGCACATTCACGTCTATTACAAGGCGAAACCATGAAAATCCTTTGGTAAGCTCAAGAGCTCCCATTTCTGCGGTTTGATAATGCGTCCTAGTAGGGCCTCCCTTTTCGTCCACCCTCTGCACCCCAAATGCCCCGACGCGGCGGGCCAATCCAGAAACGACGTATCGAGCACGTAAAGAAGGTAATCGTTGTAGCAAGCGGAAAAGGGGGTGTAGGCAAGAGCACAATAGCAGGTACGTCCCAGCAGCATTGAATAGAACTTTTGAACGACCATCAATGAAGTCAATCTTGCTTTCTCCCTTGCAATGCTGTCTCATCGACCGCGAGTCGGCATACTTGATTTGGACATCTTTGGACCTTCTATACCTACCTTGATGGGACTCCAACATTCAGACGACCCACAATTAACTTCTGGTTTGTTTTCTGGCATGCACCGTGAGCTTCCGGGGTGACTCTGTTACTAGCTGGCGCTCTCGTCCCCATAATAAATCATGGCATTCCTACCATGTCCATGGGATACCTTGTCCCTCGGCCACCACCCGACTCCACAGAGTTTGAAGGCGCAATTGTCTGGCGTGGCCTTATGGTTCAAAAAGCTGTACAGCAACTCCTCTTCGACGTTGACTGGCGGGATACTGGGGGATATGGTCCTGGGCTGGACGTACTAATCATAGACATGCCACCGGGAACGGGAGATGTCCCTCTTACATTGGGTCAATTAGTTATTGTCGACGGTTCGCTTCCACGAGCTATTTAAATGATGTTCGTCATCTAAAATGACACAGGCGCAGTCATCGTCTCAACTCCACAGGATGTCGCACTTACAGATGTAAGAAGAGGAATTTCTATGTTCAAAAAGATTTCTGTTCCGGTAAGAATTGTATCTCCTGTCTTTCAGCCTCACCTTCATTATATTTGTTGCCATCTGCAGATAACAGGTTTCATCCTCAATCAAGCGTCCTTTTTGTGTCCTTCTTGCAACACCACGCATGAGCTATTTGGGCCTCCAACTAATGCATCGCGCCTCGGAATCCCTCTCCTAGCGCAACTTCCTCTAGTAGGAGGTGTGAGCTGGGGCGGAGACCACGGAATTCCATTCGTCCTTGAAGGCACACATGGAGGTGCAAAGGACGGCAGGGCGGGAGAGATGTGGCGAGATGCGATGAATGAGGCGGCAAGCAAGATTTGGGGATTAGTTCAAAGTTGAGTGTAATGGTCTACCATGAAAGGTCCTTCTGTGCCTTGCCTCGGCGTAACACGACTTGCATTTGCCTTGGAATGCTACTTAAGGAGCGTTCTTTGGAATCATCCTGAGCGGAGGCAACACACCGACCCGTCGTCTACTACCTATGTAGCTTTAGGTGATAGACTCTGGTTGCTTTCACCCGTCACATTGCTTATTGACATATGGAAGGACCGTGCTCTATTGCATCGGTCATGAATAACAATACAACTGCAATACAAGGTATAAGTCCCAGTGCGTAATCGTACCATAAATAGGGATAGAGCTACACGCCAATAGACGTGTGTCAACACACTGAGAACCCTCCAAAGTCCAAGAATGCCTCCTCCAGTGACATTTTTCGAACAACAAGCGCCTCGACGATAAGCCGAGGCTCCAACATGGTCGTCTCAATTTCGGCAGAAGGAGATTTGAGCATTGGGGGGGTGATATCAGTTGAGGAGACCAATTCGTTTGCAAGGGGCTGGGGCTGGCAATATGTTTCCGCAAAAATAGAAGAGGGTGACCCTGAACAAACTTCAAAAATTCGGGGGTCTGGTTTTGAGATAAAAAAAGTCAACCACTAGTGCGTGGACAAGATAATTGAGGCTACCTTCGAGGTGCGCATCATGATGCACAGAGATCTCGACTTCTGGAGGCGCGGGCGCTGCGCGCAGATCTTCAGGCTCAAGTGTAACATGAAAAGATTCCAGGCCAGAAACCAGCTCGCCCATTTCTTCGGCATTAATGGTTGGAACATGCATGACAAGGGGATCGCGCTTGATTTCACGTCGCTTGTCTCTGGCTGCGCGGCGCTTGGACTGCTTGTTGTTAGACATTGAGTGGGATTTGGGCTCAATTGAGTGTGCAAAGTCTGTACGGTTGTGAACATTGAGGTGATGCGAGTGATGCGTATGGTGCTCGGAATGTGTATTAGATTGGGCGCGGGTATGCGCAAGCAGATGTCTGGGTTTCTTCCCCTTGCCTTTGCGCCTATCAGAAATGCCTTGCACGGTGCTCGCAACACGGCGGCGGAATGGGCGAGGCTTATAAACGGCCGAAATTTCGAGGTCCAGGGTAAACGCTGCACCGTCTGACGACAAGTCACCTTCGTCATCGTCCATACAGAACACTTCAACCTGGCTGCTTCTTGTTGGAAGGTCATCGTCCGCATCTGTAGTCTCCAGCTCCGTCTCCGTAGTCGTTGTTGTCTCTGAATCCTCGTTCATTAATCGTCTCCGTCTCCTTCGTTTGCCATCCCCACCCCAGTCTTCGACAACTCCACTCACTTCCGCCGGCACCTCGATCTCCTTTACCACTATCACGCTGGCGCCAATCTCGCCAGCCATCTCTTCCAGGGTGCCCAATGTCTCTTCCATCTCCCGCCTTCCCAGCCCTATGAGTACGCCAGAGTCGGCAACACCAAGCTCATAGTACGCCTGTCCACCGCCTTCCAGAAGGCGCCATTTGAGTTGTGTGACAAGGCGGGTGAAGCGAGACGGGGAAGGGGAAAGGAGATGAAGTTTGTACTCTACATTACCCTGCGAATGTGGTTGTGTGAAATACAAATGGTAGGAAGGGTATTAGCGCATGTAGGTCGAAATAAAGGGTAATAAAACGAACCTCTTCGTTTTCTGGAACTAGCTGTGGTATTCCTCGTCGAAGGATTTCGTTGTGTGTAGGTGTTGGAGGTACGGAAGTGAGTGTGTCCCATGGGGAAGGCACTCGTGGGCTCTCTGAGTCTGATTCACCGAACATCCGGGACCCTGCGCGCACGTATAATAGACCTGTAGATACGTTTGTAGAAACAGAGATGCAAATCAGTTGTTCAGTGTATTCGAGTGATCATCGTGTTCCGTCCTTCCAGGTCAGAGTCATGGTGTTAGTTGTCTTGCTCTCAATGACTCCCATTAACTCACGTGACCTAAATGTGCTCTGCACAGAGAAAATATACTAGTGATTGCAGATTAGCCTAGAATCACAGGTATTTATTTCGCTAGGTATACATGACGAAGTATACAGTAAATCTAAGTACAGTTTAATTTTGATCTAGACAGCGGCGTATCATTAATATTGAAGCCGCCTTGAATATATTAAATCATAATGAGGGGAAACCCAACTCTAATCTACCCGTGGACCCGCCAACCTCACGCTCTCTTGTACGTCACCCTCGTACAATTTGAACGCCTTCTGGAACATGCCCGCGAGCTTGCGAACCTCGTGCTCAAAAGCCTCCTTGTCTGTCCAAGCCAAAGACGGGTTAAGTACTTCACGTGGCACATCCTCCACTTCGGTAGGAATCTGGAGCCCGAAGACGCCGAATGTCTCGTATTGACTGTTGAGAAGCTCCCCAGAGTGTACTGCATCAACGATGCGACGGGTGTACTTCAGTGGGCAGCGCTTCCCAGTGCCGAACTTGCCGCCTGTCCAGCCTGTGTTGATTAACCAGCAGGAAACGTTGTGTTTGGACATGCGCTCAGCCAGCATTTCTGCGTAGCGTCCAGGCTGACCCGGCAAGGATTAGCTCAGGGCTCCACAGGAAGAGGGAAAACCCACATGTAACACGATGAAAGGCGCACTGTAACAGGTCGAGAATGTCGGGATCGGCTCGAGGACGCCATCTTCCGTGCCAGGTGTTTTACTACAAGCGTGACTCAGAGAGTGGAACATACAGAAGCAAAGATACACTCACGAGGTGTAACCAGCAAGGAAGTGGTAACTTGCTTGATCGGGGGAAAGTTTACTGACAGGTGGGAGGACGCCGAAGGCATCGCACGTCAACATAATAATGTTGCTCGGTTGTCTGTCCGCCATGCATGGTATCTTGGCGTTTGGAATGTATTCAATCGGGTATGCGCAGCGCGTGTTTTCCGTGATGGCAACATCGTCGTAATCTGGCATGCGCGTTACAGGGTTATACACGACGTTCTCCAGAATGGAACCGAAGCGAATGGCATTGTAAATCTCTGGCTCCTTCTCCTGCGACAGATTGATGCACTTGGCATAGCATCCTCCTTCGATGTTGAATACCCCTGTATCTGACCACACGTGTTCATCATCACCGATAAGAAGGCGGTTAGGGTCAGCGGAGAGAGTCGTCTTTCCAGTTCCAGAGAGACCGAAAAACAGAGTGACATCGCCCTTCTCCATTCCGACATTGGCAGATGAGTGGAGGGAGAGTTGGCCAAACTTCACGGGCTGAAGGTAGTGCATGACTGAGAAGACACCCTTCTTCATCTCTCCGGCATACTCAGTGCCGAGGATAACCATTTCCATACGCTTGAAGTTAATCTCCACCGAGGTAGTAGACGACATGCCCTTAGTGAAGCGGTTCGCAGGGAATTGACCAGCATTGTAGATGATGAAGTCAGGCTCTCCAAAACTTGCGAGCTCTTCCTCGGTCGGACGGATTAACATATTGTTCTTCCGGGTTGTCAGTAGATGATAAATATACGTAGTTGTGATTACGTACCATGAACAGAGCATGATAAGCACGAGCACAGATGACCCGGACCTTGATGCGATATTTGGGATCCCACTGAAAACAGTGAGTCATATAAAGTCCCATACACTTATATGACAAGACTTACACCAGCAAAACCATCGAATACATAAACATTGTCACGCGTATTCAAATAATCGATAGCACGCTCGCGGTTGATTTCGAACGTGTCTGAAACAACTGCTGAGACAATAAACCAATACACAATAGAAGGAAACTCACGCTCGTCCATCTTGATATTCACAGAGCCCCACCATATATCGTCCTTACTGGTCTCCTCGAAGACAATTCGCTTGTCTTTGGGACTTCTACCGGTCTTCTTGCCTGAGAAGTTGATGAGTGCGCCAGAAGAGGAGATGATCGCGCCTTCATTGCGGATGGCATCTTCGTATAGCTGAGCTACAGGCGCATTGCGCTTGAGCTGGATCCTGTCCATGTCAAACCCTGCCTGCGAGAAATACTCGAGGTCATGACCGATGACTGTTTGACTAGTTCAGTAGATAGGAGACATAGAAATAGGTGCACCGACGTTTACTATGAAATTCGTTGTCAGAAGCCTGAGCGTAATGTCTGTGTAATATGTGAGGTGTCACGTAGGGTGTCTGGTGTGGATGAACCATGGTGGTGGACGAATACGAAGCCTTGAAAGATACTGGTTAACAAAAATTGAGGGCAGACAGTTTTTGGGTAGGTTTTATACCAACGGCGAGCCATTGCCGGGACATCCCATAATCCCCCGATGCCCTGTCACAGCGCAGAACGGGACACCGCCGGAACAAACAGGGTCAATATCACAGATTGAACAGACTGACAATGATAGCAACGGGAAAAAGTTAGCAAGAGGGTACCACGGCGTAGGCTGAGATAGCGTTAGCAAGCCAGCGTAGGCTAGCATACTGATCATTAACCCCCCGGGCGAAGGCCTAGAAACGGCTTCGTTTCCTATGATGGGGCCCTTCTGAGTCATTGTTGGCCGATACGTAGACGCCGACGAGGATGCCAATGAGAACCACTTCCAGGTGGTAGTACCGCCGCAACCCAGAGAATGTCAATCAGTACTTTAGTGGGGGCCATGCACACTGACACCGAGAGATAAATTCCAGTGAGTGTATGCACATGGTAATTGCCATGGATGCCATAGGGCCATAATATGTACTGTGCAGAATGGACCCACTTCCCTTACTCAATTTGAAAGCTGCTTCAGTCTGGTGACATGGCGAAGACAGGCCTCGGTATACGAGTTGGACCACAGCGCCAGTTGAACTGCAAGCCGCAAAGTAAGTATATATGACGAGAAGTTCAGAATTCTGAGTTATTCAGACTCTAGAGTCACACGCGCGTGCACCACTATGTTTGGAACTCATTTCAGGTCATTTTCTTTTCCACAAGCAACATGCCTCCAGCTCTCTCGAATGCCGTGCGTTTATATGCTAACCGATATCAAGTATATCATTGTATTGATATCATCACAGATGACTATAAAGCGCATCCACAGGGAGGTCGCAGATGCCAAGAAGGAGGACCTAGGCCCCATTACCCTCGCACCCTACACCGACAACCTCTTTCGCTGGGCAGGTACCATCCCTGGACCCCAAGGGAGCCCGTATGAAGGTGGCGTATTCAACGTCAATATTCTACTGGCCAACGACTATCCGTGAGCACCCTCCATACCCAAACTAGCTCGTTGCTCAGGGTTCACTAATCGGTTTGTGATAGTTTCTCAGCGCCAAAGGTCACCTTTGTAACTCGGATATACCACATGAATATATCGGACAAGGGTAACATATGCATCGATATTCTCAAACAGAACTGGTCACCTGCATTGTCCCTCTTCAAGGTCATGCTCTCCCTCTCATCCCTTCTTACTGATCCTAATCCACGTAAGTACTGATTTCTATCTTTACCCTTTCATTGTACTTTTGTACTTCTTTTATACCCTTCTCCCCATGTATCCATCTCGGCTGACCAATGTCCTTTGTTCCTAGAAGATCCTCTCGGTAAGTTCCCTCACCATCCTGTTCATGTTGTATTTTTCTGAGCCACGATCGCTTTGTGCGTACACAGTTCCCTCGATCGCAACCGAGTATGTTCGGAATCGCGTACAGCACGACCGCACGGCCCGGAGGTGGACAGAACTGTATGCCCAATCACCCGCATCTACGCCTGCGCCTACACCGACACCCATCGCATCAACGTCTACGTTCACCACCTGCGTCCCCGCATCCACATCTACATCTACACCCACAACCTCAACCTCTACAACTCAAGCTTCCGGATCACGCAAGGGCAAATCACGTGCCCTAACTAATCAACCTGCGCGTGGCTCGGGCTCGTCGAATGTTCTCGCTGAGACAATTGATATTTCTGACTCCGACGACGAGTTATTGCGACTACCCCTTACGCGCAAACGTCCACGCGGCGCCTCCAATGAAGTGGACATCGATCTTGTGGAGGCAGACCGGCGTGCAACCAGACGCCGGCGCGCAGGGCGCGGTGGGAGTGTGGTTCCGAATGTCTCTAGAGGCTCCAGAAGAAGTGAGAGTACTGCGGGAGCTGGGGAAGTCATTATCATTGATGATTAGCAGTTGCGTTGTAGTCTTCAATCCTCGTATTCACTCCTGTTCCCACCGCATCAGTAAACTGGTGAGACTCAGATATTCCCAGCCAAAGTGGTTCTTTCCTGTATATTTTATATTCTACGTAAGAACGAGGCACGAGAGCGCGCGTAGAAAAGACACAGCTTTTCGTGACTTCACCTTTCTTGCTTCGTACCACTACGTATTACTCGCAAGTTCTATTCTACTGGACTCATCACTTGTTTCATCGCATTTTTCACATAGAATTGATAATTCTCAATATGCCTAGGATTCACAACGACCCAAATCTCAATATTTGTCCAGATTATGCTGCACCTCTGTATGCTAACGCTCGGGCGCAACTAATTATTGAACATGTCAACGAGGAACAAGCCATCAACTTCCTCAGGAATATATGGGAAGCATCGAACAATGTAGAGAAGGGTCAATGGCAGGAGCAAGTTGAGAACGACAGAGAACAGTGCGAGCATCTCCGTCAACTGCAGCAGGAGCAGCAGGATGGACAGGAGCAAGAGTAGATACTAGATGAGTAGATACCAGACGAGGGCGGCGGCGACGGCCTAGTGATGTGCCGGCCCGGCTTGGCCTGAAAGCTGTGGCTTTGGCCTGGCCTGGGGCGGCTTTGGCTTTGAAAAACCTCAGGCCAAGCTGTGAGCCAGCCACGTCAGGGAAAACCTCCCCCCCCCCCCCCGAAATCGAGGTAATTTCAAGTAATTCCCTTGTTTTCCTAAGATTTCAAGTGAAATCAAGTTTTGCAGTTTTATTTACAGCTGTGTGCAAAAAGGTTGACAGTACACGCTTGACTAGAATACATTAGGAAATAAAATAAAACAATGTTCAAATCAAGGAACACCAGTGAGGACGGTACCACTGTGTTTTCATTCACACTGTTATGATTTTTTATTATTAATTTTCCTGATATATGTAAGTCATGCGTTTACTGTCAACCTTTTTGCACATAGCTGTAAGTCCAGTAGCTCGTTTAATGAATTACTTTGAATTCCGAGTAGTTTGTTCTGAATTCCACCAAATTCATTTGTTGGTCAAACTTATTATAAATATCATTGAATTCAATTGTTATATTCTACGTGAGAACAAGGCACGAGTTCGAACATAGAATGAGGTCTACGCAGCGACACAGCTTTTCGTGACCTCATCTTTCTTGCTTCGTACCACTACGTATTACTCGCAAGTTCTATACTGCTCGACTCAACTCTCATTTCGTCGCAATCCTTTTAAGAATTGATAATTCTCAGTATGCCTAGAATTCTTAACGACCCAAATCTCAATATCTGTCCAGACTACGCTACACCTCCCTACGCTAATGCTAGAGCGCAACTCATCAACGAGCATATCAACGAGGAACAAGCTATCCAAATTCTCAAGAACATTTGGGAAGCATCCAACAACGTTGAGAAGGGCCTTTGTCAAGGTCAAGTAGAGGATGAAAGGGAACATCGTGAGCATCTTAACCAGTTGCAACAAGAGCAACAGGACAGGCACGAGCAGGAACAAATAGAGGAGGCAGAATTAGCTCGCAAGGAAGAGAAGAAGAAATATAAGCACAAGTACGCGCCTATACAGGCCACCGGGGTACCCGACGAACCCTCCATTAATCCATCACCTTATGCGACTCGCAAACTCGAGAAGGGTGAGTACGTCGAGTTGTGGTATTTCACCAACGACGGACTCGATGAAGCACTCATTAAGAAGACCATCGAAGACGACACTATGGTCTTATTGACCCTCCAGGACAGTTCTACTGCGTGGGTATCAGCAGCTTCAGCACGCAACACAACTTCCGTCATCAACAACGAAGACATTGCCTTCGAGGACTTTTGCCAGGCATGCCCGCGGTTCATATCTGCTATAGAAGAGGCAGATTGGCCTGCGGATCGTGTAAGGATGATGGCTATTTTCTGGAAGAATATCCAGGTACACAACTATAGGGCCATGTGCGACCCAATCACACAAAAGGCACTTCTCGCCTATCAGGCTGAGCAACGCAGGAGGTGGCACATAGCTGCGAAGTCAGCCGCAGGACCGTATGACCTATCCGTCATTAATAATAAGGTATTAGAACGCACCAGAGAAACGGTCTACTGGCAGGAGTGCTCAAAGAGGGATAATCAAAGGGACTATAAGGTCAGTCTTCCCAAAGCATATAATCTTCGTGCACTCGCTAATCAGTTCTTTTCATACGCACGTCTAAATAATGTTAATGGTTCAATTGACCAACATGCTACACCACTTCATGCCTTGCATCCCACATGATGTCCTTTTACGGGTCAATCTCAATTCTGCCACATGCATCATGCATCATGCACACGATCTTAACATCTGTGCTCGCCACGATACCACCATGTCGCACTTCGTTCCTCACCTAATCATAGGCGGATCAACGAGTGATGATGATGAGTTCCACTGCAGGAACGCGTCGTGATTTTTCTTGCGAATTGAGGGACTCTCGAAAGCACTCAGCCTCACCAGAGCATGGTAGCAGTAGAAAGAGACACAGACAGGATTTTCGATCCGGCGCAGGCGGGAGTGCCCTCTCCGCCTGTGCCGTATGTCTGGGGCGCAATCCACACAAAATCATTGAGTGCAAGTCACTCAAGATGTGGGATGGCGTCCTCGATACTCTCTGCACGCACATCAACAAAGCGCTCACAATGCGCGACAGACGGCCAATTTGCAACGATTGGCAGAGGGCAGGAGGATGCTCCGAGACCACCAATGACAGACATCAGTTCTGCTCAGGATGTTCCACTTCAACTCACGGGGCTCAGACGTGCCCTCGAGCATAGAAGACTTAACACCATCTCCCCATATAACCCAGAAGCATGGGAGTCCATGCTCATATCATCTGGCCTCATTGAAAGATATCCGCACATACCGGAGGGTCTGCGGCGGGGCTTTTGTCTCGACATTCCTAATATTAAAACTTCGCAAATACCCCCTAACAAAGAGTCAATTAGTATATATCAACAAGAATTTCAAACCATCATTCAATCTGAGATCGAGAAAGGAAGATATATTGGACCACTCAAAGCCAATGAGGTACAAGACCTTATCGGGCCTTTTCAGTCCTCGCCCTTCTCCATTATACCCAAACCCGGACATCCGGGTCGTTATCGCATCATACAGAACTATTCTTTCCCCCACGCTCCTTCGCATTAATTCCCTAATCCGTCTATTAACTCCTACATTAATTCAGACAACTTTCCCAGCACTTGGGGAACATTCCATATTCTCGCCCTTATCATTAGTAGATTGCCCCTGGGATCACAAATTGCCACAAGGGACATATCAGAAGTGTATCGAACCATACCGTTGCACCTGACACAATGGCCCGGATCAGTCGTTCGGATCTACGAAGACCATTTTTGCATCGACACGTGCACGTGTTTCGGTCTGTCTCCTTCGGCGGGAGCTTACGGAATTGTCGCCAACGCGGGACTTGACCTTTTTAGGTATTGAGGCATTGGTCCTGCCTCTAGGTGGGTCGATGATCACATTTTCATCCGGATACTTACAGCTGTTTGCATATATGTTGGCAGTCGCGTCGTTTTTTTCATTCAATTAGGAAACTCGAGAGTTAGTGAAAATAGCACTAGTATCAACCACTGGCGTGCGACATGCCATTTCGCGGGGTCGGCCGTGATGTTAAACTTCGTCGGAGCTGCTATCTAGGTCTTTCTCGAGCATGAGAGCCAGATTGTTATGTGCTGATTGTTGCGGCATTGCGATACATAGGTGTAAGATGCAGTACTATCACAAAAAAAATTCTAAGTGTTAAGTTTCCTAATTGAATAAAAAAACGGCACGACTGCCAACATATATGCAAACAGCTGTAAAGAGCACCTCGCTGAATACAACGCGCAACGGAAGACTTGGCATCAAGACATTCTCAAATGAGGACAACATCAGGACGGTGGTAGAATCTGGTTTGGGGGTCATGTATTTGAGGATGGAACATTGGAAGAATTTGATGAAGACTGCTGTTTCCCCATCGTGGACCTTTCAGAATCGTCCCCCAGGTCACTCGAAGACAGCCGCTTCACGTTCAATCTCACCGACATTGACAATTCCTCCCACGAACTCGGCATTCCTTGGGAGACATCAAAGAACGCACATTTCACTTACGCCAACCCATACATCAGCATCGTTTGGGACTTGGCACGAAACCTCGTGTCACTGGACAAACCAAAGAGACAGAAATATCTTCTCGCAATCGAGATCTGGCAAAAACGGAAAACACATGTACTCGACGACACACAACGGCTGTATGGCAAATTACTTCACACCACACTGGTCATACCATGCAGCCGCGCTTACCTCACATCCCTCGAGACTATGCTACGTCTCGGCTGGAACCACCCATTCCTCCCACGACACTCAGTCAAAACCCTGGCCGCAGACCTCGATTAGTGGAACCCTCAAGAGTTCGTTCGTTGGTAGGTCCATACCCAAACCACTCACCAAGTTACATGATCCAGCCGCGTACTCAGACGCCAGTTCCGGCGTTGGAGTGGCTATCATCATTGGCCCATACTGGAGAGCATGGCGTCTACATCGAGACTGGAGAATGAGAGATGGTGAAAAGGACATTGGGTGGGCTGAAGCGGTCGGATTTGAGTTACTCATTCAACACCTTGTCAAGCTGGGAGGACCAGAACATAATTTCAGAGTCTTCAGAGACAATCAAGGCATGATCAAAGGGTGGCGAAACAGACGCAGCAGAAATTCGGCCGTCAACACGGTTTTCAAACACATCTTCACCTTCCTTAATGATCTCCCAGCTTCATACAATTTCTACCCTTCATACGTCGCGAGCGCCCACAATCCCGCTGATGACCCTTCCAGAGGAGTCTATGGTAACACGGCCTTCCTACTCCCTTCCTTTACAATTCCCCCAGAACTCGACCCGTTCATCTATGATCCATTTGGCACCGTTCCCAGTTCATAGAGCCCAACACGATGCGGTGAACACCCCCGTTTCAGCGAGATCACTCCTCTCCTCATTATCAATATCTGCACCTCCAAACCCACCACCACCACCGCATCCTCGTGCACACGTACTCGCAGACCCAGGAAATCACACATCGGACAGACACTCCCACTTCAAGGCTATACTCCCCACAATAGCTCCAGCAAAACCCCAGCCATATAAAACGGGCTTAGTCCCATTGCCGTCGGGTTTGAGACCACACTGTCTGGCACGCGATCGTCTCAAATTGTGGTTCCCAGCTCAAAGCCGATCAGCTAGAGACGCTAACGGAGTATTCTTAGCGGTGACAGATGAAGATATTGAAAGAGTGATGACAGTTATGAACCTATCGTGGGCCCAGGGAACAAGGGAGTGTTATGGAGCCGGACTCCTGCTTTTTCACGTATTCTGCGACATTCGAGCCATTCCCGAGGGGCAGCATTGTCCCGCAGACACATTAACAATCCTAACGTTCGTGACCAGCTGCGCAGGGTCCTATTAAGGCAGAACAATATCTAACTACGTCTATGCTATAAGGGCGTGGCACATCCTGCACGGCCAGTTGCGGAGGATAGAGCAGGACCAATTAAAAGCAGCCTTAGATGGGGCAATCACCATCGCTCCCAACACCTCCAAATGGCCAAAATGTGCGCCTTTCACTGTTCAATTAATCCTAACGATGCGCACCCACCTCGACATATCGCAGCCACTAGACGCTGCGGTATTTGCATGCTTAACAAGCACGTTCTATTCGTTATCGACTTGGAGAGCTCACTGTAAAATCCATGAAAGTATTTGACATTGAGAAACACGCGAAACGGTCAGACGTCAAGATGGATGCTGAAGATCGTAATGGCTTATGCGTTACCATGATCCACCTTCCTCGCACCAAAACATCACTCGTAGGCGAGGATGTTTACTGGGCTCACCAAACAGACCAATCCAATCCGAAGACAGCTCTCACAAATCACTTCATGATAAACAATCCTGCACACAATGATCACATTTTCGCCTGGAGGCATCCGAAAGGGATTAGACCATTAACCCGTTCGGCGTTTCTCAAAAGAATCGGAGAGATCGTGAAGAAGAATAACATGCCGGATCTGAAGGGTCATGGGTTACGCATTGGCGGCACTTTGGAATATCTCTTAAGAGGAGTCCCCTTCGACGTAGTGAAATCCATGGGATGATGGTCCAGTGACGCATTCACGGGATACTTACGCCAACATGCGATGATCATGGCACCATACCTACAGGAGTCACCCGTCCTCGAACTGTTCACGAGGTACACCATGCCTCCTCCTAGGTAGATGAAGGTACATCCACGTCACCCTCCTCCTTTACAATGGGAGTCCACGCTAAGCCTGACGCGTCGCAGGGCTCGTTATATGTGGGAATCACGGCTCAACCTGGACACCCTTCGAAACGATGGTTCGGGTCGAAAAACCCTTCGGGTTTTCAGCCCATATAGCCTCATCACCTTATAGTAGCTACCTATTGTAAATCTCGCAGCATTGACCTTCAATCCAGTTGATTTCTTTCCACTACACGAAAACTAACAGCTACGCATAGATTGGTCAAACTTGTTCTGAATATCATCAAATTCACTTCTCAGTCAATGCTAAATTCAAAATCAACATTATATTGGCCTATCAAAATGTATGGATACATGAACATGGGTACTATATACAACTCGCGAAGACAGTATACAGCATGAACAAGACACAACAACCTTCATTGAATCCTCGGGCATTGCATCAACATTGAGGTAGTCAAAGTTGCGTAACATGTTTTGCGACACACTAACAGAGTGTGTGAATGACAGGTGTTTAATCCAAGGAACATGAAACATACCTGACAGCCTTGCGTGCCAAGTATGGCATAAGCCTGCGAAAACAATAGTTAGTATTCAACACCATAGCAATGAAAAAAGGGTGGGTGTGGGTGGGAGGGTAGCGACAATTGTTGGGGTGTAGTCGTGGGCTTGCTGAGGTGGGAAGGTAGGAAACAGACCTGGATAGGTGTTCCCGCAGACCAGAAAGTGTAACCACTTGAGCGTTTTCATGGGATAAAATGTCGTGTGGTGTCCTGGAGACCATCTCATCGGGTTAAAGGAGGCGACATGCACGATGAGAGCAAGAGTGAATTTACACTCCACTGAGAACCTTTGCACTATTTGAGGGCGAAAAACGCGAACCATGGAAAGGGTCACGTGATCTCAACATTTGAGTCAACAAAGGTAATGTGGTGGGAGGACATGATGTCTGCACAAACGAGCACTCACCGTTTACTCATGGCATTGATGCCAATTCCGAATCCGAACATGATTTTCCCCCTTTGGCATTCACGTCAGATGCCATGGGCCTAGTCAACATGAGTAGTCAAATGAAGAAATAGTTATCACTGCTCGACTTGCTCACCTTTGATGTCCTCGATTTCGTCCTTCCACACAATGGCATTCTCTCCGATGCGCATTAGTAGAACCACTCCCAAAAGGCCAATATTTCCAATATGGAGGTAAGCCACTCTTAGTACCGCGATGCAGTGGTTGAACTTTATACAGTAGTTTGAGTGCTTGTGCCCTGATGGGCCAGATTCGGGAGGCAACTACCAACGAAGATGAGCCATGGGATGCAGGAGATTTTCGATGAAGACAAGGTGCAGCAGGCGGGAGATCATCAATGAAGACAAGGTGCAGCAGATGGCAGAGTGCGTCACAGAAGACAAGTGACACAAGCTGGAAGAAGTTGTGGACGCGAGGGGTGGATACTATTCCGAGGGATACATGTGCAAGAGAGTGTCAGAGGCAAAACCTGCTCATTGTACTCGCCGGCGAGCACAGTGTCAGCGATTGGAGTGTCAAACGGGAAATGAACATTTAATGAGAAGCATGAGAGGGTCGTGGAATTTACTCCAAGTCCATTGAAAATACAATGATTTCTGTCAAATCTAATTGGTAGATTTTATTACATTCGAAATAGAATGATTTCTATTGATTTCTGTCAAATTAGTAGATTTTCTGGAATTCAGCTGTTTTATGTATGAGTTTTAGGATTTCAGCTGAATTCCTGGGGGAGGTTTTTCCTGATGCAGGCCGAAGCTGCAGCTCGGCTCAGGTCCATCACAGCTTTTTGAAATGGAAAATGATTGAAATCAAATATACTGTCATACCACTCGCAACCACATGAATGCGTGTCAATGCCTGCAGGAATACAAAATACCGGATTGTGCTCATCCAAACTACCTTGTCATATGTGATCTCAGTCGGTATAAGGGACATAATGGCCTCGAAGACAAGCTCCTCGCTCTGAGCGATCTTACAACATCATGTCTAGTTCAGGGCCGAAGACAAAAAATTGCCAGCCATCCTCTCCAACTTTGTTCATTGGCTGCACACTGTATGTCGTCAATGCACCATCAATACACATATCTAAGCCTCAAGACCAGAAATTGAACATACCCTCATTCAACAAAGTTTCTGAACCGGTGAAAATGGTTTGAGACTGGATCAGAACAGTTTTCAATTAGTCAAGCCCCAAAACGTGAGCCCAACTTGAAGTTGCTTGCACACATCAGCAAACTAGGGGGCACCTGTACAATATTGTACAGACATTACACTTACATAAGGAAGTCTCCCCTTTACAATACTGTCACATACATCTACAATTTGTACATCTCATCACAGACTGTACAGACAATACACTATGAGTGTACAGACAACACAGACTGTACCAAGGATATATTTATTCACAGGCTTCACATGGTAAACATGACATACAGCCTCTGTGACAAGGCTCGCATATATGGTAATGATTATGAAACAAAAACATGATGTGATCAAAGCGATACTAAAGTATGATGTTAATGTCCTCTGCGTCGCTGCCCGCCACACTCCCAGCCGCATAGTTATCAAAGTCACCCATGCCAATCCTAGCCCATTGGTCCAACATCTCTTCAAGCTCTTCGCAGCGCTCCGGAATGTCGAGCAGCATGTCAACTGATTTCCGTAAATTGATAAAGTGGGTCCTGCACTGTTCAGCAGTTAGATCAGGAACCTTGTCAGTGCCGGTCTCCCGAAAGCCAGAGATAATGCCCTTCAACTGTTAAATCATCAGCGACGAAATAATTAAAAACAGTAAGCATACCACCGCTGCTACAAGAAGCATTGTGTTGATGGGGATCGTGCGGTGGAATTCGTTCGTGTTCTTCAATGCTTTCTTGCTGTTGGAGTAGTAAAATTCGAGACACACGTCCCTGAGAGCCTGCGCCGTGAAATTCCTGAATTGTCCCTGCGAGAATTAAATGTAAATGACACAATTACGAGGAGTCACGACCTACACCAGACGAGTCAGGGAGCCGGAGGTAGTCACCACTCTTGAGGAGCCTAGTAGCAGCAGCAGTGACCTGCTTTTGAACCTCCTCCTTTTGCATTGTGGAGCCCTGCGGGAAGATATCATATGCCCTTTTTGCGATGGAGATCATGATTTTTTTGAGCTCTGTGTGGAACGTGAAGAGATCGTCACACAGCTCATCAACATATCAGCGAGTGCATTTGCCATTAATAAATGAAGAACCTACCAGCCAGCACATATCTGCATCATACTCCGGAAAGTAACGCTCCAGTACAAGCCTCTGTGGTACTGTGTGAACAGGTATTTTCATCAAGTAGTGAAACCCATATGAAAAAAGGAATCACCTCAGCCCCGTTTTGATGGAAGCATTACAGATGATCAAGTTTTTCCTGAAGAAAAAACAGTTTAACTTTACAAAAGGTTGGGCAGCCTCTCAATGGGACATGGAACATGGGGTGGTACACAATTGAGGCTCTAATGAGCAGTTGACCGCCACTGCCAGCACAGTTGATGCTCTTCTCAGAGCCATTGCTGAGGAGGAGTGTGACAATATCAAGGACACTGCTATCATTTACAACAAGTGACTTTTTCATCTGCCATCTGCTGTTTCGCCTCTTGTCTTTTATTCACACTATCTTGCTCTGTGTTGTGCTGATTTTGATTTTGATTTTGATTTTGATTTCAATTATTTATTTATTTCTCACCAGCCGCACAGTGTGCACCTCTGATTTCAACCCTCTAGCAAGGAGTTTTAGGACATGCTCTTGACTCTGGAGACCATGGTGGTGTTTTCACCAAGCTCATTCCCCGCAACACTGACATTTTAATCACAAGTGAATTCCTTAGGCCCCAGACTCACAGCATCTGTATGATTACGGCTTGATCATCATATCACTGCTCTGAGAAAAGGCTGGCACCTGACATATCCCCACAGCAGGTTTGGGATGCTGTCCAACAGCACAACACCGGTGGTCAGGATGCCCTTGATGTCATGAGAATTGGTCAAGTTGTTAGGAGAGAAAGTAAGCTGTTCCTTAATGATGTTATGTAACTTGATGACTGGCACCTCTCTGTAAGGTCACACTCAAAACCTTGCACAGTATCACTGACCCTACAACATAGTACTGAAATTGAACTGCTGCGAGTGATTCTGTGATTCTCGGTCACACTCCAGCTTGCATTGTGTCTGGGTCACTTGAGGATTGTACACCCCAGAATCCACCTGCCATAGAAAAATTTGAGCTGTACGTTGCCGTGGGATTTGGAATGCTGCGACACCATTTGTTGGTAAGCCCATCATGAGTGCCACTGGGCGCTCCACCTCATACAACCTGTTCTCTACCAGCATGTTCTCTAACTCCCTTTGAAGTGTCAGCCATGTCCATCCCTCATCATCCCTGTCCTCCGTCCCAACCTCCCATACAGTCAAAACTCTCTCCTTCACAGATTCTTTGGGCACAACCAATGAGTGGATAGAAATGCATGCAGGGTGAATTGCCACGGTGGACTCTGCTGCAAACCCAGGTGAGATCAATGATGTCCCAGACTTGGATGGTAATGGACTGGCAAGCACAATGGCAGATGTGTTGATTGTTTCGGAGGCGGGTGCTACAGTGGGAGAAACACTGGATTTAGATGATATTCCTGACATGGAGGAGGAGGGGCTGGAAGATGGTGAGGATATGGCCATCCCGGCCGTAAACTCAAGTGTGAGGTATGGAGGCAAGAGGGTAGTGGGGCCCCAACAGCTTAGGCTACTGGGTATACTGTATGTCTTATGATTATTTTATTCTGGCTTGTCTCGTGTAGGGTTTAAATCCTGTATAACCCGGTATGGACAACATTCTGGCTCTGGCCTCACAATTGATGTTTTACTTACTTTATGTTGGTACTCTTACTGCTGACATAATCAAATAAATCTTTGACCTAGTACCAGTATCAGTCTGAAGTCCACTGTCTTTTTGTCTTGCTGTCTTGATATTTCGATTTCTCTCTCTTTGAGCACTGAGCCTAGAGCAGAGACCCTTTAGGGTCAAATTAGCCTAGGCCAGCAAGACCTAACATATTCTCTACACCCTGTGGAGAAGTTGTTTGCACACCGGTTCCAGTGTGACATGATTTCATAAGAAGTGCTTCATCATGAATTTCTTTGCATAAAGCAATCCTACTCAGTAAATGACTAGATCATATTATTGACATTAAATTCTGATCATCATGCTTACATGTTGGCTTTGATAGTCATATTTATAGCTGGCATTTATAGGCTCTCAACTCTATATATGCGGTTGATGTGTATACGCTCCCAAAAAGATTACATGTCCTCCTCTACAACCTCCACACCCAACATGTGCTCCACTTCATCTAATTCTTGCCACAGCTGGATCAGGAAGTCCCATTTTCCCTCCACCATCAGTTTCATGAGACACCTATCCTGACATGACATTTGAATGGGGGGATGGGGCAAAGCAGTACATGTGGCTGCAATTGTGCATGCTCATGATTATCCTGTGTGACCTGATGTGCATGATTCTACAGAGCCTGACAAACATTGTGGTTAGAACTCAACTGGTTCCCATTGCAGACACTGTCACTTTTAAGACCGTGCTCAAGGGGCAGATCTGAAGGGCTTGGCTTCAGCTCGTGTGCTGCGCCCCTTACCCGAGTATGTGCCCTTAATTTCCGAAGGTTAGAAACAAAGCCCGGTGGGCTTCAAAGGGAAAGTCTAGCAGGAAACAGAGGGTTGGTCTGGTGGAAAATGGGGGATTAGTCCAGCGGGAAATAGGGGATGGATCCACCAGCAATACAGAGGGGAAGGCTGGTGGAAAACTGAGGATTAGTCTGCCAGAAAATAGGGGATTAGTCTGACAGAACTACAGAGGGAAAGGTCAATGGAAAAACAGGGGATTAGTCTGCTGGACAGGAGGAGATTCTCCTGGCAGAAGATAGAGGATTAGTCCGCCGGAAAATAGGGGCTTAGTCAGCCAAAAAAATGGGGGATTGGTCCGCCGGAAAATAGGGGCTTTAGTCCGGTGAAAATGGCGGACAGAACAGACAGATGGAAAAACAGAAAGACTGAAAGTGTTAAGACCGTGTTCAACGGGTCGGACCGGAGGGGCTTAGCTTCAGCTTGTGCGCTGCACTCTTTACCCGAGTACGTGCCCCTAATTTACGGGGGGTAGATATTGTCGGCCGAGGGGTATGGATAGGCCAGACAAGAGAGGGAAGGCTACTTGAGACTTTGTCCGGGTAGAAACTAACAAGGGACAGACTACCTGAAGGTAGAGGCGGAGGGGTTTAGCCTTGGGGATATAATCCTGAGGCTCGGAGGGTCGGACTAGGATGACAATCCTAAGAGCCGAGGGAACACAAGGAATGAACTGAGTCTAAGATGATATTCGAACTGAGGAAATACTACGGGTTACAAAGGGTTTATATACTGTAGTGTATCCGACGGGTATCCGGCCAAAGTGCAGTCTTCGGATCATAGGGCTATGTAGGAAATGTACTAATGGACATGAACTGCTGCGGACAATCGAGAATGGAGCTGGATATTAAATGAAACAAAGGGGACGAGTTAAATGAAAAGGAAATGAATAGACTAATGGAAGGATCAGAATGAACCCGGACATTAACTGTCAGAAGGATCCGGGCATATAGGGGCTGCAAGAAGCATATACAAATGGGGACATGGGGAAAGGAATTCTAGAATGGATCCGAGAGAACAGATGGACCGGACCGGACGAGAAGCTTCAGGTACAGAATATGACAGAAAGACTGAAAGGCAAGAAGGTGGAAGCTAGAGGTAAGACTACACTAGACAATGTCTGGAGTAGAAACTGACGGAGGTAGACTACCACAAGGTAGAGGCAGTGATATAGCACAGGGAATCAATCCGAGAACTCAGAGTTTGGACAGGGAAGTGGACCCGGGCCCATGGAAATGGATCTGGATCTGAGGAAACAGCAATGAGGATAATCTAAGGTGATGTCATATCCCGTTCCTGAACCTTATTGTCCAGCCCAATCAACACAGTTCCTCAGACCCAGTCCAGATTTCATATCTGTCTCTGTTTCTACTTCCATTACCCCATTTGTATGTTCCCTTTATTCTTACCCCTATATGCCTGGATCAGTTTGACAGTTAATGTCCAGCTCCATTCTCAATCATATCTCATATACCCAGATCTCATTGACAGCAAATATCCAACTCCATTTCTGATCACCCCTATAGTATTCTCCTTGCACCTGTCAACTTAACCTTTCCATATGTTCCTCGTGTTGACCGGGAACTCTGCTACCTATGTCCTGTCGGATATCGCTATGGTATATAAACCTGTGTAACATGTAGTATATCCTCAGTTCGAATATTGCATTAGATTCTGCTTGCTATCCTCTGTCCTACTCTATGTCTCGGGATTGATTCCTGGTAAGACTATCTCTGGTTCACTTCAGCTTGTGCACTGCGCCCCTTACCCGAGTACTTGCACTTGAATTTCCTAGGGTTAATATAAGTGTCCGGCCAGCCGAGGTATATGGGATCCAGTGGGAGATGGGTCGGGAATGTATGTAACAAGGTAGGGCTACACTAGGCGGAGCCTAGAGTAGAATCGGCCGAGGTGAACTACCCAAAGGTAGAACCAGAAATAGTCTTACCAGGAATCAATTCCGAGACTTAGAGTAGGACAGAGGATAGCGAGCAGAGTCTAATGTGATATTTGAACTGAGGATATACTACATGCTACACGGGTTTATGTACTATAGCGATATCCGACAGGGACATAGGTAGCAGAGTTCCCGGTCAACACGAGGAACATATAGAAAGGTTAAGTTGACAGGCACAAGGAAAATGCTATAGGGGTGATCGGAAATGGAGTTGGATATTAGTCAATGAGATCCGGGTATAGGAGGTATGATTGGGGGGATCCCCATCAAGAACAAGTGTAAAAGTGTGTTGTTCAGAAAAATAACTTCAAACTCATCCTCAGGTAAAGTCAGGGAATCAGGTACAAGGATAGGGTTTTCATCAAGACACCAAGGAATGCCTTGGGCACCCTTTGTGTGAAGTAGCTGTAATATCATACTCTCGCTTAAATCCTGGAGATGGGCTATCTGTGAGAAGAAGCAGAGCTATTTCACATGCAGACAATTCATGTGGAACATATATCAGATACTTCCACACTCTCCTAGATCCCCCCTACTGCCAGGATGACAGAAGTCATAGACATCAACCTACCCCAGCCTCTTGTATCATTCAACCTCTCCCATCACATCACCTTTGCCCGCCCATGCTGCTGCTGCAGTGCATGTTTCCTAACAACTTCATTTTCCCTCCAACTCTTTGTGTTACAGACAGGTCTACTGCTTCCACATCAAACCACCAATGCTTGCTGTTAATACTGTGCTTGACAGGTGGATCCAGAGGGCTTGGCTTCAGCTCGTACACTGTGCCCCTTACCTGAGTGCTTTCCCTTAACTTCGGATGGAAAGGTTAAACTGACAGGCACAAAGGAAAATAATACAGAAACGATCGAGAATAAATATGGAAATAAAGTGTTGAGTGAATCTGGGCATAGGGGTTACAATCTAGAATGAATCCGGATATCAACTGTCAAGCGAATCTGGGCATATAAGAATTAATGGAAGCCTATCTTATTATTCATAAATTGAACATTGTTGTCCTTAATAGAGAGGCTGAGGCAGATTGGTGGAACATAGTTTCTGTGGTGGAGATGGAAAAATAGCATGAATGCTTAGGACAGGCAAGCCTGGGGCTGGCTGGCTGAATGTGCAAAGACCTTGTTCAGTATTCAGCATGACCTACAGTACATCTTCTCTGCTGTCACTGCTAACATGTCTTATTGATCTCCTGTTAGCTAAGACATCCTGATGTGTATCAAGAGGGATGAGTTTAGCTATTCGGCATTTGATCACAAAGAAAAACTGTATCCACAGCAGTGGATATTTGCAGCTCAGGCTGTCTGACTCCACAAGCAAGGGTTATGTAGTTTAGTAATCATTCCTCACATGGTTGCCAGCTGTTTCAACAATATGAAAAAGCTTTTGTTTATGTTTTTTCTTTGCCTGACATGGCAAAGCTGACAAACATGCAGGTCGTGGTATCTGGATCACAGCTTGTTAGTTATTGCAATCAATCTTTGTACCCACAGATCTGATGTTCTTTTCACCACCAACATACTATCTATTATCTTTTCAAATGGAAAGCAGGAATAATCATTGATCAGCTTCAGCGACTAAATGTGTTTGTTTGGCTTCTGTCAGACTCCTAGGCCCAAACCACTGCATGGCCTCTAGTTACCTTGCTTGATAAGGTTTATGTCATCCCATTAGTAGGTCAAAAATTTTGCTGTCATTTTTGGTTGTGGTTTGTGATTGGTGGAAAACCACATTAGTGCAAGCATCTCGCATCTCAAACTCTAAATTTAGTGTCATGATGCAACACACAGTGTACATATTCATTCTCGCTTTTAACATATATTCATGATTCAGGTCTCTATTTTGTGAGTTGTTTTATAAGTCACTTTTCACCATAAATAGACTGTAACCAATAGTAGTCTGCCTTTTTCTGCAGGCCGCTCACTGACATTATGATAAATGTCCGAGTCAACACTGGTTAAGCTTATAGTGAGGAAAACTCTCATAAGACAAGTCTATCAGGTTTTGTAATTTTCCTTCTGGTGCATGCTAAAGTGTTCGCTACTTTCTACTGATGTTTCATCTTCTACTACTTGGATATTGTTGTTCCAGTCACTCAGCTCACTCAGAAAGATCCTCAGATGGGATGCCCAATGTCCCAATTGTTGTGGACACAGATGCCTTAGATTATGCCATCGCTGGAATAATTTCTATTGTATATTGTTTGCATGGATACAAACTTTGTCTAGTTGCTTTCTATTCTAGAATGCTCACAGCTTCCAAGCTTAATTATAACACCCATAACAAAAAACTGCTTACCATTCACAAAGCTTTCTAGTCCTAATGGCATTACCTTGAAGGCTCAGCAGAGCCAGTTGATGTTGTTACAGACCACAAAACCTCAAGTACTTCGCTAATACAAAACTTCTTTTCCGCTGGCAAGCCCACTGATTAGAATTACCAGGATCTTGGAGACATTGTAGATGGTAGTGGACATATATGTAGAGGCAGGGACAATGGTAGATAAATTGGATGAGGCAGCAGAGTGGACACAGAGGAGGGCTAGCCACCTGCCTTGCTCACCAGACTGAGTGGGTGCCTGTCTAGTCTTGTGGCAACTTACTCTGGACTCAGATCCATCCAGCACTGACATGGTGCTTCTCACCATCATCACAGGAGTACCCTGCAAACAGGTCACCACGGTCATTGTCAGTGTGGGTGGATATTTCAATAATAATATGTTTCCAAACAAACAAATTCTTGAGGGCCTTGATCATTTGACCGATCATTTTGAGGTAAGCACCCGGCTCAGAGATAATGTCATATGCAATCTCGTGGTATTTGATACCTCCACTTGTGAAGTATGGCTGAAGGAATGAATGAGCAAAAGAGAAGGGGCTGCCAGTAGTTTCGAAGTTGATGAGGACAAGATGGATGAATAAGATGGGAGCAGCAGAAATTTTGGCGTGTGATGAGAGTTCGAGGGAAGTGTGGATCCATAGAAAAGACTAGAGGACTATTGTGCTGTCAGCATAGTAGAAACCCTGATGTACCATTAGTTGTGAATGAACAAAGAATGAAAATAAAATAAAACCTCACACAGTATATAGTGCACCCTGCTCTTCCATAGTCATATGGTAACATATACACCTGAAAGACATGTCCTCACTGAGGATCATGTCTTCAGTGCCCAGTGGGAGCTCCATGCACAGCTGGAACATCAATCCGGGGCAATGATTACACATAAAGAGAGTATTCTCTTTGAATGATGCAGAGCCATCCCGGCAGAGGATACAGAACTGTTGGAGGGAAGGGGCCATATTAGTTGCAAATATAGGTATACTACATGAACAATATGTGCTCGTCCCACTGGTGTGCCTGCCACTCTAGAAAACACAGAATTAGTTGCATTTCCTCTAAAAAAAATGATTTGAAAGGTGAAAGAGAACACTGGTGTTTGATGCCCTTTGCTACTCACTATCCAATCATGGACTTATTGCTGCCAGCACACACAATGAGTAGTTCCTTTGTCTAACAAGATTATAGCATAAGAATAAAGCACATACCTTGCACAGTAAAACATTTGTGAATTTGCTTGGCCTCTTAGTGTTCTTCTGCAGTGTTGTAGAGCTTGGGTCAGGGCATTGCAAGCAGGGACAAAATATAATTGTGAGGTAGAAGTTGAGCAGAGTTTAGCAAGGTGCCTGTCATGCATTGTTTGTGGGACTTTTATAGCACCAATTCAAAACTAGATTTACAGTATATGTGAAGATTGTTTATCTTGCTATAGCTAATCTTGATATCTATCATTAGTATGACATGTATCTAAAATGTCTCTGCTAAATGAAATATGTTTTCCATGCATTATGTGTTCAATTAGACTCGTAACCACCACTTGAGTATCCATAGACCATAGTGTATATGGTGCTGATTCAGACTAGGCCTGTGGTGACTCTAGGCTTGTAACTAGCCCACATATACTACCATGGATACTTGAGTGGTGTAGCGGTGACTTTGCACACAGAAAACAAACTAGAGGTCATGTGATAAATAGACATTAAGGCTTTCAACTTTTAAGGCACTGGTAAGGGGTAATACAGGCACCTCCTCAGATTCACCATAGTGCCTGCTATAGGATCAAAAAAAGCTATTGGTTAGTCTTTTCCGACCTCTTTGTATACTAATTGTCTCTTACTTACAGTGATGTGGGGCATGTCATAGATGCGCCCAAAGTCAGTGTCTCCTTATTTCTTCAAGCAATTGACTTTTCTTAAAACTTTTGTGTACTTTTCTGGCCATCCATGTTCAAAGAGACTGCTACCTTGAATTTTGAGCTCTGGGAGCTTTCAAGTTTGCTTTGTATTGTACTGACTTACATATTCTCTAGCTTTCTATAACACATTTTCTGTGGTGCACCTGTTTTCTGTTCTGTTTTCAAGTTTACTCTGTACTAACAACATGATGCTTAATCTATACAACTCATTTTCCGCAGTGCTGACCTGTTTTTTTTCCAGTTTTCAAGTATATTCTGTACTAACAATGTTTATTTTTCTAGTGTTCTATAACACATTGTCTATCACACTGTATCTGCCTTTTGTTCAGGTAGGCATCAGTTTAACATTGAAGATCATACTGACTTACTGTGAAGGGGTACAAATGAAGAGGTCACAAAAAATTGTCACATTGTCACAGCCTGAGATATGACATCAACCTGTGTGTTAAGGGCCCAAAAAGAAACAGATACACCAGGACAAGTCAGAAGAAGTCCCGCGGAAGAAGTTACACATGGTGTTGATGTTTGATAAGCCAGAGTAACAGAATCTTGTGTATTAAGCATAGATAGGGGAACAATGACAAAAAGATTGCTTGAAAACCACGCCGTGACAAATAACAGGGGCTTCAGAAATATGTATAAAAACATAGAAAAGAAAAGAAAAGTTCATAGAAACCTGTCTTTCTATTTCTCCTTCTCTAGCAATGACAAACTGTGCGCACCAACATACCGCTGTTGACAGGGGAAAAGCAAGGAAGATCAACATTCACCACAAAAGAAGGCTCGCATTACGAACCAGTCAGAAAACGCAATGGATGATACTCCTCGCAATGACACTTCCAAAGCCAGCATGTACATGACATTATGAATTCGAGAAAAAGAAATAATGTACATCATTCAGTACACCCGTGGAATCTGTCTCTGACAATGCAAATTCTGAACAAGAAGGGAGTTTGATAGAGTGAGTAAACCAACATGAAAACATACTGTGGTTTGATGCTAAACAAATGCCTATTGTTTTAAGCATGAATAAAAAACTTCCTAAAAAAAGGAACTAGTTGGGCGTGGTGCATCAAAGGCGACTGTGACTGTTAAAATTATAATCCCCAATCCCACAATGACACTAATTGACGCGGATGAGGTAGAGCAATATGGAGAAGAGTTAAAATTGTACGTGAAAAACACACAACATAATTGAAAACTAACCTTGTGAAAGGCGCATCAAGAAACTGTCCAACTACAGCAACAGTAAAGCAAATGTGTATGCACTCGGTCACCTTCTGCCAAACATGATGTGGGGTCCATATAAAGCCATAGGGGATCGAAGCAAGATCTTATGTGACCCTGTAATAGGCGAACCTCTCACAGTCTGGATCCTCGGTCACACAATGAAGAAGTGGTTTACGAAGAATGGACAGCCAGATAACCAGGCCTCAATCACAATGATTCCCCTGTCTCAAATACTGGCACAACAGAGTGCAGTATTGTTGACGAAATTGGGGCATCCGGCTGGTGGTAAGTGACAAACGTAAATGAATAAAACCACATGTACTGATTGAGTGGTAGCGTTATCCAATCAAGAGATATGTGACATCTGTGCTGTTAAATGGCAAAGCAGCAGGATAAACAAGGAATCAACCACTGTAAGATTCATTTAATTATGTCAAGCTGTCAGTACTCACATGTGATAGCCTCTGTTATTCGACACTGTGTACAATGCAAGGAAAGAAGGCTCGTTAAAAAATTACTGTAATCGTCCTTTATGGGACCTTGCCAACTTGAAAGCCGGTGATCTCATTTTGCTTGAAGCGAGAATCACGTGTTATTCTGTGAAAAACACAGACAAGAGAACATTCATCACATACAGGCAACATCCGAGGAAAAGCATATCCATCATTCCAAACATAGAGATAGAACCAGATCACCTGTACACTCTATTTGTCGAAGGAGAAAGTGCCTGCCCTCCACCATATTCATTAATGGAAGGCATTGTCGAACCTGGAAGGAAATATACGCAGCACCAAGGAAATCTACTGGTTATCAAAAGTAATTGAAAGGATAAGAACAGAATAAGCAACATCACGAAGGCAGATATTTTGCTGACAACCAACCTGATAAAGGCGTGAGTGCAATCATTTAATCAAGAGCGTATCCAACTAACAACACAGAAGTGTGTTAGAAGACCAATGCGGAAGCAAGGGATCAAAATACATGCCAGTAAACAGAAAAGAAAAACAATGATGAGAGACAAATAATGGTTGATGAGGGCATCTGGTATTCAAATGAACAATGATTTATTTGTACATTGATACGGACACGTCAAACATGAGAAATCAAAAGAAAATCAGATATGAAAACAGTTTAAAGATGGGAGCAACAGCAAGACAATGAGAACAGATAAATAACAGGTCCAGGAGTGCCCAAAGGGCTGTGCTATTTAATGTAGAGCTCAGCACAAATGTATTACCTTTTATGGGCATTTTCTGGTCATGTGATGCTTAAATCTTTGCCCAATTTTTGAGTCACATGATGTGTCAGTCATGTGAATAATTGACTACTCACCAATGGGGATGCACATGAACGGACTGGATATAGAGATAAGGGGTACCTAAAGGGTATTGGGTGGTCTGATGTGCGGGAAAGTAGCAGGTCTGAAGGTGCAGGGTATTGAGTTGGTCAGGTTATCATTGGGTTCAATGTGGGTGATGTTGGGTATAGCAAGAAATAGATGAGAAGTGTGCTAGTGTTAAAAACCATCAAATAGCCCATTTTGAGGCTAGCGCCAAAATGTTTGTCACATTGAATTGGGGTTTCCCCTTCTAGTAATAATTTTTTGTGGGATAATTAATGTGTCTGCAGACTTTGCACCTCTCTTTCTTGTGGTTCCTTCTATTCTCTAGCTTATTTTTAATCTTCTGCTTCATGCTGTTCTTCTTGGCCTTAGCATTGTTTTTCTTGCAGTGCTTGAACTCATAAATTATGATTGACATAAGCTCCTGGGCAGTATAGCCTTTGATCTTGTCAGACTCCATACCCTTATTAGCATGCGCACCTAAGTAGAATGAAGTCCAATTTTTCCATAATATAGGTAATAACATTAAGAACATAGCCTTCAACTTGTGATTGTGAATTTCACATCCTATGATGTCAAGTTCATTTCTTTTATTAATTATATTGATGATGTGTATTCCAAGATCTTCTTCTTTGGCTTTCAAGGAATAGAAGGTATACTTTGTAATCTGTGCATTTGACTGACTCCTTGTTTCATGAATAGTTGTCAGATTTTCCCTGGCTTCTTGAACTATTTTTACTCAGGACACATGGACAACTTGGTCATCTTTAATATTGATCAATATGTGTTCTCATGATATAATTTTTTTTTCCCACTGCTCACTCATTTCTTCAACCTCAGTGAGGTCTCTCAGCAAGGGGCACAGAGCACCTTCCAGCGGGTTTTTGCGGGTATGTAAAGTAATTTGACTCACCTTGCTGAGTCCTGACCTTGGACAACAGAGTACATCCAAGTCTGGGTCAAATGAGGCACAACCTTACATAGTACTACAGATTTGGCAGAGACACGAAACATCTAGCTTCTTAGTATATACAATAATTCAACAATGACATCTTGATTCTCTACTGAGTCCTGACACTGGATGACAGAGTTTGACAATCTTCAGACCAAGAGATCCAGACGGACCAGCAGAGTTACACCTAAGACAATAGATGGTGGACTGTTGCTGGCCACCCCAACGGACTGTTCATCCATAGTGAGTCCAGTCTGAAGTCTGATTAGCATACCTGACTAGTGGCGTGGAATTTCTTAGTCTTATATTTCATGACCTGGATAAATTTCACCCAATTACAACAGACACTAATGACTGAAGAAGCCTGGAAGGGGTACCTTACACATTTAAAACAGACACCATACATGTTTGCTTGGTTTGTGATTGTTTTCGCTGCCTTGATATATTATTAATATTTATATTTATATTAGCTTTGGTCTTGGCAGCTGCGTGCATTTCCGAACATACAAGTCAAAGTTAAGCCATCACAAGATGCAGGTAAGTAATGTTATTTATGCCAAATTATCTTTCTGATCCAATTGGCAGGACTTATCACAATCAATGATCACATGGACAGTGTTCTACTCCACAATTACTATTCCCACCATCCTGGCAGATGTCTGCACTATTATCCACATAATTGCACCAGTCATTGCCATACCACACCCGTCTGTTCGCCCACTTCCTTGGAAAATCAGCTACATGGCAGTACCTACAACAATTTTCCTACTGTTCCTTTTCATTAACTTATTCCTCCATGGAGGTGTAGGATTGTCTCAATTCTCTCTTTCTACACCATCCAATTTTTATTGGTGAGTTGGTTAGTTTTATATGATATAAGTGATCTGAGACTGATAGATGAGTGCGTGGTGCCTAGACTCTAATATATAGATAGAGACAACATATTTGTCCAATAGTCGGATTAGACATATTTTTAGTACAGGGGTTTAATAATGTGTAGCATTGTCATGCATAATATGTGCTTCATATCATGACATAAATAAAAGGAGTATACTAAGGAGATTATCAGGAGAGTGTACAAGGATATACTTCTCACTATCATAAGCTAAGTTTTCTGTTGTTTAGTTGTATTTGTAGTTTTCTATCAGTTTCTGTCTCTTTCCATTTTTCTAAGCTGATTCAGCCACTCAGATATGTTTGTCAGCATATCATATAACTGGCAAAAATATGTATGATGAATGGGAAGCTAACTAAACTTTTCCCAGACACATTCTTGCTGACTTAATCAAAGCAAGGAAGCAACTGATCTAGACCAACAAAAACACTAGATAACTTAGTTAGGCTGACTAAATGGCCACTAACAATAGTAAAGAATGCACAAGACTAAGATTATATCTAATCTTAGTATTAAGGTCAAACTGGGTCTGCATTTTAGATGATTAAAGAGTAATAGATGTAAAGTGGGAAATTTTTAGGTAAGGCAGAGTTATGTAAACTGGCTAATGCAGTGCTTCATATGGCAAAATGTTTTTTCTTTGTGTGCTCCTTAACTAGACCCACTTAAGCTTGATACTATCTACATGGAACACTATGGTATATCATCTACATATGGCAAGTCTGTTATTTCACATTGCTTCTTAGTTTGCCTAATGATTTCCAAAACATGTCAAAGTGTATGAGGCAAACTTCAAACATGATTCAATGTGTTCTTAATCTTCCATTTTCTCAGAACAAACCAGTTCTATTTTGCCCTTTTAGGGTGCTGTTTTTCTTTAATAATATGTATGCTATTCTGAAGGTGTTAAGACCATGTTTAAAAGGCATATCTACAGAAGTCTAGACTTTGCACCAATGAACCAAGGGAAGCAGGGTAGATCCTACTGAGGATATGTCTAGTAGAATGGAAACTGAGTTGCAGGGTTATCCTGCTGAGAGGTAGGAATAGCTAGGCTACCTTTCAGAGGTACAGAGATTATGATTAGAATAAATAAAATATAATTTAATACTAATTTGCTGAGTTCTGTATATAGTATATGATGTCATAACATTAGTCCAAAACTTAGTCAGCAGATCTAAACAATATACAAGAACCATATCTCAACTCACTCAATCTCGCTAACACCTCCAGCCTCAGTCGATACTGGGATGTAATATATCCGGCAACCAGCCTACACCAGTCACAAACACTTATGCTGGTCAACTAACACATATCAAAGAACAACTGGCATGCTGTCCCAATACAGTCCACAAATGTCATGGCCATAGAACTCATCAATCCCCAGGGCAAAGTACATGTATATAACATTCATAATCCTTGTGAAAATGATGCCACCCTCCACTTTCTGGAGCAGCACATGTGAAGTGAGCAAAATGCTCAAGGTGAACAGGCAGAAAACAAATATATAATATGGTTGGGCGACTTTAATCATCACCACCCCATGTGGGAACTCCCAGATGACACACATCCATTTACTGTAGCCAATCTAGATGCTGCGGGTGTACTGATCAACCTCCTTGCCTTGTACAATCTAACACAGGTACTACCACCCGGGCTAGCTACACTAGAAGTGTCTAGTACCAGAAATCATATGAGACCGGACAATGTGTTCTGCTCGGAAGAGTTAGAACACATGTTTACCCAATGCGAAGTTAAGTACCATATGCGGCCAGTCATAACTGATCAATATCCTATTATCAGCTCCATCGACTTCTACCCAGAGCACATCAACTCAATCCAAGGCCAAACTATAGGGAAGTAGATTGGGACTAATTCAACGAGGCTTTATCACAAAGACTCAACACAATCGCCCCCCCAAACAACATCACAACCCCAGAACAATTCCATCAGACATTCATGGAAATCATGGAAATAATAGCCGACACTGTAAGCGACAAAATCCCCAAGATCAAACTGTCTCTGTACTCCAAAAGATGATGGTCTAAAGATTGAGACGAAGACCGCAAAACAGTACACCAACTAGGGAAGAAGGCGCACAAGAAAACCGCACAGCGCAATCATCCCATACACAAAGAGTATTGAGTCACCCAGAACCAATTTTCGGAGCAGATCAAAAAGGCCAAAGAGGAGCACTATATGGAATGGATGGAAAAACTAACCTCAACAGATGTATGGAACTTTCACTGCTATGTGGCAAACAATCCAGCGGATGAAGTGCACACCAGAATCACGACACTCCAAGACCCCAGAGAAAACCCAAACGGTGGAGCCACGCAAGACAACACCTGAAAAAGTGAACTCCTATATGAGACATTTTTCAGACCACCACTGTTACAGTAACATGGCACCCCTATCTTTTTCTGACCCTTTCACCCCTTCACCTCGTCACCTCATCACACCTTCACCTCTTCACGATTCACCATGATGCTTGACGCACTTCTTGATCCCCGCCGTCCCTGACCTTCTGTGACAGAAGCTAGACGCTTCCCTTGGACCCTTGATTTATGGCCTCATGGCCTGTACTTATATTTCCCTTGATGTTCCCATTGATCCCCATCCCTGACCTCATGGACTCCTGCCTGGTCCTGCCTACCCGATATATCATTTCTTGACCCTTGTACGATTACCAGACCTGCCCTGAACACTGTGATCTTTACCTATATATAGTCGATCCACTTGTACTATTATTCCTTAACTTGATCCTACTGGGTTTTACCTTGACTTGTATATTCTCTCGAGTTAACTCTCTTGAGTCTGATCACGAACCCGCTATACTCTTGGATCGCTATCCTTGAGTCAATACCTCTTTTCTCTCAGACTGTTTGTCTTTGAGTCGATACCAATCCCTCGTCTAGACTTAACCGTCGAACACGAAACCCTTCTTCGGCTCTCGCCTTAGAAGCTTACCTCCCCTTCCGTTCTGTCACAACCTGACGGCTTAGGCTACCAGGTATATTGATGTTCAACCGATACACGACACGATAGCTTAGGACCGTCGTCCTTCGCTTACCCATCCCAGTCCAACTATGACCATTGTCATAACAACCACCAGAAGATGATTATGTGGACCCTAACTACATCTATGAACCCTGTATGCGACTTCAAGCCGATTACTGACCAACAGATAACATGCACAATCGTCATGCTCGTACCACACAAGGCACCGGGACCCAATGGGATCAGCAACCAGCCACACAGCTAGCCGACTCTCCGAACCTAAATGCCTTCAGAAGGCGCTTACCATCCTTGCCCACTCCTGGACCAATACCAAAGTTATCATCGCTCCAAGCAAACAGTATATAGAAATTAGAGTAAACTACCACATGTAATGTCTATCATAGGGCTACACCCCAATGAACAGTAAACAATGATTCAAAAAAAAACAAAGTCCTCTAGATATGTAGGTAGCTACCCCACACTCTCAGGGTGCAGAAGCGTAAGGGAAGCGGATAGGCTTCACGGAAGCGCAAGTGAAGCGGATATGTATGTAACACTATGTGTAAGAGACCCTGGATGTGGTCAGTGACAGTAATAACAGTGGAAATATGCACCAATGGAACCAGACAGACAAGACAGGACATGGGAGGATATGCTGAGTAGAGCACTGGTATGTGGAAGGGTGCGCATGCAGCACGTGTCTCTATAGGACTGCGCCTACTTATGGATGGTGATGATGTTGATGTAGAAATGTGGGGATACGAGACTGTGGAGATATCACTCTCTACAATGTGTAGGACCCCATTAGCATTTGAGACTATGTTGGCCAAGGGATGAAGGCCGTGCTAGAAAATAAATAAGTAATGTAGAGGCAGGATAGATTGCACTCATAACAATAGTATCATAGGCCTGATCTGGTCATGCATGTACTAGGTGTCTGGCACCAGTATGCTCAGATGCAACAGTATGGTCTTAAAGCTCCTACATATGTCATCTTCATGTGGGTCTTCTGAGTCCTGGCTGCCGTCTTCCTGGCCATGGTGTCCATCCTGGGGCTTTTATGGATGTTTATATGGTGGAGGGGGGGGGGGGGGTTGTACAGTTACCATGGCCTTTACAAGTATTCTATCCTATCATCTGCAGTAAGTTGCCTGTTATCTAACAGAATTACTAAAAACTTACCTGGATAGCATCAAAATATACAGTTTTGCCCTCTTGAGCTGCCTGATCAAAATAATCAAAGGATCCCCTCATAGACAAGGAACTGTTAGGCCCAGGAATATAGTAATTGTAAGCAAAGGGGCCCTGTAAGATTGGTGATTAAATCTATAAGACATACCAATATTTCTTGCTAATATTGATTCACCAATTTTGGAGCAGGCCCAGCACACCTTTGGGCAAAATACACCACCAAGAGCCAATCATGTTCATCAAGGAGCATTCCCAAAGCTCTGTTGCTTGCCCAACCTCTATGAAGTCTTGAAGTCAGACACCCTTCATACGGTAGGCGAGAATGTTGTCTTTCTAATGTTTTGCATCATATGTAGCATCTCGGTGGTAACACTTGGCCCATTGATTTTTGGAGAGTGTTCAGTGAAGGGATACCAGTACTTTTATTCAAGAAGGTCTTGTCTTTGCCAGTAAGCTTGGAGGCTGCTTGCGACACTACACACAGACTACATGTTTTCACACTAGCACCTGTACTTAGCACCAGCCACTTCAGCACCTTTACACCAACATATGCCACCATATGCTGATGCTCTCTCACCTGCACCCCTGTTTTCACCGCTGATCGAACACTTTGCCAGACCACATCACCAGCGCCAATAATAACACTTACTCCATCTGTAGCCCAACCTCATACCTACACTGTATCACTCACACACGCATTATACTGTTTGCAACCTGACATGCTACACACTTGTCCCAATATAATATACAATCACCCTCAAATGTCCAGCACACTGACAATTGAATACAAGGAAGGTAGACGATTGCAGGCTCACAACAGAAAGGTTTTCCTTTATTCATCTATCCTTGACCTTTGACTATCACCTCATCTCCTTTCTTATTGTATGCTATCTGTCTTATTTTATTAAATGGGAGTTCTCTGACTCCACAGGTTCAAAATGGCCTTGTAGTATTATAATTAATAGTGTATTGCTCAATGCTAGACAATTAATGATGGAACTCCAAGTGCCTGAATCCAAAGTAAATGGTGTAAATGAGTATCTGGATGTGTCTGGATTAGGAAAGGATCTATTTGATACTGAAAGTGCTGCATTTGTTCTGCTTTGAATGGGCAATATGCATCTGGGACCTCAATATGAGATAGCTGTGTAGGTTGGTTGGAAACAAATGGATTTGTACAATACTTGTCTGGTATATTGTGAGCATCATGATGAGAGTGCAAATAACTGTTGTCAGTGTCATCCCAGTCTATTCCATTCTCTATTATTCCTTGGACCAACATGTATTATTGTAAATGCTGAGGTTCACCTTGGCAACCGAGGACATGAGAATCTCATGCTCCAGCCCATTGACCTGCATCATTGTTTGACCATGGGTAAAAGAGAAAATGCAGTCTTGCAATGGGAACTTAATAGGCCACTTAACGAGGCTACTATGTGACCAATGAAGACTAGGACTAGAGTCCAGAGTAAGTTGCCAATTTATAGAAGTATAGTAAAGGTATATAGTACTTAAATGAACTGAGTTTTATTTGTGTGCATTTGATTACTGACACCTTTTAACTTAAAGTTCTCAGAAATTATTCTCCGTCCATGGCAGTCTCTCCTCAACTGTGCCCAGGAAACTTACCTGCGGCTTTTGCATTGTGGCTCCATTATCAACAATAGTGATGTGTTTGCAGGGTTGCAACATGCAGTAGTCTAGTAAGTTCATTTAAATTAGATGTCTTATCTTATCTTACCTGTGAACAGCCACAAGCTCTCCACCACCATTATTTTTAATGTCTGGTGTTTCCAGCCATCCTTTGCATCTCATTTGCTCCTGGCATTCACAAAGGAAGTCCTTGTGGAATGTTGCCCCATCTGCTGTGCCTTTGGTGACACACTGCTTGAGGCTAGCCTCCAGATCTTCAAGTTCACATGAGGTGATATAAAGTTCCGGCCTTAGAGTAGCTTCCTGCCAATCTAATGCCCAAACTGTAGGTGTACTAATTCTTAGTGTTCAGCCTATGCCAGGGCCAGTGGGGTCAAGACCTATGTCTTTAAGTACAAGAATACCACCTGTGACTAGAGTTTCAAGTTCAATTAGCTTAAAGGCGCCACCATGTTGTCAGCAGGTAGGAAGAAGGGGTGTTCATGGATGGAGGTACCTGTAGAACCATTGTTGACTTGATCATGTACATTTCTAACTTTTACTACTCAAATTTTGTCACTTCATACATGTTTTCACTCTATGCAATAATGTTTGGTTGTCAGTTAATGAAACTTTGTTAGATGAACTGTGAATGTTGGTGAATTTCAGTAAATATAGTGTAACTTGTAAACACACATGTCACATGACCATGTTTGTCACATGACCATGTTTGTCACATGACTGTGTTTTTGATCATGTGACATAATAGTTGAGCTTTCAAACACAATCAAGTCTTGGCTGATCCTACATTCCGCAAACTCTTATTGGCCTGCATCCATGTCATTTTATGATATAATAGCCAGCTGGACTCTCATTTTCATCAATGTGTTGAATCAGCACAAATATTCCTTTGTTGCAGCTAAAGGAAATTCTCCTATCATGGCTTGCATCCTCAAAATAATCAAAGACACTATAGGGAGCAGTGAAGCAGTCCAAGACCCTTGTATCATACTTCCAGAGAAAAATCTTCAAAATGTGAGCCTTCAAAATTCTATCCTATACTAATCTAATTCATACAGGCTGTTCGTATATATTATTTTGACTTCCTGGAGGATCACAAGGATCACAAGGCAAAGAAAGAAATTATTGAGGGAGAGCATAAAGATAGATCTGCTGTAGATGCTATGACTATAGAGATGGTGAGAGAATGGGAAAATGATAAGCCTAAGGAAGCTGGGAAGTACAAGACAGAATGTTCTGGTTTTGATGATGTCCAAAAATTATTCAATGACAAGATGCACCATGATATCTCCAACCAAATGTCTATGGGTCAGAAGACAAAGTTGGCCCAGGCATGATACCAGGCTACGTCCTCTGAGATGAAACAGGAACTTGTCCAGGTTGCTGGAAAATGTAATTGAGAAGGGCCTCCTGCAGGTTCCAAGGATAGATATTTTTTGTTAACATTCTATCAGCACACATGTTACATAACTTAATGATATATCAACAGATATCATACTCTTTACCAGAAAACAAATCATGGAGGACTTTATGGGCATGGGTTGGAGAACTATGAGGTTGCATGTCGTCATTCTCTGGGTCCAATGATCCAATAGAAGGTTGGACTGGATAGGGGCTAGAACATAGATATGACACATCCATTGATAAATATTCAAACACGGAGATTGGAGAACCCTTTGTTGTGGCTGATCTATCATGATTAAAGATAGGTGAGTAGAACTTTGCATTCTTGATTAGAGGACTCACCAAATATCTTCACAAATCTTAGCTCGTCATCAGTCTGTGGGGCAGCATCTGCAAGGTTGCTGTCAAAATTGGTGATGTAGCAGCGCCACCTGGACAGAAGACGTGCCGCCCTCTAGCGCTGCCAAATGGGATAATGGTCTGCATTTTCTCATAATGCTCTCACCCTCTGTTGCAGAATGGACGCATGAGGTTGTTTGCCTAACAGAAGTTAGCGCTCAAATCACATTTGAAAATTTGTGACTGGTCAGTAATATACAAAGAAAATTACACAACTTTCAATGCCAAAGACAGATCCTTGAGCAGTGTTGATCTTCGTTGCCAGTCTGCTGAAAACCACAGCAAAAACAACAAACCAAACAACAATAGTGCACAGCGGGCAGGTGGGGATGGCTGTTTCGCTTGTGGTGAAGCTGTAGAACATCATCTGGCCTATGTTCCATGGACTTCAGAAAGAGAATGTTAGCAGACTCCAGAGAACCAAATAATATATACCTTGATAGAAGCATCATTGTTGCTGGACCCCTCAGCTGCTAGAAGCTTGTCTGCCATGTTATATTCTTCATCACGTGAGCGCTGAAACTCAAAATCAGTTGGAAGAGCAATGGTGACACGAGGATGAGAAGGCATGACTTCCTTTGAAAAACCTGTCTCACATTCAGCATAATCATAATGGCAATAGTGAATTACTTACCGGGATGTGTGGTAAGGCACCCATGGGCTGCTCCCCAGCCAATTTCCGAGCCTTGGTCTTCAAGATCTTCTTCATTATTGCGGTCTTCACTACTTCCATTATTGTCCTCAGTGGACATCTCTGAACTTTCATATACAGCATCTTGTAATCTCAAATGTATGTCACCAGCTGGCAGCAGAGCAGGATCCAAGTTCTTGTAGAATTCAGCATCAGATTGTCACATAACTGACATAGACTGTGTTAAGACCATGTTCAACAGATCGGATCTGAGACAGTAACAGAATATGACAGACTGTGAAGATGGCATTGCTTGTGCTAAAGTGTTATTTCTCTAGGTAGTGATAGCAGCTGGAAGATGTTCAGGGGGATCCAAGGAAGCTGACAGAGCATGATGGTTCTTAGCGGCAGCTATAATGGGATTATCGAGTGCTTTGCGAGTCATTCTCTATGCCAGGGGGGACAATGGAATGTGTAAAGCCAAACTGAGCACCAGCTTCATAGTGAGAAAGGCCAGGTGGAATGTTCTATACCTCTGAGCTGGAGGTAGGCATATGTATGGGTTTTGAAAACCCGTGTGGGTGGTGGGTGGGGGTACCCCTCGGGTGTGGGTGTGGGTCTGACCTTGCACCACCCATACCCTTACCCATACCCTCGGCTCAGGTTGACACATGAAATTGTGAGGCACTAGTACTAATCTGAACGAATCTGAATGAAACATAAACTCCGCGAAGCACAACTGTAATACAGTCTGTCAAACTAAACCTTAACACACTACAGTATCCTCAAAAAAAACCACCACATGCATCTAAATATGTTCTCACAAACGGCCCGCCGAGTTTCCAAGCTGACTGATAAGGCCAAGGCAGCCATCGAGGAGAAGCTCACTGACTCATTGAAGAAAAGGAAGACTAATATGCAGATCAGGTGGGTACGGCACCCGGTCAATCAAAAAGGGTAAAACCTACCCGATCGAATGGGCCTGCCGAGGATATACAGTCAGAAAACATAGTGCCTCCATCCCCTGCCATACCGAAGCCTCCGTTGCAGGCACATCGCACTGTTGTTCAAATTGAAGAAGCAAAAGCACGTCAGAATGTAACCATGGTTGAGGACACAAGTGAAGATGAAGACAATATACCAGAGCGGGAATCAAGTCCAGATGTCGAGACTCCAGAAGACGAGCTAAGTAAGATGAATCATTAATTTAAATCACATTGTTAACAAAAGCATAGAACAACTAATGAAAGAATGGACCTCACCGGTATATGCCTTCTTTAACCCTACTCCTCGTATTGTTGAAATTAATGGGCACCGCGCACATGAATTTAAATGTGATGCACATGGATGCAAAACAACCATTCGAAGGTTCCTTGACAAAAAAGATGCGAGGTTGACGGGCAACATGCGGAAGCATGTCAAGTCCTGCTGGGGGGATGCTGCACTGACTGCTGCCGACGATGCAAAGGTTGCAAAGGAGGTCCGGACAAAAATCGTTACCGGTATCCTATGAGACGGGTCAATCACAGAGTCTTTCGAACGTAAGGGGAAGGGGAAGGTCACATACGCTCACCGTCAGCATACATGCACCGAGACAAGGTGTGTAATTGAGCTTGCGATAGAAACCGAGAGGGAACTGACAATGTTGCAGAGCCAAACTAGTCCACTGGGTGTCAGAAAGCCTGCGGCCATTCAAGATCGTGAAAGACAGAGCTTTTCAGTCATTGATGAAGACTGGAAGGCCAGAATACTACATACCTTCCCCCACAACTGTTGCACATGATGTCAAACTCGTGTTCGCGCAGGTTAGTTTCTTCACAATCGCAATTGATCATACTAACCCAACTCACAAGGAATATGACGGTAAAATGAACTTTACCACTGATGGATGGACATTGTGTCGGTAGGGGTTGGCCAGGTCCTAGGCCAGGGGTCTGCCAGAGGTGCCAGGGGTCTTGCCTGGGCCTCGAGGCACTAGATACATACATATAGCGCATGTCAGTAGGATAGTCCTTACGCATTCCATGACCTCCATCCCACTGTCTGGTCTGAGTCCCATGGCTCATTAGCCATGGTCTTCCTTAGTCGCACCGACTCAATGTCGATGAACCACCATGCATTCGTGGCATTCTCAGTCCACCTGGAGCACCAAGGTGTCTCACTAAGCTTCCCATTAGATATTATTGAGGTCGCGACAGTACGGAAATGACTTACTCAGACCGTGCATATATTGACATGTTAATGCATACAGTCACATACTGGCGAGGAGCTCGCAACTGTTTTTGCGAGCATGCTAGAGGAATTTGGGGTATCAGAAAAGGTAGCAATCTAAAAATAACAAAAGGACTTACAAGCTAATGTCGTGAGCCATAGATCCTGAGTGTTATGTGCGACAACGCATCTAACAACAATGTTATGATCGCGAATCTCGCCACATTGGTGCCCGAGTTCGCAGGGAGTGCAAGTCATACAAGGTGCTTTCTGCATACCGTCAATCTCGTAGTGAAGTCCCTCATTCGCGAGTTTGATGTGGCGCAAAAAGAAGCCAACAGAGCCTTGGATGGCGAGGATGCAGAGGTAGTGAATGAAATCAATGAGCTGAGGAATGATGATGAGAATGAATACGTAATCACTTCCCAAGACTTGGACGATGAATTGACAGACAATGACGACGGCTGGGTGGATGACATCGGATTGTTGCCAGCAGACGAGCACAACGAACTGCAAAAAAACACATGATCGGTCAAATTGGTACTCCTGAAGGTAAGTATACCAAACCATACATGCACACCTTTAAACTAAAGAATCCATCAAGCTGCGCAAGCTTGGATATAAGCTTATAAATTCCACAACAATCCTGCTCCCGGCCTGGCATGAGATCCTTGGCGACTTGCACATGACAAAGACTAATATGCCACGAGATGTGTCGACCCGGTGGAACTCGACTTTCGACATGCTCGAGTATTCTCTTGGACATCGGAAGGCTATTGACACAGTGACACAGTGCCGAGAGTTAGGTTTGCACAAGTTCGAGCTCACAGACTTGCGCGATGTAGTGAAGGTGCATCTTTGTCTTTGTTTGAGTTCATTTCATTTGCTTGGCTAAGCAGGTACCACTGGCAGATTCTGAAAGATGCAACTTTGTTTTTCTCGCGCTCGACCCCAAACCTTGCTACAGTCATTCCTGCAATGGAGTGAATCGACGAGCAACTTACCATGTATTCCCACAGCAAGAAGTACCTGCCATCCATTCACGCAGCTGTACGACTAGCCAAGCTAACCCTCAATCGCTACTATCAAATGACGGACAAATCCGAAGTATATCATATTGCTATGGGTGAGTGGTGTTTTAATTGTTTCTTGTTTGAAACCACTGACCATTTTGTTTTTCTACATAGTGCTACACCCACATCACAAGTTATCCTATTTCAAGACAGCTCATTGGCCGGAGCAGTGGATCGAGACAGCGGAAACCCTGGTGCGCACAGAATTCAACCGTTCCTATCTGGAGTTGGAGATCATCGACGACGACACATTGATGGATGCTGGACCAACCGTCAACGACTCGCAGACGGTTCGTTCACTTTAAGAATCTCCACCTTTCATTCACTAACCATATCCTAGAACATTTTCGATAGTATTCCAGCACTTGCGGCACCCAAGGCCAACTCAACTAATGAGCTGGACCGCTATCTCGGCATGGACATTGAACATGTTATTGACCCCATATCTCCTGGTGGTACGAGCGCCGTGATACTTATCCACGTCTGTCACGGATGGCATTGGATTATCTTACTATTCCTGGTGAGTCCAATTCTTGTTGCCAATTGTTCTGAGCTTCTGACATTGTTTTGTAGCTACCTCGGTCGATGTCGAGCGGTTGTTCAGTCGCGGTCGCCTCTTACTATCTCACATTCGTTCTCGCCTCACTGCAGAGTCGACTTGCACACTATTATGCCTTAACTACTGGAGTCAGCTCAACCTCATCAAGACCAAAGACATTGTCAAAGTTAGCTCTTTACCTGATGCTGAAGGTGACGAGGACGAGCTTGAGGCCAGGTGGGATAGAATCCAATTGTCTTAAGTAGACAGTTCATAGTTTTTTTTTGTACCCTGCCATATGTCATTCTACCCGTGGGTACACCCACGATGGGTTGTACCCATGGTGCTTATCCCTTTACCCATGATAAAACCCATACCCACGCTGAGGGTATGGGTATACCTCGGGGTACGGGTGCGGGTGAGAGCGCCGCTACTCCGGGGTTTACCCATGCGGATCCCTAGCTGGAGGTAGGAGTGAGAGTGTTCTTTGTCACCTTACATTTCTTCACTGGTGGTTTAGAAGTTGCAGAATCTTCAACTGGTTCAGAGGTGCCATATGGTGGAGGCAGCTTCTGCATGATATATTCAACCTTACTGTCTATGACTAAAGTGACCATAGGAATAGCCATGGTAACAGGTCAGCATTGGAGAGCGTGGAGGCTCATCCCAGGCTGGCAAACACTAAACACTAGATGTATGATGAGATATCACCTGGGCGGAAGCCATTGGCTTTGAGCATCTTGTTTGATCCCTCTCTTCTCTCCCAGAGCTCAGCAGCACACTCATGGTCTACAGAGACAACATTGGGGTGGTCAAAGGATGGTGGAGGGGAAGAAGTCAGAGTGTTGAGGTTAACAATGTTTTCATATGAATCCATGAACACATCTGCCTTGTACCCAAGTGTTTTGCAATCCAAACTACATATGTCACTAGTGAGCACAATCTTGCAGGCAGCCCCTCACAAGGCATCTATTCTCCTACCAAGCTTCTACTCCCTCCCATCAGTATTCCCCCTGCTATTCAACAATTCATCATCAATTTCACTCTTCCCTCCACCTCTGCCGAGCTTGAGCTTTTGCACCATGGGAAATACCCCCTGCTGCTGCCAAGATCATCAATAGAGCTCCCATCCAAGCTGAAGGCACTGAGTGTGACAAGGTCCACTGTGAGGAAGAAGATGAGCTTCTTAGCAAAACCATCTACGAGCTCACCAAATAGTGCACCTTCTCAATTTGAATCCACACTCCCCAGTAGTATTCCAACCCCCACTTTGACCCTACAGCGCTATAAACGTAATCTCACACCAATGCCCTCCCCTCTCTGTCCCAATTGTCTAGCCCATGACAGAATGCGGCTCTGGCTACCTCCTGGTGAAGGCCTACGGAAAACCATTTCTGCAGGTGACCAAAACATCACCCTCATCTCCGAAGATCAACTCAACCACATCCTAGAAGTGATGGGTTCATCATTGGCAAAGTTACCTAGGTAAACTGGTCATGTGACTTATGAACGACATGTAACAATGACCAACACATGATGCTTATCTAGTATGTAATTATATTGTATGTTCTTTTGATCTATTGTAATACAATTATGTACTTTCATCACTGACAGTTGATAGTGCGGATGCGATAAAACATCATGTTTGATGTTTCCCTTTCCCATGTTGTTGGACTCCTCTGCTGTGATGAATTCTCTTGTCTCTCTCAACCAAGGCAATTCTCCATCAGGCAGATGAATGATGCACCCTCACACTCAACGACATTGAGCACCCTGTGGTCGTTGAACTGGACTTGGTACTGGAGACTATCGCAAGAATCGCAGAGGTTTTTGATGTGTGCCTCAAAGCGTTCTTGAAAGGTGCGTGTATCGATCTGTCTGGCCGCTGTATCCATGAACTCATCTTCCACTTCTTCGTTTTCCCTTTCAAACATATGTCCCTCTACTCCAGTTGGGTTCTTGTGGGCATCCTCCTCTCCTCTCACCAAGTATTGTAATGTCTGCTGTACCGTGGAATTGGGAGGACGGCTGGCTTTCCATTATCAGTGTTGTCTTTAGTCTCGGTACCTCCATTGGTGCAACTCCTCATGCCCAAAGCTCCCACTGGCCACGTCAATACCAATTCTCCCATAGGTAATTGATATACACGAACATCCATCTTCCAGGTCACCACATGGTCACTTTCAATCCAAGTGAATCCACAGACAACATTATCGCATAGCAGCCACTGAGAAAACAACTCTCACTGGCATGTTTGCAATAAACTCTAATCCGGAGTTTGCACACATTTCACACCAACTCATGTACCAGGAGTTCCCACAATATTCTGTGTGGAAACAGGCAGAACATCAATGGACATTGTGAAAACAAGGATGGGCATTGGGTCGAATGTATTATGTTTCACCAACAGCTGGGGAACATTTCCACCTTCGCACATTATTGACCGTTGTGCGAGGACCAACAACATCTTTTGAGGACCTATGAACATTCAATGGGGTTGTTCATCCCACCTTTCGTGATGCATGCCTTGCACGAGGACTGCTTGAAGATGATGGAGAGTGGCGCATTTGTCTCCTTCAGGCATCTGCCATGCAAACTGGACCTGACCTCCGAGATCTGTTTGTCACAATGCTCCTGTTCTGTCACCCATCACAACCTGACATACTGTGGCAAGAATTTCGTCATCACATTTGCGATGATTTGGCTCACTGACTTCGTGCTATGGGGAGAGAACATGTTGGCGAAGAGGATATTTTTGATTATGGATTGATTGTTCCTTCTGAAAAAAATCCTACAGCGAACCAGACAATCTCTCTCTGATTTTCCCCCAATGCCCTCTCCTCAATATGACTGGAACCCGCAAGCTGAAAATGGGCTTATTGCAGAGCAGTTGAACTATGACCGGAATCAAGAACAGCAACATGCCATGGAAAGGTTCTCACAACTCAACATGGAGCAAGCTGCTGCTTGCAATTGCATTCTCGAATCAGTTGAACAGAACCTTGGAAAGGATGTAGAAACCATTGTATTTCTTGGAAATTCGCTGATAGCCCCGCGAACTGCATCTCGCACACCTGGTAGGTGAAAAATTCTTTATTATCTGCATTGAAACACGGTCTCATATAACCTTCTACAGCCAAGGACTGCTCCACAACAAAAAAGTGGAAATATACCTTTGACAATACAGACAAGGAGAACAACAACACTTCAATGCCACTCAAGAGAAAATTGTTGGTTGCATCTGATGTGTCACTGACGCCAATAACTTCTGTGGGCTGAGGTGTTGCCTCATACACCAAGGTGTGGTAATGACACCCCCACACCATGACTCAGAAGGCCAAAACACATTTGTAACTGGAAAGATTGGTCTAAAAATGTGGGTACCCTTGCGCCATATGAATGGGGACAATCTGAAAGAACTGGCTCGGGATGATCTATTGCACATTTCTCAATGTCCTTTAGGTGGTTACCGTGTCATAAGGATTGATTTGAAACTGCCAATAATGTCCCTGTATTGAATGTCCCCACCACTATCATGGAGGTCTCCAGTCAGTCACAGATTTGCATTGGCCCAGTTCTTGTTTTACGCTTCATCCTGAAGTCCCTTGAACATTTCGCTGCATGGCGTAGGGCAGACCGCAAAGACCTTATAGCCTTAATTCACATCTTCAACCACCAGGCATCAGACAAAACAAAGAGAAAGATGTATGTGAAAAATGTGTATCATCTTACATTTGTCATTCTGTACACATTTCACTGAGTACTGAGTACTGAATCTTGGGTCTGGGGCCTCGGTCTTGGCACTCAGTACTCAGTGCTCGTCCCACCATGCTGTTGACGTCCGAGAGATCCGAGATGAAGAAAGCCGAAGGATCTGAGATAGACGAGGAGGGAGAGTGATAGGTCCAAGCCCAAGCCAAAAGGAGTGCAGGCGAGCGACGTGCAATAAGATACTCGCTACACAATTTCAATCCCTATATTCGGCATCTTCATCCTTGCCACTCCATAATCGCCGATGCTAGTCATGACATCATGTTGCAATGGGAACTGAATGGGCCGCTTCTAGAGGCTCCTGAGTGACCAAAGATGATCAGGACTAGAGTCCAGAGTAAGTTGCCAATGTATTCAAGTATAGTAAAGGTATACAGTACCTAGAGTCCAGAGTAAGTTGCCAAAGAGGCAGGGAGCACTGGACTCTGGGATATGGGCGATGTATGGTAAACAAATGTAAACAGACAAGCCATAACACAAAGGTAAGGGATAACTCGACCTAGACAAGTCCTAGGGAGGTCAGGAAAGTGAGTGAATGGTCAGAGAAATATAGGTAATGAATATGTACGTATAGAGACCATGAAAAGGATAGAAAAGAGCATACTGTAGAGGTGAATGATCATATAACTAACATGAACTCCGCTCAAATATAGCCGGGGGGCTGGCACACCCCCAGACAGGACCCAGACAAGTCTATCATAGACTGTACCTAGAGTTTCCCACTTTCACAGCGTGCCAATACTATCATGATGACGACCCAGCATCAGAAATAACTTAACTTCTCGGTTACAATGAATCAAACATGCACAAATAAAGTCAAATTCATCCGACAGTACTGGAACACGACCATAGTACCATAAGTACACTGCTGCAGCCAAATTCACCTCTGAGCATCGGTGTCCAAATCCTTGCAGCAATTTCAAGTCTAAGTGGTGAATTTGAGTATCGAGGACAAAAAGTTGCTGATTAAAGACTCGTCCAAGAGATCCGAGACGAAGAAAGCCGAAGGATCTGATGCTTTAGCGCTACTGTTAAGACTGTGTTCAACGGGTCGAACTGGAGGGGCCTGGGTTACAAAGGATTTGTATACTGTAGTGTATCCAATGGGTATCCAGCCGAAGCACAGTCCTCGGAACATAAGGCTATGTGGAAAATGTACTAGCAGACACAACATACTGTGGACAATTGAGAATGGAGTCGGATATTAAATGGAACAACAGGAACGAGTTAAATGAAAAGGAAATGAATAGACTAATGGAAAGATCAGAATGAACCCGGACATTAACTGTCAGAAGGATCCGGACATATAGGGGCTGCAAGAATCATATACAAATGGGGACTCAGGGAAATGAATTCTAGAACGGACCCGAGAAAGTGGATGGACCGGACTGGACGAGAAGCTTCAGGTACGGGATATGACAGCTACAAAGCCAGAGTCCAGTGGACTATTCATGTATCTGCACTACACACACGCACAGATTCCTGTGTAGGAGCAGCAGGAGCGCGCACGCCAGGAGCCTTCTTAACATCTATCCAAGCATAAGAATAAGGACTGGGAGGACATTGAGCCAGTTTGGCAGGAGTATGTGTGGGACTAATATTTTGACATGTCTTACGTGGATTCGAGACTTCTGCCCGTGCTTGAGGAAGTTCACAACAATATGCAAGGCATAGTGAGGATGTTCGTAATTGAGGAGTACAACCTCCAGTTTGACTACACAGTTGGTGCGCGCCTCGCATATTGCTGCGTGCGCAAACCGAGTTGATGGTCTGGTAGCCAATGACACAACTCTTTGTAAGTACACAAGTTTGGCACATTTTCAAAAATATGGTTAACATTGATGGTGTTGTCGCCGTCGCATTTGCCAACCCTGCCATCATCGCAGTGGTCATGCCACTTGTTGTACAATAGTGCATGTCAGTATCACAATTAAATTATATTAGTGGGAGCTACAACTTCAAACCATTGATTATGATGGTAGAAACTTTTTGCCAATGGGTGCTGCTGGAACACAAGTCAGGTTTGTATGTGGCAAGTAAATTGTTTGCAATCCAAAATGAAGTTCACTATTCCTGCTACATTTTGTCATTTGACGCTGTGACACCATTGGAGGTAGCTGCCCTTACACGACTATTTACCAATGGCTATGCACTCGCTTCCTCCGAATCCCACTGAATGATTGTAAATTCCTTTCAATGCTAATACTATATGTCCTCTTCATCTTTGGCAGGAACTGCGTTGCTAATTTGTTTTACTTGGTCATACAGTCTTTCATGGCTCTGTCACTTACAATACCTATGTTACTCACTGTGCGCTTCCGTGTTGATCTCATACTGGTTTTGCTTCTGAGTCATCCAAGTTGTTCTCAAGATTTGTCACCATCAATGTGAACTTTCACTAACAAATAACAAAGGTTATGGGTGAAAACCCGCAGGGTTTTCTGGCCCAAAATGCTGGCCCAAACCTGGGTGCAAAAGGTGAGCTATGAGTCCCAAGTTTTTGGGGGTGTAGCAACGTGCACAGTGTAGCATGTGGCCACAGGAAGGAAGGAGGTGTATTCACTTTCACTCTTGTGGATCAATGCACAGGAGGCATCATGAGGTGGATGAAATTTTTGAGTGCTGGGGAAGCTTGTATGTATGGCACTATGACAAAAGCATGATAACAGAGGTATTTAGTGAAGGTGTCACTCAACCACCTTCCCATTGCTTTGACAACATCAAATGGAACTCCGCGAAGGAGGTACTCTAGAGTGCCTCCGATGCAGATGCCATGGCCCTTGAGGTTGGGTAAATTCACCATGGAGGAAATCTGGCTTGTGCATTTGATTAATAAAGTGGGTGAAGACCATTGGGGGGCTTCCAGGCAAAGAGATGTGTGATTCTGAGATGGTCATCAAGGGCTGCTTTAGGGTCTGATAAGCCTTCTTGAGTGGACCAGTGTGTTTCTTCGCCTTGTAGAGGTGAAGACTTTGTGCTCGGCAGGTAAAAGGATATGACGGGGAGGTTGTTTCAGTCTGTTTTCTCCATGATGTGTGTGTCAGTTGTATACTTCATTGCATCAAAGCTTTTTAGCAATGGTACCGTAACATCCCTGGGGCTGTTGAGATCTAAGTGCTCATGAATTCTGATAATGATGTCTGGTGTGAAGGGATTGCACTCGTTTTGCTTGGATGAGGGGGGGGGGGCTAGAGCTACCAAGAGTAGCTTTGAGTTCCCTGGCATTGATGAGCCAGGGTTGACCATGAAGTACGTGCCACATTTTAAGTCCAGTAGCATAATGAGCCAGCACTGAGCCTGAGTAGTTCCTTGAAGGGTGCCAATGAAGCTGTCCCAGCTCAACCGCCCCCCAACAGGTCACGTGACTTCACATGATCAACATTGTGTGATGCCTACCAAAAAGTGTGATACTGTAGTACCTACATGAACCAAGACTCACCATCTGACCAAAGGATATGCTCAAAATCAAAATGCAAGAGAGTGCTACCCCATGACAACCCAAAGATGACTTGTCAAAAGTGTCAGGATGCAGACAGACTTAGTACTGCTGCCTGGAGGAAGAGGAAGTGAGAACAGGAACAAGAAGCTCCCCATCCTGTTCCATCTCCTCCCGTCGGCAATATAGCTGAAGGCATGAGTCAAGCAGCAGACACAGAGTCTAATGATGAATCTACCCTAGTCAGTATTCAAGATGGGTTCAAGGAAAAGGGTACTTACATGCTATCACAGTATGAGAATGCTCAGTGTCTATTTGCAGCCCTACAAACCTCATTTACAAGCTCGAGTGATGTCCAATTTCACGGAAGTTATCTTGTACCCAAGGATCCAATAACAACTGAAAAGGAGAGGGTCCAAATGGCAGCACTTGAGGTTTGGAGGACAATCAGATATTGTTTCAGGGGGGTACTCTTAAACTGACTGTCTGCAGTCAGTCCTCCAAGCGCAAAATGGACTGAGCGCTTGGTATCGGATGTTGTGAGTGAGCCGGCACCAGAAAGAAACATGTCGCTGTTGCAATGGGAACTGAATGGGCCGCTTCTAGAGGAGATTAAGTTGCCAAAGAGGCAGGGAGCACTGGACTCTGGGATATGGGCGATGTATGGTAAACAAATGTAAACAGACAAGCCATAACACAAAGGTCAGGAATAACTCGACCTAGACAAGTCCTAGGGAGGTCAGGAAAGTGAGTGAATGGTCAGGGAAATATAGGTAATGAATATGTACATATAGAGACCATGAACAGGATAGAAAAGTGTACTGTAGAGGTGATCCCAAGTGAAGCACTCTTACTTGTTCGCTAAAAGTAAGTACTGAGCTCTTTTGTGTGGCTGGTGTACTTCGTTTTCATGAAGCTGTCCCCATCTCCTAAATCCTCATTGTCATTGTGCCTGCATGAAATGTATTGAGATTTAAGATCTGCAATGACCGACAAAATTGGCTTACATCCTGAACAGCACCTCTCCCTGTTCATTTCATTCTTCCAAGCCAACATCACAACAGCACCTCTCCCTGTTCATTTCATTCTTCCAAGCCAACATCACAAACACTCTCTCATCTCGCATTGCCTTCACATCTCCTTCGAAAAGTGCTCCATATATGCAGGTCCCTTCTTACGAGTGACTTGTGCTTGTATTTCGGGATGAGGAAAGTTGTTTGACCATTCTTTGGCTGTTTCCTTTGCCTTCTCCAACTTGTTGTTGGATAATCAGCCATGACTCGCTTTACAGCCACCTGATAATGTTTGAACATACCGGGACCTCCTGGCTTTGCCCCAGACTTGTCCTCAATCCTCTTTAGCACCTCTTCCCACCTCCGATACTTTATCATGTCCTTCCTTTCCTTCTTTTTCATGTTGTGAGTGTTGATTGAAGAATAAGATGTTGAACTTTTAGTTTTTCAACATAGCAAGGATGAATCACCTGCTTCCTCTTCTTCCATTGTGCTTGGTTGACCTTGGGAGCAAATAACCTGGCAGCCCTAGCTATGGCAGTGAAAACTGCCGGCTTCTCATTCCTTTTTGCTGAAGTCCACTCAGGAAGGTAGTTCTTCAACTCCAAGATTTCGTTTTCCACCATATGTGCTCTATGCTCGTTGTTTTCCCTCTTATATCATTATTAGGCCCAGTGGACTGGACTCACAATCAGACATGATATTCATTGTGTGCTCATGCACATGGAAGCAGGGATAAAGCTATATAGTACAAGCGCACTTTGGCGCGAATTCAGGATCCAAGTATGGTACTGATATAAACAAGGAGGGAGAGTGATAGGTCCGAGCCCAAGCCAAAGGAGTGCAGGTGAGCAACATGTTGACGTCGGCTTGCGTGCTGCAATCCCCCTGGCACTTCAATTTTCCCTCCAAACATTTTGACTACACGAAGGGGAGGTGCAATGAAGAGGCCACTGTGCTCAATGTCCCATGTTGCTCCCCGTATCAGTCCTGTCAACACAACCATCAGTGATGAAGTGCTGCACATCGGCATCACTCACCGGAACCAAATGCAAGGAAATAATCGAGGGAAAAAGTAGAGGAAGCCAGTCAAAAGTCACATAGAGTGACATTGCAAAGACTATCACAGCCAGAAATAAACGGTGCAACGCACATGCTACCAATGCTGGCTCAATCCAAGCATGGTATCTTGATGCTCAAATACCCCATTAAGCAGTTGACGCTGAAGATGGTGTTGACGTGTGTCTCTGTGCACTGGGAGAGACACCAATAGCAGGAGTGAGAGAAGACTGTTCACATGACACCCTTCCATTCACCACGCTCACGCTGGGCATAAGTCATAGCTATCCAGTCGGTAGTTGATGTGCGGTGAGTGCACCCACCCCTGGATGTGTCTGGCGCAATGACCTTGACACGTGTTGCAGTTTCCCACTTCTGGGAGTGAACTCTGCGCCCATCGAACTCTGCCATACCTCCACGGGGTGTGCCCAGATTCCGACGGCTACACACGACATGGTGGTCACAACGATCTCCCTCGCCGACGTGACCCTCCTGTGCCACCAATCGCAGCATGAGGATGACCAAAACCGTGACCCGGACATTGAGGAGGTCCTCAAGTGCCCTGTGTGCCTCCTAGCCAGTGGCGTCCCCTTTACGAGCGCCGCCGGGTATAACAAGGCAGAGTGAGTTGTCCCTTTGCGCACCTTTATGGACACTAGGAACACTCAAGACCATCACCGGTGTCGCTTGCTACGTCGCCACCCCCACTATTGAGTATTCAAATTGATTCAAGCATTTCTCGCGTGTTCAGATGCAGAATGAGTCAATACATACTGAGTGTTGAGCAGTTTTCATGTCTAGGGCTACAGCTGCACCTGTTATTATAAGTCACTCTTTATCCAAGAGATATTGAAGGAGGGCTGCAAACACTGTAAGTCTGTCATTTTAGACGTGCTAGCCCTATCTAATGTGTTTGATTTCAATGATATTGTGTGCGTATCCATCACACTCGTTTGTACTAGTCCTGCAAGTCATCATATCTGGAGGGTAACAAATGACAACAGTGCAGTGTTATTCGAGACTGTTACAACGGTACAATACGGTGATGCCTAAGGTACAATACTGGATAACAATACAATATGAAGGTACTATTAGAGCTTGAATGAAGAGTGGTTTGGTGCAGACCAAGACACAATCGTGGACTGCTGTTCCCACGGGCCTCAAGACAGTGCTGGACCTGTGCAACCCAACCTTTGTCCTCGTCAGAGTAATCAACATTGTCGGGTGAGTGGACGCCTCACAGGATACTTCAGACCGCTAATCAAGAATTACGCCAGAATAGCAGCTCCACTCACAGACCTTGTACGGAAGTTAGGCTTTGACAGCTCACCATATATCCAATGTGGCGTACTTTGGTCAGACGCTGCCCGGCATAGCGTGTCTCATTTACATCACACCTTCAATTCTGTCAGTACTCCAACTTGCAAAAACCGAGTCAGAGTAGAATTCACACTTTTCCGGTTTGGCATATTGGCAATGCTTTCGGAGCCAGTGCAAAACTTCGAGGACATGTTGTGTATGGGATGAGAGGTCAAGGGAGTAAATGTGGTCATTGGGATCAACTTGTATCTTGGTGAGCTGATCAAGAGTGATATGGCATGTACATTTGGGGTGATGGCAATGGTCCCCAAACTCCAGATATGATGCTGTGGCGTCCAAAGCGACACTGCAACAAAGAAACACTGATGAGCGACTCGCACCACACGCAAGATGTTCTTTGACAAAGTCAATCTGAGTTGCAATCCATGTGAGACCTCAAGACTCACCGACTCGTCTATGTATGTACCTCAAGATTAGGGTCATTCTGGAAATCCTTGGGAGCATCTTTGGAAAGCTTGTCAGGTGCAAAGTCACTCCCGTTTTTCACTCCGGACACATCTTGGAGGAGTGCCCAGACCGGTGGCGATATGTTGGGTGATGCAACAGACGGCTCACCGATCACAAGGCATGACCAGGTGCCATCCACTACCACCACGATCATCCTGTCACTGACCATGAAGGCATCCGGTCCGTCTGTTCCTCCAGTTGGTACACAACCTGTGCAGTCTCCTACTCTACCGGTACCGTCCATGCCTTCCACCGGTACCCTAGATTCACTACTTTTCTCCACCTGTCCCATAGTACTTCATGGTGGTCTTGTTATGTGTAGAGACTGCTATACTGTTATTTCGGACCATCCAAGATGCTGCTATCATCCACACACGGTCCATAATCAATGTTGCATGTTTTGGTTGGAGTTTTATTCGTCATCTGATTGGCTGCTTAAGCCTCAGGACCCACTTTGTCAATTTACAAAAATCGGTTGACACACTACTCAACATTCCGGAGCACCACAAAGAGCTTGAAGACATGTTGCAAGGAAGCTCAGCAGCCGTTGGCTCGGGAAGGGGTTCCTACACATAGTGAAATAAATAATGGAAAAACAAACGGTCCAATTGTCCTGATTGCTTGGCCCAGTGCACACACATCCTCTCCTTCTAACAACATTTTTGTGCGGGGCAAGTGGAAATTCTTGGTGAGGAGGTTTTGTCGATCACAAACATCTGTCACGTTGGCGGGCTGGGATGATGAACCGGATCCAACAAAGGCCGATTCGGGAATACCTACAGGATTCTAATGAACTGCATGCAGATGTTGGACCATTCAGGTGCATTTTGTACTTGTGCTTGTACATGGGGATTCTGTGATGTCACTCCATTCTGCATGAGTTTGACTCTTGCTATGGTGAGGTTCTACTCTACAAACATGGCTGCCTATGGACTCTCGAGGACTCCGGACACCTGACCAAGACTTCTGACACCTCTCTCTGCTACCCCTGAGGCCACACCCTCCTACTACAGCAGAAATAAGTGACTATTCAAATGAACCAATGTGAGTGAGAGAATGGTCATCAAATAAGAGAATGGACCGACTTTGCTCAGTCTGCAGGCTTTGCCTACTTGTCGCACCAGGGTCACTCTCAGTAAGGAGGCCTGCGCTGCCCTTACTGCTCAGTGTCGTGAAAATACGCATCACTTCAGATCAGCTCTCAGTGATGCTTGGAATGGTCTCGATGAGACCATAAAGGAAATCACATCTTCTCACCACAAGAGTTTCCGTCATGTACAAAATGACTTATTTTTAGGTTGGGAGATGATGAGATTCAAGCGCTCAAAGTTGAATGCGTGGAACACATTCTGTTGGAAAAATAGCAGGATAATCAAGAGAATGGTACGTGGTTTGACAACACATGAACAATGTACTTACTGTGCCGTCAAGGGGCAACAAACAAGGACGTCCAACAAGAACTCGTCAAGAACTACCATGTGGAATATCAAGAGCTCACGGATGACAAGAAGGCTGAGATGTTGCTCGAGTACAGCAAGCACAAGGAGACACAAGCCATGGGCATCCAAATCTTAAAAAGTCAAAGGTTAATGATGTCACCCAGACCCTCAAGGCCGTTGAGAACAAGGTGAGTCCTCCACACATCTTCATTTTGGATTCACTGACACAGTTTATAGCTTAAAAATTTGAGGAGCTGTACTAGAGCTGAGGCGATCCTCTACATAATGTGTGGGTCTACGGGCCTCCCTCTTTGTGGTGTCACTTTTGCTACTGAAGGTGTGGACGAGTTTATGGCGTCTGTAATGAATGTCGACAATCAAGATTTAATTAGCAAGATGGAAGGATTTGCTATCCAGGGCATGAAAAGTATGTTTGCTCGTACCTTTGCTCAGCACACTAAATTTCATTACTCAACAGGTGCTGTGAAAAATCATTAAAAGTGTTGTTCTGATGTTCATGCAGCGATCTGCCATGAAATTCAGAAGGAACTTGGTGAGATTTTTTTCACACATTTTTCATACTACAATTCTAATTACTATTAATATGTAGTGGCAATCACTAAGGACAAAAATGTGAAGATGCACTGGGTTATATCTATTGATGTAGGATACTTCAGGGATTAAAATGAAGATGGGAATCTCCTCATATATACTCATAAACATGTTCTGAATGTCCTGGAACACTTCCCTACCAAAGGGGCAAAAATGCGAAAATGTTCTGTACCCTACCCCATGTTGAATTGCCCCTGAAGGAGGAGCAATCACACAAACAACCAAAAAAGTGGTCTATTATATTATATTATACATATATATAAAGGGGGAGCTATTGTGGTGTGGTGGCGAGGCTGCAATAATGTGGGAAGGGTGTGGGAATTATTATAAATGTGGAGGGTGTACCATATTGGGTGATGTTTTGGGTGTTGTGGAGTAATTCCCACAGGAGGTGGCTAAAAATGCGAAAATATGGAGTGTGGGAATAATGTGGGGAGTCCTGACATGAGGAGGTGACCAAAACAGGATGTGTTTTGTGAATTTCCGCTTTTGGAGGCCAAAATTGTGGAATAAAACATACCAAAACATAGCTGAGTTTCAGAAATCCAAAAAATGCAGCTGTGAAAGCCAAAACACCCAGCAAAATAGGGACCTGACAAGTGCCATGCAATAGGTTTAAAGAGCAAATTGGCAGTTGCCACTGAAAATGTCTGAGGTAAATATGGTAGTTGCCATAATACTTAGGTCTAATACTACAACTATGGCTGTTCAAGTGGAAGGCAGTGTTCGATAAACATGTCATGGCATGATCACCAAGGGAAGTCTGATTTTCAAGGGGACAATTAGTTCAATTCTTTCATAGTAGTCTCAATGCGACATTTGAAGTGAAACACAAGATTCTACCACACTGGTCACCCCCACATTGCATTATAGAACACTTGCACAATTCATATTGACTCGAGACACTGGGAGGTGCACCCATAAATGGAGAATTCCATGTATGTCGTCTAAGAGCCTTCACACCCGGAAACAGCACTCAGTTAGCAAAGGAGAAAGAACAGAAAGAAGCAGAAACAGGGGAACAAGAACAGACGGCAGAAAGAGAGGATGAAACCATAGTTGAAGAAACACCAGAAGAACAACTAAGGAACATAGATGGAGACAAAGACAAAGATGTAGAAATTGTATATGAAGAAAGTGCAAATAGCGAAGATTCAGACAAAGGAGAGACATAGCGACAAGAGTGTCGCTGTTTTTAAAGGGGGGCACATGGAGTGGGGGCCCCTAGGCAGGAGGTCAGGCAATGGGCAGAGTCAGCCAGTGTTTGTAGTGATAGCATAGAGCTCAGATGTAGTAGAGCAAATCATCATTCCTTCCATTTCATCCAGCCAGAGTGGACATAGCCACTCCAGCAGAAGAGCGTTAATAGCGGGGGAGTGTTAACAGCAGCAGGGGGAGCATTGACAGTGGGGGGAGTATTTATGGCAGGGGGAACATTGATGGCAGGGAAGGGTGAGCAGCTGGGGGGTTGGGGCTGAGGGAATTGTCATCAAAGTTGGCCTCCATCAATTCATCAACAGAGTCAATGTGATCAGAAGTGGGGAGGGCTTTGCCTTTGCCCTTGCCCTTTGAGGTAAGTGCCATCATGTCACCTGCGTGATCCATTCCCGGAGCAGATGAGAATTTCTTTAGGGCGAATGATGGGTTGTCCTTCCAAAGCTCATGGAGCGCGATGATATGGCTTACTTGGAATTTTCAAGCTCTCCTTCAAGTTGACTGAGGTTTGATCTTGAGAAGCTGATTATGGGCCTCCAAATTGGTATTATTCTCCTTCAACAAGTCATTCTATGACTTAAGTTTGTGCATATATGCTGAGTGATGGAAGCTTGAGTTGTCTCCTGTGAAGTAATGCTCACTTGGTGAATAATGTTCCTATAAGAATATTGAATTTTAAATAATATAGTAGGCAAAAGAAACCAGTACATCATGAATTTGACCATGTGGCCTATATCCCCCTAATGATTCTGGTGCATATAGAATCATTGAATCATCATCTCCACGACAATAACAATGATCATGGACACCATAACTCAAATGTGAGAAAACAACAGGAGTATAGTTTGGAGGCATAGGTAACATGGGTAGCTTGTCCTCTAATGCATTGCAATGCCTTGAGGACATTATGGTTTGTGGTAAAGGTCAAATGTACTATACCCTATGGTCTGCATTTGGTAGCTTCGCAAATTTACCAATGTCTCTATTGCCAATACCACTCATGACCATTTGTGAACTCTCCCATTAATTCAATCACTATGGAAAAAAATACTATCATTGACAATATTTTAAACACAGATACTGCTGGAAATGTTGTTCACATGAATATCTTTGGAGCTGTTTCATGGGACACTGTTTATGCAGTTCAGTATACCTTTCAGTCACTTGATGAGCAGGTAAGTAGTATTTTTACTAGAGACAGTGAGAGTTGATGCTTTGTCAGACACTTGTTATTCAAATATTCTATGAAATTCATGCAGAAACACCTGAAAATGAAGCTGATGACACCATAGTTGTTGCAGAGCAAGATAGATAAGTCTCTTCTTGACATGGATATATGCACTTTAAAATGGTTTTATTTTATCAGTTCCTTTCAGAAGGACTTACTAGAGGTAGTTGGCAACATCTACCATGCTGAAGAAGTCCATATTCTCATTGTTTGTAATCATCCCAGCCTATGGTACAGCAAGGGATGAAGAGCCAATGTGTTAAGACCGTGTTCAATGGGTCGGACTGGAGGGGCTTGGCTTCAGCTCGTGCGCTGCGCCCTTTACCCGAGTACGTGCCCCTAATTCATGGGAGGCGGTATGGTTAGGGCCGGATGAGAAAGGTAAGACTACCTGACACTATGTCTGGGTAGAAGCTAACAAGGTACGGACTACCCGAAGGTAGAGGTGGAGGGATTTAGCCTTGGTGATATAATCCCGAGGCTCGGAGGGTTGGACTAGGATGAAAATCCTAAGAGCCAAGGGAACACGAGGAATGAACTGAGTCTAAGATGATATTCAAACTAAGGAAATACTACGGGTTACAAAGGGTTCATATACTGTAGTGTATCCGACGGGTATCTGGCCGAAGCGCAGTCCTCAGAACATAAGGCTATGTGGAAAATGTACTAGTGGACAAAACATACTGCGGATGATTGAGAATGGAGCCGGATATTAAATGGAACAAAGTGAACAAGTTACATGAAAAGGAAATGAATTGACTAACGGAAAGATCAGAATGGAACCAGATATTAACTGTCAGAAGGATCCGGGCATATAGGGGCAGCAAGAAGCATATACAAATGGGGACTCAGGGGAAATCAACCTATGAAAGTCTGTTTCAACTTGTTTGTGTTCTCCTGTTTCGTGTCTCTCTAGCCATAAAAGAGAGAGGTAGTCATTAAGTATACGTGGAGCTTAGCTCAATAAAATAGTAATAGTGAGCAATCTAGTTAATCGTATAACTAGCAGTTACTTTGTTGAAATGATACTTGCACCCTCACTATGTCTTGCCTTAATCTCACTCTCAAATAGTGGGATAGGTTTAGAGTGGAAGTTTAACTTAAATTCGTACTTCACCGGCACTTTGACTATGTCTTGCCTTAATCTCACTCTCCAAATAGTGGGATAGGTTTAAAGTGGGAAGTTTCAATGTCTTCTAGGCACCAATGGCCTGCACTTATGTGTAAAGTGGGAAGCTATATTCACAGGGTGTAAAATGGGCTCCTTTTATACCTTTTTGGAGGCCAGATTACTAAGCATGATTCATCACATGGATTGGTAAGAATGTGCTTACAAACCATACCATTTGGTGTGCTGAGTCAGCTTGTTTACTAAATACATTATAAATACAGTGCTATCTTACAAAGCATGATCAGTCAAAGGCATGAGTCATCTCATGGATTGGTAAGATTGTGCTTACAAACCAAGCCTTTTGGTGAACTGAGTCATCCTGGTTACTAAGAAGATTATAAATACAGTTGCAAGTCTTACAAACCATGACGAATCAAGGACAAAACATGATGAGTCAGGCTGAATCCTTACAAATCACCTTATTTCCCAGTCACATGACCTGATTACAAACATAATCAGTCAGCTAGTGAGAAAGTCTGATGAATAAGCCAAGAAAAATAGAAAGAAATGGAAGGTCACTAGTGTTGCCGCCGAAGTGAAGTGACTTCGAGGTAAATTTGCTTCACTTCGAAAATGTGAGACTTTGGTTGACTTCATTGTTCCGAAGTTGGTCGAAGCGGCGCTTCGTCCACTTCGAGAGGTGAATCGAAGTTACCACATAGATTGATCATTATCACTGCACGTCTAAAGCCCTGTAGATTGTAGTATGTGCTTCCTGTCTCTATCATATTTTCATCATAAAACATCACTGTATTCAAGTTTCCTAAGTGTAAGCCTCTCGTACATGATCTCGAACATTCAAATCGGTTCCGTGATTGAATTGAATTTGTGAGAAAGACTACCAACAACATCTTCACTACTCCCCCGGTCCACGATGTACCATCCAACAGCAGGCTTTCTTCCTAGTAGCCGCTCGCAGTTTCCTTTGTACTTGCCTGCAACGAGGCCCACGAGCTCTGACAGTCCTGCACAAGTTTCACCATTAGTGACACCAAACGGTTCTTTCGAGACTTTGCGAAACTTCTCTCCACCTTTGCCTGCACCTCCCAGTAACCAGTATGCCCAGTATATGATGCCAATGCAGCATGTTGAGCTGCTACAGCAGATGTGGGGCCCTGCACAGCCTGCCACTTCGACTCCACCTATCTTGATGTCACAGCAAGACACAGGTACTATCCTGCGAGACTCGACTGCTCCTGTCGTTAACGCGGGAACGACAGCAAAAAAGGGTGGCCGCAAACATAAAACACCTGTTGAGGATACGGGTGGTCAAACCAACACTCGGAAGCAGAACAACAAGAAGAGAAAGACGAACACAGGTGCGGCAGCGCAGCCACCTGAAGCTGCAGCTATTTGCGGTGTTGGTCCAGTCTCCAATCCTGCACCTGCCGCAGCCCCACCAGCAGATGGAGTCCCTCCGCATGGTAACACTAACGAAGGCGGATCTCACCGTCCATGGGAGTCGAGAGCAGTTGCGACTGATGTTTGGTACTTTTTGTGGGCTTTGAATGACAAGGAGAGGCCAAATAAGATGCCGGAAAATCAACCACGATTGACAGCAAAACCGAACTGCAAATATGTGGCATGTCGTCTTTGTGGGTGAGTCCTACATACATTCCTTCAGTTATCAAAATTTTCAAACATTGTTGGGCAGCGATGACGAGAAAAACCCACGATGGAAGGTGTGGCAGCTTAGAGACGGGATGACCTCATGCTACCGCGAGCACTTCAACAGCCAGCATCACCAGCTTTGGAAGCAAATTTGCAAGAACATGTCACTTAAAACCAGGCACCGCGCACACCATTCTATAGGCGGAGACCAACAGGTCTTCTCGGTAGATATGTTCCATCACTTGTTGATGTGTTGGGTGGCTGTTGATGATCAGGTACATTTACGAGTTGACTCGAACATGTATACTGATCTTACAAGTTTTTTCGTGTGCAGAGCTTCAATGTCTTAGAATGTCCAGAGTTTTGGGAGCTTCTCCTGTACCTCGGTGATGGGAAAATTGATGACACCGAACTTCCTCACTGCACAAAAATAACACAGATGGTCTTGGATGAATACCGCAGGGAATACAACAGGGCAAAAGATGATATAAAGGTACCGTACCATGACTATTTTGATCCAGTTTGCCATTAATTATTTTTACCACTTATATAGAATGCTCTGGGATGCATCTCGATGACCACGGACCTGTGGAGTGACCCAAATTGTGATAGTTACATGGCAGTGACTGCCCACTTTATGACACGGGATGGGAAGGATGGACTCAAGTACAAGACTCGCCTTGTTGCTTTTCGGTATATTGGGGGTTCTCATAGTGGTGCTAATCTCGGTCAAGAGTTTTTGAAAATAACGGATGAACTCGAGGTCACAATCAAGGTAAATTTAATGACTCGTAATTTGTCATATCAAATGAATTCAAACTCGACTCTAGTTTGGCCAGATTACCATGGACAATGCATCCAACAATGATACATTTATGTTGGAGCTCGAGACAGAGCTGGATAAGAGGGGTATTCCCTTTGACCATGCTGGCAATCGTTTATGGTAAATCTGTTGCTTATTTTTGGCAGCGGCGAGCTAAATCATCACGATCCTTGGATTCAACAGATGTTTTCCTCACGTCATGAACCTCGCAGTGCAGGCAATTCTCAAAGAACTGAAGGACAATCCTATTGGACCTGTGTTGGAAGCACCTGCCAGTTTTTCCAACTCGACGGACCTTCACACTTATGCTAACAGCTTGTCAAATGAACCTGTCGGACAGTGTCGTGACATTGTTAATTCTTGCAGGCAATCAGGGCAGCGACGGCAGCGGCTCCAAGCTGTCATCGAACAAGGGAACAACAATGGATATTGGAAGGGTAAGCTTCCTGATGGCAAGGAGAAATTGCCCGTGCTTCGCCTTTTGCGAGATTGCTCAACTCGCTGGTCATCAACATTCAAAATGATTGATCGTGTTCTCACGTTGCATCCAGTAACGAGTTTTTTTTTTTTTTTTACCTCTAACTCTTCATTTGACATTTACTTCTTTCAATAGGCTATCCAGTCGTTCCTGCAAGAAATCCAAAATGCTGACATTGCCCACCTTTCCATGGACTCAAAAGACATTGATGTCCTCCGCGATATTCATCAAATTATCGAAGTCCCTCACGCAGCTCAAGAGCTTCTCGCAAGCGAGCGTACTCCGACCTTGTCAATGGCCCTTCCTGCATACGAACTCCTGCTAACAAAATGGACCGAACTGAAGGGAACCATTTGGGAACTTGCCCATTATATTGGAATTGGCCTCGACAAGCTCACTAACTACATTTGTCAAGGCAGGAAAACACGAATCTATGCACTAGCAATGAGTGAGTTTGAGATTATTTTCACGTTCGAAATTTTACTGAATTTGAGATAGTAATCAACCCGAGCTTGAAACTTGAATGGATGAAGGCCCACTGGGACGAGAATGATGTGAGAAGAGCACGGGAATGGGCATTAGAAGCAGTATGTTAAATTTCATTGTCGTTTTTCAGTAGGGCTAATGTTTGGTTTACAGATGACATCATACCGCACAGCGGTGCACTTGGAACAGGATACAGTGCCTACACCATGCGTATCAGCATCACAGCTTCCTTACCCCACTGATTCTACATCTGTGGCTGCATGGTCGTTAATGGCAGGATTTGGGCGCTTGACGAAGATCAATACCAGTGTTCGACGTTCAACAACCTCGTTGTTAACCACCACTCTCACTGCACCACCTCCAAGTTCTTCCACGTCATTTGACCAGTCACTTCCGACATTCACGCTGGAAGAGCAAGTGCAGTGAGATTTAGAGGAAGCCCGGAAAGATGCCGAGCGAGAAATGCAGTGCTACGAAGAAGCTGCACTTCTTGATTCCACGGCTGAATGCACAGCTGATATTGTTCGTTTTTGGGAGGTACGCGTGTTTTTTTTCAATCATTCATTGAATTAACATAATATATTATATTTGTAGCAAAAAGAACATATATTTCCACTGCTTTTCCGCGTCGCAATGGATGTCCTTCCCACGCAGGCCTCGTCTGTCCCTTCCGAACGAGTTTTCTCGTCCAGCAAAGAGACATGCACAGATCGGCATGCTAACCTCTCACCAACTGTTCTCGAAGCTTTACAAGTACTCAAGTTCTCTTATAAGCAAGACCGGCTGAACTTCGCATCCCATCTCATTGCAGAGGAAGTAGATTATTCTATTTCAGGGCCAGTATCTAGGAATGCCATAGATGAACTCATGGCAGCAGGCAAGCTTGATGAACTTGCTCAGCTGCTTGCAAACGAAAATGAGGACCATTTTTCGACTTAGATTATGTTGTAGCTACATTAGATTACTAATCTGTTCTACTTGCTTGTGACTTCGCGAAGTGTAACGAAGCGCACTTCGAATAACTTCGTTGACATCGAAGTCTACCGAAGTGTCTCAATTTTCCACTTCAATTCACTTCAGTTCGCTTCGCGGCAACACTAAAGGTCACAGAACAAAATAGAAATACATAGAAATCCCCGTGTATGATACGAGAAATGAAACACGAGAAACGAGGCTTCAGAAAACAGACTGATGAATCAATGGAAAATGATAGAATCACTTGGTGATATGGTAGAGTACAGTTCATTATACCTTTCTTATCTTTTGTATAGCACACATGTCATGGTATGAACTGCATACCATGCATGACACTGGTCGGGGATGCAGAAATGCAGCTCGAACAACTCGTTATGCGCGAGGGTCAGCGCATCAATAAATATGTAGTAGAGTTTCAACGACTCACTTCCCAGGTCCGCGGTTGGGGCGACGGAGCTTTACGCCGTCAGTTCTACAACGGACTTCCGGCCCGCATCAAGGACGAGATTTGTCGTCAGGGTAAACCTACAACCCTCGCTGATTTCAGATCCCTATCCCAGTCCATCGACGCCCGATACTGGGAACGCAAGGGCGAGACCTCCCGTGAGGTTAAGCCATCCACATCCGCACCTCCTACAAAACCATATGTACCTCCTACCCGATCCTTCACACCCGCTACTGACCGGACAACCTCGTCCGGAAGTAAACCCTCCAAGCCCTCCACCTCCTCACAGCAACTGGACTTGTCCTCGAAGTTGGGCAAGGACGGAAAGCTGACATCGGAGGAGTGCCAGAGGCGCATGGACATGAGGCTCTGCCTCTTCTGTGGTGGACCCGGCCATACGGCCCGGGACTGCTCCAAGTCGACCTCGCGCGCTGCCAAAGGCCGTGCAACTACAGTGGCCCCGGATGTAATTCCTGAGGCCCCTGTTGAGGCAAAAAACTAGTCCGTGACCCTCCTGACTCCGCGCGGGACGAGGGTCGCATTGACTCAACCCGCGCACTGGAGTTACGACTCAACGCTGTCACACTCACTAACCCATCATCGCTCCGTCCATCCGTATCCATATCCGCATATCCGAACATTGCCGCTTTTCCAGCCTTAATAGATTGCGGGTCCTCGCATTGTTTTATTGAAACCAGCTTCGTCCATAAGCACGGACTTAGTACCTATGCCATTCCTCCACTCTCGCTCCATCTGTTTGACGGTACTTCTAATGCTACTATTACTGAAGCTATAGATCTACCAATCCGATTCACATCTGGTGTAGTTACCTCCGATACATTTTATGTAACTCCGTTGGATTCATCCTGTTTAATCGTTCTTGGATATAGCTGGCTCTCCCGACACAATCCGTTGATTGACTGGGTTAAGGGCAGCATTGAGTTCCGTACAATTCCACATGGAATGCCAACACCTCCTCCGACGTCACCATCTCCGGTTCATCCGGATATCTCTCTACCAACTACCCCGGACCCATCTACTGATAAACCTGCACCCCATATATCTCTTGTCAATGCAGTAGCCTTTTGTCGGGCCTGTAAACTGGAGGGGGCGGTCCAGTTCAGCATCTACCTCCGTCCGACCGGTGTTGATTTGCACTCCGCATCACTCTCCTCGGATCCCCCAAACATGTCCGGGATCCCCGAGGAATATCACGAGTTTGCGGACATTTTCAACAAAGGCAAAGCCAGCCAACTTCCTCCTCATCGGCCTTACGACCTGAAGATCGATTTAGAGGATGGCTCTGCCCCACCCATCGGTACCATATATTCTCTTTCCCCGGTTGAGCTTGTAGCTCTCCGCAAATTCCTTGATGAGAACATTGCAACCGGTCTCCTCCGCTCCTCCTCCTCCCCGCACGGAGCTCCGGTCCTTTTTGTCAAGAAGAAGGATGGATCACTTCGGCTCTGTGTGGATTTCCGAGGCCTCAATAAAATCACCAAGAAAGACCACTACCCACTTCCCCTCATAGCCGACCTCCTAGACTCTCCGAGCCATGCAAAAGTCTACACCAAAATCGACCTGCGCTCGGCTTATCACCTCGTCTGCATGGCGGAAGGTGACGAGTGGAAAACCGCTTTCCGGACCCGTTACGGGTCCTATGAGTGGTTGGTTATGCCCGAGGGACTCACTAATGCCCCGGCGGCTTTCCAATGTTTTGTCAACACTATCTTTGCCGACTTAATGGATGTCTACATCATTGTATACCTTGACGACATCCTTATCTATTCTCACGACCTCGCATCCCACAAACAACATGTCCTTGAAGTCCTTCGTCGGCTCCGTAAGCATCGCCTATATGCCAAACCGGAGAAGTGCGAATTCCACTCCAACTCGGTTGAATACCTCGGCTACCTACTTTCCCCCACCGGCCTGACCATGTCGTCCGAGAAGATCCAATCCATCATCGACTGGCCCGAGCCACGGAAGGTAAAGGACATTCAGTCTTTCCTCGGGTTTGCTAATTTCTACCGACGGTTTATCTTTAATTACTTGGACATTGTTGTACCCCTCACCCGGCTGACTCGGAAAGATGCCCCATGGGATTTCTCTGATAAATGCCGGACGGCCTTCAACACCCTCAAAACCGCCTTTACGACGGCCCCGGTGCTTACGCACTGGATGCCCGATGTCCCAATTGTTGTGGAGACAGATGCCTCGGACTATGCCATCGCTGGAATACTTTCCATCATTTGCCCGGACACAGAACTTCGTCCGGTCGCATTCTATTCCAGGACGTTAACGGCTCCCGAGCTCAATTATGACACCCACGACAAAGAACTCCTCGCCATCTATGAAGCATTCCGGTCCTGGCGACATTACCTTGAAGGTTCGGCCGAGCCGATTGATGTTGTCACGGACCACAAAAACCTTGAGTACTTCGCTACTACCAAACTCCTCTTGCGCCGGCAAGCTCGCTGGTCGGAATTTCTCCACCAATTCAACCTTGTCATTCGTTTCCGTCCCGGAAAACTGGGTGTTAAGCCGGACTCCCTCACCCAACGTTGGGACGTCTACCCCAAAGAGGGGGATAAGGACTACGCTCAGATTAATCCACACAATTTCCGCCCTGTATTCGCTACGGAACAGATCGCTTCGTCCCTACGAGCCACCACGTTAGCCATCCCAGTACTAGGTGCGGCCGTATCAATGGACATAGATCAACTCCGAGCGGACATCCTATCAGCTCTGCCCGAAGATCCTATCGCTTCCAGCCATCTTCCTGAGCCTTCGGATCCGAGATGGACCGTAGATAATCATGGGTTCCTCCGTTGCGATAATCGCATATTTGTTCCCGAGTCCAATGATCTCCGTTTACGGGTCCTACGGAACACCCATGATCACCCCCTATCAGGTCACTTCGGTCAGAACCGGACCCTAGAACTAATCTGTCGGGAGTATAAGACCGCTTATCCAAGCAATCCATATTCATCCTGACCTACAACACCATAACCTCCCTGGACCTCACTCAGCTATTCCTCCTCCACGTATTTTCCAAGCACAGAGTTCCATCCCACATCACATCCGACCGAGGCACAGAGTTTGTCTCCCACTTCTTCCGTTCCCTCGGGAAAGCACTGGACATGACCTTACATTTCACCTCCAGTTATCACCCAGAAGGTGACGGTCAAACCGAGCGCGCCAACCAAACCCTGGAACAATACCTCCGGATCTACTGCAACTACCAACAAGATAACTGGTCCGAACTCTTGCCCTTGGCAGAATTCGCATACAACAATGCTCCTAGTGCTACCACGGGTGTTTCTCCCTTCTTCGCTAATAAAGGTTATCACCCGAACCTATCTATACATCCAGAATGAGACCTCTCATCCGCCCGGGCCCGAGAATACGCAATTGACCTAGATGAGCTCCATCAATTCCTTCGGGATGAGATGTCTTATGCGCAGGATAGATATCAGGGCCCGGCCGACGCTAGATGTACACCCGCACCGGATCTCCAAGTCGGACAACAAGTCTTTGTCAAAGCCAAGTACTTCCGCTCCACCCATCCGTCGAAGAAACTATCTGAAAAGAATCTCGGACCCTTCAATATCATCGCCCGCCCGGGCACTCATTCCTTCACCATACGCCACCCGGACACGATGTGATCCGTACATCCTGTCTTCCATGTTTCCCAGCTTGAACCCGCAACCCCGAACACCATCCCTAACCGAATCCAACCACCTCCCCCACCTGTCTCAGTCGATGGGGAACCTGAATACGAGATCTCCTAAATCCTCAACACAAAAATTGACCGAAGAAGACGTACATGTCAGTTGCTCTACTTGGTTAGGTGGGCCGGTTATCAGGGTACGGACGAAGAAACATTGTGGATTCTCGCTACCGAACTTGGAAACGCGTCCGAACTCATACAAGACTTTCATTCAGCATATCCGGACAAGCCAGGTCCTATTGCCATACAGTAAGGGACGAAAAGATACATTGTACATAGGGAAGAGACATCCGGACCATCTGGACCACCCTACTCCTCCATTTCAGCCTCATCTCCGGACCCTTCCTCCTCACCCTCCTCCTCAGTCCCTTCCTCAGTATCCAGCCCTTTCTCCACCTCACTCTCCCGATGGAAAAACATCCTCACCTCAGTCAGAAAGAGGGCCTGGAAAATCCTCTGCTGCTCTATGAGCCGGCCTATGGCAGCCGTGCTACCTTTGGCCGCTTCAACAGTCCTCTCAAGGAGACTGTTGGTCCGGGCCAACTCCGCGACCATGTCGTTGACGGCCGCCACCCAGGCCTGGTCGTCGTACTCCTGGAAGCCCGGCTCCTCGCTGATGATGCTGGGGCCGGGGCCGGGGACAATCTCAATAGAGTCGTCCGTGACATCCGGACTCCTCTGACGCCTCTTCGACTTACCCTTAGGGGATGGAGTCCCCACAGCACGGGGCCACTTCTTGCCCTTGCCCTTGTCAGTATCCGTCCGGGCAGGTGGCGCCCCACCATGGCACTTCATCCTCGCAGTGTGACAATGGTCACACACGTTGACCGGCTTCAAAATATCTGTAAAACTCACATCCAGACAAAAGAAGTCCACTCACCCGGCCCGAGGCTGACACGCCCGAGTAAACGCAGGCCCGCTGCTTATCGGAGCAGGGCTTACAGGGTCGTCCGACGTCCTTGGGTCCGACAGAAGCCTATGTCCATCAGGCAAAAACATCGGCCGAAGAAATTCACTACTCACTGCAGGCCCGGACGAAGCAGACTTAGCAGCAAGTCTCTTCCGGGTCTCCTCTATATCCTTCTTCTTCTGCTCCTCCCTCTGTTTCTCCTCCTGCAAACACTTCTTCTCCTCTTCCAACCTCTTGTTCTCAGCCTCGAGCCGGATTCGTTCGGCCTCTGCGCGCGGGATCTCTTCTGCCTTGACAAGTTCTTGCTGCATAGCAGCCATCCGGGCCCGGATGTCCGCAACTCGGGCATTGGTGTCCTTGGTAGAGTCGGATGGGGTCTGGGACATGATAATGGAGTTGGTGGGTGGTAAGAATCAAAGGGAATGGCGTCCCATCAAGACCCTCAACCCTTTTATCAAATTTTCGCTAAAATCCGGGTCCGTTCTCGCGCTCTTATCATTGGATCGGACATCCGACCTCGGCCTCGTGGGCTCGGCCTTAATGGGGGGATACTGTCATATTCCATACCTGAAGCTTCTCGTCTGGTCTGTTCTCTCGGGTCCGTTCTAGAATTCATTTCCCCGTGTCCCCATTTGTATATGCTTCTTGATGCCCCTATACACCCGGATCCTTCTGACAGTTAATATCCGGGTTCATTCTGATCTGTCCGTTAGTCTATTCGTTTCCCTTTCATTTAACTTGTCCCCCCTGTTTCATTTAATCTCCAGCTCCATTCTCGATCGTCCGCAGCAGTTCATATCTGTTAGTACATTTTCTACATAGCCCTCTGATCCGAAGACTGCACTTCGGCCGGAAACCCGTCGGATACACTACAGTATATAAACCCTTTGTAACCCGTAGTATTTCCTCAGTTCGAATATTAACTTAGACTCTGTTCAATCCTCGTGTCCTCTCGGCTCTTAGGATTATTATCCTAGTCCGATCCTCCGAGCCTCGGGATTATATCCCTAAGGCTAAATACCTCCGCCTCTACCTTCGGGTAGTCTTTACCTTGTTAGTTTCTACCTGGACGAAGTCTCGGGTAGTCTTCCCTCTTTTGTCCGGCCTGTCCATACCCCTCTCTCTCTCGTCCGGCCCGTCTATACCCTTCGGCCGACGATATCTAACCCCCTGTAAATTAGGGGCACGTACTCGGGTAAAGAGCGCAGCGCACGAGCTGAAGCTCAGCCCCTCCAGTCCGACCTGTTGAACACGGTCTTAACACACAGCTACTATACACAGAATTCACATCCACTGTCATATTCCGCGTTCCTGAACTCTATCTCCAATCTAATCTAATGGCCGGTCCTTCGGGCCCGTCCCTTATCTCAATTGTGCTTCTTACCCCATCAGTATAGTCCCTTTGTCTAAACCCCTATATGCTGGATCCGCTTGACAGTTAATGTCCGGTTACATTCTAGATCATAACCCCTAGGCCCGGATCCACTCAACCCTTCATCTCTGTTCCATTCCTCGATTGTTCCTGTAGTATTTTCTATACGCCTGTCAGTTTAGCCTTTCCATATGTTCCTCCCTTTGACCTGGATCTCCGCTGTTCCCGTCCCCATCGCATATGTCTATAATATATAATACCTTGTACACCTGTAGTAGTTTCCCCAGTTCGAATATCATCTTAGACTCTGCCCATTCTGTCCTCTATCCCTCTCCGTGTCTAAAGAGATTTATTCCCCGTACGACTATACATCCGGCTCTACCCTTGGGTAGTCTACCTCCGTTAGTTTCTACTATAGATCTGTCTACGGTAGTCCTCCTCTATTCTCTGACACCCGGACTAAGCTAACCCGCCGGTCCGGACCCCATAAACCCACCATCCAAAGTTAAGGGCAAGTACTCGGGTAAGGGGCACAGCGCATGAGCTGAAGCCAAGCCCTCCGGATCCGCCTTTCAAGCATAGTCTTAACATCCACCCAGTTCTGGATGCAGCAGAGACCTGATGAAAAATGAGTAGATTCATCATTCTTGAACATTTTTTCATTGTCTCGCACTTATACTTGTACCACTGCACTGGACTTGTCTCTTACACATGTGTAATGTGGTCCATAGAGAAAGCTTGTTTGATATAGTCGAAAGAACCTTCATGAATGGCAGAGGGCATTTCAAGGGTGAGTAAAGAATCATGCAGTAGATAAGTTAACCTAGCATAAAGGTAATATTGCTCAGCCTGCTGTTCAGAAATCACTGAGTACTCTATCTTCTCAATTAACTTCAATATCACTTCTTATTCCTCTAGACAGATTTCAGGGAACTCCTGGCATACATGAAAGCTGAATGAGTGCCGCTGTGCAAAATATAATCCCGACAACGGTATATGGAAAACTGCTACCAAGAAGGTAAGCCTACCAAATACCTATGTGGGTCTTGCTTAGCCTAAGGCTAGTTCGACCCTAAAGGGGCCTGCTGTCTGATATAAGAATGATAGTTAGTGTCTTTTCGGTCAAGAAAAGATAACCTGAAGGTAAAAATGTCGGGTCCTAAGTAAATCAGGTAGTCTGATGTGTGGGAACTGCGGACTCGACAGGTGATAATGGTACAGGACAGACAATGAGTGGATATCGTCGGGAACAGATGAGATGAATCAAAATAAAAGAATGGCAAAGGTTCGGACTATAAGGAGTGGGTAACTGGGTGTACTGGGCAAGGTGTTAAGGTGTCAAGGTGTCAAGGTGTCATGGACCAAATGTATTTGGGAACTCCCCTCTACAGAAAGGTAAGGTATTAGTGAGAGTCCCTTGGTCCTTATATAACTAGCTACGTAGAAACCCAGAGTCCTATAGGCGAAGATAGTGGGTAGTCCAAAGGTAGTATGTAAAAAGACATGAGGTACTGCGGACTATGGGAAGATATGTAATAGTGCTGTTTACAGTGTCAGTCATGAGAATAACTGACTACTCACCAATAGGGATGCACGGGAATGGACTGGACATAGGGATAGGGGGTATTGGGTAGTCCAAAGCATGGGAAAGTAGCGGGTCCTAAGGTGTGGGGTATCGGGTTCATCGGGTTGGGTGCGGCTGATGTCAGGCATAGTGGAAAATAGATGGAAAGTGCGATGGTGTTAAATACCATCAAAATAGCCAATTGTGAGGCTAGCACAAGGATGTTCGTTACACCACAACTCAGTGTCATTTTACTAATATACCAGCTACTGGATCTCAGGATCACTCTCTACAATGTACATCAGCACCTCTTTGCACTGATCTTAAAGTTCATAGTGTTTGGATGATTGATTTCAATAGAACATACCCGATGGAAAGTGATTTTAAGTCTCCTTGGAATATAGAGACAATCAACTTATTGGTGGTTGACTTTTAGGGAAAGATCAAGATAGGTAGTTATGCATTGATAATCTTTGACAAAGACACAATGAACCTTGATGACTTGTATGTGCTCTACATCAAAAAGCTTTGTTGAACTCACAGCATCCAGATAGACTTAACACTCACAAGCATGAGATAAGTGGGTTATACTATATCTGCAATCATGTTGTTCATGTCTTTTGTTCATGTCTTTTCAGACCCTTGAAAGGTGCCCAAAGGGAGGATTTCTATTGGTGGTTGTTAATACACTATATACTCTTCTCTAGTAGTCATTCATAACTCCTTCACTTCTTATGTGAAGTGCCCTTACCCATCTTATCAGCAGGGTTAGTATCCTTCACTCCTCTATTAGGGTTGATCTCCTTTATATTACTCATGTACACATCATCTGTTGGGGTAGATTCCATTCAAGCTAGAGCCTGACTAGAGCTACCAGTATCAGTATTAAGACTCCCTGCCAAATGTTTGGATGGACAGGAATCAGTGGGTGCAGTTTCAGATGTGGTTGGATAGTTGAGATGCTGGGTGTTTGAGATGCCTGATGGGACACTCAGTGTACTGAAGTTGTTGTTCCTGTGGGTCTGCCATGAACTTAAATTGCCTTAGTTACACGACAATGTTCTTGACTGCAAAGTCAAGATATCAATGAACAATATCATATGCATTGCCTACAAACAGTTATACAAATTAAGGAAGAATTATGTGCTATGGAGTGGTATTTTTACTTAGCCTTGCTAGGCTTCTTGCTCTTCTTTCTCTGCTGACCAAGTGCCCTGTGATGAGCATCAAGGTAGTGTGACCAAAGACCCAAGGATGTATGACCTATGGCCTCATGCTCAGCAAGGACATTGTGATTGGTCACTCACCACACCTTGTGACTGCTGTAGATGTGTGGCTCCCTCATGGAGCCGGCAATATATCATGTTAAAACTGGCACTGTCATCGAGCGCTGCAGCCATTGACCTGTGTGTGCATGTCAGTGGTCAGTCTCCTTAGGGAGCCACATACTCACAAGCCAGTAATTTGAGCCATGATACTCATGTTTATATTGAGCTCTGTGTCATCTAGTTGCACAAAAATGATGACCATCTCGTATGGTATCAACGTGTTGTTGATCTTCCTGTTGTCAATTGTCTTGGAGTCAACCGTCTATTGGATGACACACCCCACAGTAGCTACACTTGATCTTTGTGATCCAGTGGCTGGTCGCCATGCAAATATGGACCCTAGCTGCAGACTCAGCGTTGTTGGTTGAACTGCCAGCCATTAAATAGTGTTCGCAGCAGCATCACTTTTGTCTTCCTGCATCATTGTTCAATGTGCGGCACAAATTTGCTTGATGTGCTCTTTGTCACATTCATCACCTTCCTTACCCATGGAATATGGAATATGAGTCAACCGGCCCACATTGCAGAGGTCTTGAAATTGATTAAGTGAGTGTGTTCCAAGACAGTGTGAGACTTACCATTGGGCCCGTGTACAATGGAGTGCCTGATGCAAGTGGTTTCACCACTGATGCCTCAAGGGTCACGTAAAAACTAGCAGTGAGGTTCCACATCTCATGGACCTTGTCAATTGACACAGTGAGGAATTTCTGACCAGCCCACAGGTATTTGACTGTCTGATTATGTTTCTTCAGAGAATGTGTGTCATCAGATGCCTTATTGCTGTTGTGGCTAGTGACACCTTTGCGAGGGTCAAATACTTTCCTGCTTGTGCCCATGAGCTTGAATAAAGTGAGAACTTGCAGCTGAAGTGATGTGAGGAAACTCATAGAGTGATTGACCAAAATGATATGGTGAATTAATGGAGTTGCTAATGTTGCCAAAGGACTGTTGAAGAAATCTCCAAACTCATTCTCTACAGTGGGATGTATATCTCCTGAGTCTCACTAATACTGCCACCAACATCAAGGTCATCAATAAGTGGCAACAACACCACCACCAGCAACACCAACATCAATAGCTCGTAAGTCACCCATGGCTCCCTGAGGGGACCACCAAAGAAGACAGCACTCACCAAGGATTGGAGCTGGGCAAACATTTGTGAGATTAATGTTCGACATTACTCCATTAGGTCTCTCTCGACCAGCAGTGACTTCCTGAACCTAGAAGGGATTGATGACAAAGACAATGAAACCCATTGTGAAGGCTGTTTTATCAATGCCGACCTCATCTGCAACCAGCATCCCTGGAACCTCACCCTCCTTTTTGATCGCAGACCAGATCTTATTGATGATTGCCATGACACCAACACACTGATGCCACAACAGTGTCAATGACTCTATGTCCTTATTTTCTGTTACAAATTTTGACGACAAACTCTTATCCTAGGCGCACAAACTAATTGTCGACTGAAATTCGGCAAATAGCCTAGGTGTTCCACCTGAGAACTGCAGGAGGCAGTTCAACTGATCATTATCCATGTTTCACCATCTATCTCTTTGGACACTTGCCTCTTGCCTTTGCCACCACAACCACCACAACCTCCTTCAGAAACTCCTTGTACTCACCGACTTTCTCTTGTTCCTTAGGGAACCATTCCAATGCCAAGCTAAGGGCCTTGACAGCATTGGTAGCATCACACAGTAGCTTCATAGTGATAACTTCCATATCCTCAATTTCTGCCTACAAGTAAGTTTATCAATTCTATTTGTTGTACATGTTGACTAACCTTTGACCGCCATGCTCGCAGCAAGTTTCATGCTAGGCAAGATGTCTTTGACACATCTGAACTATTTGCAGTGACACTCCCAAACATGATGATTGATCCCTGTCCCTTTTCCTATTTAGTCATGAGCTCACCAGAATTAATGGCATCTTGAACCTGGTCTTGTGGTATGAACCTAAGTTCTTTTGGCTTTGTGGGTTAATATTTTCTGAATGACTTTAGTCATTGAGTATATAGCTGAATAGCCACTTCATTGGGATCTTAAATTTTGTGATATTGAACACATTCTCACATTCAATTACAGCCTGATGGTACAATGCTCAGTCCTAGAGGCAAGACAGATGGCCTAGCAAAACCTTACCACAGACAATTTAAAGGACCTGAAGATGTGTCAATTCATGTAGTGCAACTACAAGCTGCACTTCATAAACAACTTGCTCCTGCTCTGCTTGATCCTGATCATGTTGTACTTGTTCTCAATCCTGCTCTGGCCGTTCCAGGGCTTCCTGAGCCAGTGCAGATTGAATACTTTCAGCATCAAGCTGCTGCTGCAATTAGATGCTGTCCCCTATCTTCAACTGATTCTAATGCTCATCTAAAAAGAGATCACTAATGGATTGAATCATACCTTTTTCACCCTCTTATTCTTGGTGATATGCTATTCACTCAATTTCAATCTCATCTGATAGGCCACCATGACTAGATTGATAGAATTGTTCTTCCTAAGCTCAAGGAGGTCACAGAATTCTCTGGTTCGTACTTCTTTATTGCTTGATAACCAAGCTATCAAACCCTAGGTGTATGACCTACCCCAAGGTCAATGTGTATGAAGAGCAATTAAATTTGAGTAAATCATATTGGGATGTGTCCTGTAAGATGGAAATCTGTGTCAGGTTCATAAGGCTGTTGAGTGTGATTTTGCAGAAGGTGATATGGGTTGTTTTTCATGAATTTTTATAGGTCAGGCAATAGATTGTTTTATTTTTTCTTTAAATCCAGATTTATATCCATTGAGAGTGCTACTCTATATAGGACAATACTGTCAAGTCAAGGGGCCCGTGCCCCGTACTATGTCTTCAAATTCTCAAATGCATTGGTGTACGGTGTACCCCCACCAATCCGCTGTTCCCGCCGGCCATTTTAGATGAGTGATTTGTCGAAGATGTAGTGACTAAATAATATACTGTTGTGTGTTTTGACATGGCAAATGTAACATAACACATGACAATAGATGGTTGCTGGAGTTACGACCCTGTCAACTACAGGGATATCACCAGAGACTAGCTTCAAGACTGCACAAGAAGTATATCATGTAGCAGGAGATGGAAGTGAGGAAAATTACTACTCAACTCCAGCTCAGCTTTCTGTTCTGTAGTGACCCAGGTATATTGTATGTATTTAGTCTCAATCCCCATCTCTTGGTACCACCTCGAGTTTGATGACCATTTTTTCATGTTCATGATCGGCCTTGTATTTTACTTGTATAACACTTACAATGCTAAGTATGAAGCTATACATGCTCTCAGGGTGTAGAAGTGTGAGGGAAGTGCATTCATGCTTCTGAAGCAAATACTAATATCTGAACCGGTTCTCAAGGGCTCTAGATTCGAAAGAACCCCGTTTGTGGTCACCACCAATGGATGCAAGGATGGGTATGGTGCCATCTTGGCGCAGAAGCACACAACCACTCTACCATTGGGAAAAGTTGTCACTGCACTACACCCCATCACATACACCTTAAAGTGTACATCTCTGATGAAAGCTAAGTACAAACTGTATATACTAGAATTTGCTGCACTAAAGTTGATGTTAGATCAATTTTCAGATACAATATGGGGTGCACCGGTGGAAGTTGAAATGGACTGCCAAGCCCTTAGAGACACCCCATCAAACCAACATACAGTGACAGAGGAACTTGGGAAGATCTTGACCAAAGCATGCTGATATGTAACAATCAGCGAGCACACCATCGAGCACAAAACTTCCTACTTGAGGACAGTAAGTTGTGGCAAATAGCTAACATGTTTGCAAACAGAGTCCATAGCCGATTAGAATGTGTCACTCAGGATGAAGCACGCGAACTCGCATATCAAGAACACATTGAGTCAGTACGACTATGGAAGACCATGGCCAGTGGGCCATGGGACTCAGACCACACACAGGGAACAAGGTGGTGGAAAGGGTGAAGACTATCCTACTGACATGCACTATATGTACTATCTAGGTGCCTCAAGGCCCAGGCAAGACCCCTGGCACCTCTGGCAGACCCCTGGCCTAGGACCTGGCCAACCCCTACCGACACAACATGAAGAACGGTCATTGGGGAAGAGACCTCGTTAAACTCAGGCTCATGAATAAGATATTTCGTCCTTGTCTAGATTGAACAGTTACTGACACTATTCTGGACTGTGGTCACTGCAAGAACTTTGGAGCCACCCACCTACATGTGCTACTAGAACCTATCATCAGATGACACCCATTCGAGCTCCTAGTGGCAGACTATCTAGCGATGCCCAAAGGAAAAGGCAGCTACCATAACATTCTACTAATTATAGATGTATATTCCCAGTACGTTTGGGGGTTCAAACTCAAGGTACACGGAACCGCCAAAATGACCATCACAGGACTTGACAAGATCCGCCAAGAATTCACCACCCCAGAGAAATTCATGACCAACAGCGGCAGGCACTTCGACAATGGAGAAGTAACTGACTGGTGCGAAACGTACAATGTAGAACACCACATTACACCAGCATATTCACCATGGGTCAATGTATTTGTTGAGGGAGCTAACAGAATTCTATTAGGATGTCAAACGAGTATGCACCTCGAACCTGGGAGAAGACGAGCCACTCAATGTGACCCCAGAATCAATACCCAAAGAGTGGCCAGATCATTTCAATACTGCAATATCTCAACTCAATGAAAGAATTCTGCTGGCACTCAAGTTCTCCCCAAAGGAGTTGATGTTGGGATTTGTTGCGGACACACCACACACCCCGTTTAACCTCCTAAAAGAATCAGTCACTAACTCAGACGTACAGGTCCATGCAGCCTACGTGGCACAGCAGTGTACAGACACCTTAGCCAGCAATATTGCCAACACGATCTGACGAAAAGCTTCATTTGACTGGTAGGTACTGGCCTCAACAGTGGGAGAAATCACAATAAAAAAAGGGCAACTTGTCCAAACCTACACTAGCGACATTGACGGAAACTTCGCTACATTGTGGAAGATTCTACCCCAGTGGTCAGCACCTCAATGAGTCATCGCAAAATGAGCCAAATCCTACCAGCTCACCACACTAGAAGATTTTCCCATTGCGGGCTGAATTCACGCAAGGCAATTACACCTCTTCCTACCATGCATGGGATCCTTGTTAGACAAGATGGAAAAGGAAAGATTGGAGGAACTAGAGGAAGAAGAGCCGTGGGGACAAGGACTAGATGAGACAGACACTATAGAAGATGAGGACAAGTGGGAGGATGAAGAACAAGCACCGCACCGAGACACCAATGTTCACTGACTGCTTTGGGCATGTGACCCCAGGGTGTCGCAAGTTCAGGGGGGGTATTTGTGACAGATAGGTTTAATCGGTTCAGATTGGTCTGGTTTAGGCAAGAGTGGTTTGGGCAGAGGCAAGAGTAGCCAGGGTATGAGGACTCGAGATGAGGAAGCCAGAGTTGAGAAGACAGATAGGAGCTAATGGAGTTTGCCGGAGGCAAGCCAAAAGCAGTAGTCACGTGTAGTAGGACTTTAGGCTTGCAACCACCAAGTTCTTCAGAGAGAAGGTAGCCCGAGCTGGTCACCGTTCCAATGTACTTATATCAATACATATCCCCGATGACCCAGAACCCTACCACACATCCACACTTACTGGTCAAGAATGGGTCATTGAACTCATTATTGGCCACCCTGAACAAATTTGTTGTGAGCTTGATGTCCATGTAAACATATTTGAGGGTCTGGTCAAGGAGCTTCGTGTGCTTGGTCACACAGACTCACACCATGTCTCCCTAAAGTCGCTATTTTTCTCTATTCATGTGTCACAGGGCTTACTGTAAGACATGTTGGGGAGCACTTCCAGCATTCAAACAAAACTATTTCTCAGTCAGTTTATTCTATTTATTTGACATTGGCACCTAATTATTACTCATTTGTAGCTACTTTCTTGAGATTCTCGAGATCTTATTTCCCCCACCCCCTTTTACACAACATATGTTCACCTTCCCACAGATGATGCACTGATCTCCCCTCACATCCGTGACAACCCCAAGTGCTGGCCTTATTTCAAGGACATTGTTGGCGCCATTGATGGCAGCCACATCCATGTGTCCCCCCCCTCGTCCAAACACCATCTATACCAGAACTGTAAAGGTTTTGTGTTGCAAAACTGCCTTTTCAGCTGTGATTTCGACCTCAAGTTCACCTTTGCGCTTACTGGCTGGGAAGGATCAGCGATAGACGCGTGTCTCTGGGATGAAGCTCTTGATGGGGGCTTAAAGTTCGCACCTGGCAAGTATTTTCTTGCTGATGCTGTATTTCCTCGTGCCCTGACCTCCTAGTACCTTATTGTGGTGTCCGCTACCACCTTGCAGAGTGGGAGTGTGCCAGTGTTAGGTGAGACCACTGTTTTTTCAACATGGGATTGAACTAATGCTATTGTAAGACCAGCCAATAAGGAGGAATTATTTAACCTTCAACATGCCTCTGCACACAATGTGATTGAGCGTATTTTCGGTGTCTTGAATAGACACTTTTGTATTCTGCTGCTCTCACCAGAGTACAAAATGCAAATTCAAGTGTGCATCCCCGCTGCACTTTGTGCACTCCACAATTACATTACCATCAATGACCCAAATTAAGGCACCCTCCCACAAGCTGCCGTTGTCAATGACAACCCGTCACATCAGGGACATCCTGACGAAGCTGCTTCTGATGATATGGACATGGACGTGGTTGTGAACTCGAGCACAAATTCAAATACGCTGCGTGAGTGATGCAGATCTGGAATGACTACCAGATTTACATACAGGAATGAGACAAGGTAGACAATGACAATGACAATACATTAGATTTGTATGAGATGGACTCAGTTGAGGAATCAGACTTTGAGCACGATGTAGACTTAACCAGATAAGAACTTGTTATTCATGTACTGTATTACATACAGGAACTAAAGTTGATTTGAATGATGGTGCTATTGAGTATGAGTAAAAAAACAGTCAAACAAATGTGGTTTGGCTACAAGGTAATGACCTGTGCCACCTTCACAATGATTGAACATAAAAATGTTTGACACAGCTCCTGAAGGGTGATCTGCAAGTACGTACTACAAACTATTGGACTCCTCATGAACGCATGCATGAGAGCAAGCCTATCATCCGCCGAAAAACCCTCCTCCTGTTGCATGTTTTGCATAGCACGAGACCTTTTTTCAGAGATGTGACTCTCATCAGTGACAGTGAATGATGTTGTGATGGAGTCGGACATGTGGTTGATTGTACCTTGCAGGTTCATCAATGCCGTGGTGTTGGTGGCCTCCTTGATGGTCTTATTAGACATTACCCATGTTTTGGTGGTGCTGCCACCACCACCACCATGTCTTCCACCCTTTGCTGAAAGCTTCACCTTCTTCGAGTCTGATTGTGCTCATGGCACATCTGAATATGCTCGTGGCACCCCTGACATAGCTGTTTCTGACATCAGTGTGTAAGAGGTGACAGAGGGGGGTGTAGTATCAAAGACCATGTTGTGATGGGAGCACTTTCCAGAGTTTCCAGAGCTGGATATAGGGGGAGCAGCCATCACGGAGGTTGAGGCCACAAGGATAGGCACATGATGGAGTGGGATCTCCCATGAGAAATTGTCAGCGGTATCCATGCCATCAGCCATGCCCATGCCAACATCCCTGAGGTCAGCGTCAACATCCCTGGGGTCGGCACTGGTAGATGCACCCGCCCCACTGGTAGAGGAACTTGGCACTGGCTCATTCTCTGTGGTAGGGCCAGCCAGTGCAGCCAGATTGTAGGCTGCCACCCCATGTGCAGCACTGACATGCATCAAAATTTGCTGCATCTTCGCTAATACTTCCATGCATGTTTAAACAGCTTCATATCGGTGTTGGACTGTTGATAAATCAGTGGGCATCTGGAGATTGGGTATGATCACATACCTGCTTGCTAACATAGTCTGACCATGCCTCTTCAGTGGCAGTCCCCTGAATATTGGCCTCAAGTGTCGGATTCTAATGAACACCAGATTTTTGGAGGTATTGTTGATTTGGTTGTATACACCCTTCAACTGATTAAGATCAGTATGATGGTGCAGTGGCTGAGTGATATGAGGCCCTGACTCCATTCCATTTGGTCTTGCAGTGCACCCCTGTCTTCGCAGGGCCGTGTGTAAGCAACAACACACGATTTATAACTCCAACTACAATCCATTGTTTGAAGTTAAGAGTTACATAAAATTATGTTCTTCAAGGAGATGAGAATGTGCATGAATGCCTTCTATCATAAGACAAAGCACCAGGCTAGCAATGTGTTCTGTGATGAGCACTGTGACATGAGGGCCTACCCTGAAGTCCTCAATGAGGATGGGAAGTACCATTTCAACTTATCCATTGTGGAGCAAATGAACATTTGGTTTGATAGTTTTTATAATACATCCAACCAGGAATCTTCATCTTGTAGTTCTTCTTTATCTTCTGCTGGAGGTTGTCTTGATAATGCATCAGGACCTTTGAACCTCATAGCAAGTGAATGACAGTGACATAGAATAGCAATATTCCTTGGATCCAGTGATTGATAGTGGCATTGGGCTGGAGGTCTAGTTCATTAAGCATTCCCTTGATGTACTTTGTGTTGACTTTGACATGCAGATTTTGTACACCAATAATATGAAGTCAGAAATGCCTAAAAAGCACAAAATACTCCATAGAGCTCTAGCTTTGGTTGAGAATATCTAGATTCTACATCTCCCATTGGAAGCAAACTATAGTGTGCGGATCTTCGCTTTCCATTGTCGTTGATTTGAAAGAGTATAAATCTAACCACAATAAAGCTAGAGTCCACTGAAAGAACTACAGGATTGGGTGATGTGTAGTTGATACTACGCATGGCTTGGGCTGATAAAATTCTCTGTTTGAGAATAGTGAAAGCTTCATCTTCTTTGTCTCTCCAAATAAATTGTGTATCTTTCTTCCATAGACACATGATGGATTTTGCTCGTTTCAAAAAATCTAGGATCCATATGCATTAATCCAGAATCAGGAATCAATATTTTGTGATGTAGATGGACAAAAGGGACTACATGCCATCATTATCAAGCAGATCCAACATACTCCAAGTAATTGGTTATAAGCATAAGCAAATGTAATAATCTTATTTTTGTTTTATAAATAGAGAAGCTTATGTTGAACCAGAGAGTAGATAATGTTTCGGTTGGGGAATGGTAAAATGAGGATGGATTCAATAATGTCTGTCAGTTGAAGTTTGCCATGCAACTTGCAAACAGCATATAAAGCATTGAGGAGCTCGGTCTTGTTTCCATTGAAAAACAGATCAACCAAATTATGGTTATTATGATAGAATGAGTCTTCAACACAGGTTCCAAATACTCCTTTCTTGTTGCAGTCTCTTCACACATCCACATAGGTAGGCAGTCTTCAAGCAGTGCAAGAATTCCTTTGGCTTTAGCACAGTGCTCAATAAGTTCCTTGACTCATTCAGTCCAGTCATGTGACACACATGGTTTGGGTGATGCAACAACTAACTAACCCTAACTAACCCTAACAACTGAGTCACTAACAACTGAGACACTCAGATACTTGCTATCAGCTCCAGGAAACAAACATTGAGCTACCGTCTCTTGATCCCAATCACATGCACACAAGTCGCTATGTTCATCAGCATAGATAGACAGCACCAACATAAAGTCACAAAGTAAGGGTGTGTGAGTGTTGGAGGGTGTGGTAGGTCTGTAGTAAGGTAGTCCTCCATAATCTGCTCATTTGTTGAAGCAGGTAACACAATGGTTGAAGGATCGATGATAGGAGTTTCCGAAGGAATGGGAGTAGGAGATGGATGAGAGAACAAGACAGGACACACTGAGTCCATCCAGACTTCTGTAGACATTGAGTGTGAGGTATCGGGACTAAATTCCAATGTCATAGCTTCGTCAAGAGAAGACACAACATTGCATTGATATTAATCATAGGTGTTGGAAGAAATAGTAGTAGTATATATAGAACTACTATCTTCAAGGCCAGAGTAGGCATGAATATCAACATCATGCTCTCCAGACATGTTTACCTCAAAGGCTGGGTCTGAAGCAGTGTGAAAATCAACAACATTCCCATCATCCATATTTACCTTAAGGGTCTGAGGTTGAATGCAATGGAAATCAACGCCAAAGTGCTTAGACATGTTTATCTCAAAGGTCTGGAGGTGTTGTGGTGCTAGAAGAGTTACCAAAACCATGAGGTATGTTGACCTCAAATGTCTGGTCCTTCTCTACACTAGGTGTGGTGGAATAATAATGGTAGACAGTGGTACCCTTATTGTTATTAATACTAGGTTCCACATAAGACTCATCTCCTAGATACAGGAGATCCGGAAGATTGAAGAGATACATGTTACACACTAAAGTGTTGTTCAGAACATGAGTGAGATCTTTTGCCACTGAATGTATGAAACAAGACATACCATTCAACACACTAAGATTTCAGTCCCTCTCCTTGACAGTAGGAGTAGTGCTAACAGCAGGACCAGTGCAAGGTGTAGATGACACATTTGCAGACAAGAGATCCTCCGGCTCAGGGAGGTAAGAGTATGTGTTGGAGGTGTCTGTCTGAATTAGACTAATGAATAGAGTAGACACATTAGAAATGTTAAAGTTGTCTACTGGAAGTCAGTTGCCATAAGTGTAAACATTGGGAGTGTTGCAAGGTGTTGGTGTTGCGAATGACATAGATATCTTACATTGAGTCCTAACACTAGATGGAGAGAGTGAGAGGTTGAAGAGTCACAGGTAGTGGCACATAAATGCTGGTTGGCGGGGTGCCTTCCAACATATGATGCTTCCAAGGTGTGTGCAAGGTGGGTGGTGTGGTCAGTAGTGCAAGATATGTGAGCATCTCCAGGCTTGTGAGCTGTTAGAAATATGTTGTTGTCAAGGACAGATGTGCTAGAGGATGGTAATAAAGCCGTGCTAGTGGACAATAAGTCAGCACTAGGATCTGTGGTAGGCGTAAATGCAGATGTATGTGCAGTCAATGTGTCAAAGACATTGTGCACTGCATATGGTGAGAGTCTGGCTTGCGGGACAGAGTCACAAGATGTACCATTAGCCACTACAGACTCTACTCCTTTGTTGCTGATCTGTCCAGTATTATACTGATGGTGCTCCTTTCCATGACAAGTAGCCTTGAAACATTAATCAGTGATGTTGGCAACAGGAGAAGAATAAGATCCCTCCTATCCATGAACAATTACTCAAAGAACAAGAGAAAAAACTAGAAACAGAGGACTGAAAGAATGAGTAGGAGAGGGAGTTCTGGGTGTAGGGCTAATAGTAAACAAAAGCTCTGAGTTGGAACAATTGCACTTCAACTGGCATTGCCTGGACTTCCTATTTTGGAATATGAACAGACCCAGGAATGAATTTTGGAAGGGACCATCCATAGTCATGTGTGCTTTAGTATTAGGTAATGTAGCAAAACATTGTTTAGTACTGATTGTGCCAAATGAGGGCTAGGAGGGCACCATTTCATCTGCTGGGGACTGTCCATTTTCATAAAGTCTACAACATCCTGTTTTGCTAATGAATAATATTTGCAATTGGCTTAGCAGGAGTTGATCTGTGGACCCCATAATGATTTTGTATAGCCAATCTCACTACCAAATTTAGAATTTGGGTCTCATCCAGCAGTGATTGAATAGCTCAAAGGTCCTTTGTCATGATTTTTATGACTAAGTCCTTGAAATGATGTACAGATGGTTTAGTACATGTTTCTAGCTTGTTTGTCAGGGAAAAGATACCAGGTAACTTTCCTCCAAGCCAGGTAGCAGGTTTGAAAGACCAATCAGGGTCTGTTCCATCTGGTGTGCATAGTATTTCATATTGGACCGCAAATACTTGTACCATGGTCATCCGTATAGTAGACTGAAGGGAACATGGTCTCTAATATAGAGATTAGCCTGAGTTTGCACCCTGCTGCAAGTCAAGGGTACATTATGGACTAATCCACGTAATTTCTATCATCTGAAGTGCAGGTTCAGTATCAGCCTTACTACTTGTGTTATCTTTACTATTAAAGGCATTTAGTCACCCTGACCTTCTTTTCTAGTCCTTTGTTGGTCTAGAACTGCTGTTTCCTTGCTTTGATTAAGTCAGCGAGGATTTGTCTGGGAAAAGCTTAGTCAGCATCCCACATAATTTATATCTTATGTCTAAAAGTTATCTGGACAAAACACTCTTCAAAAGATTTTTTTGCTTTGATTACATCAGCAAGGATCTGTCTGGGAAAAGCTTAGTCAGCTCTCCATTTATCATACATTTGTCCCAGGATCATTCAGACAAATCTACCACAAGTTGTATCTTGTTTTGAGTAAGCTCAGCAAGGACTTGCTTGGCTAAAGCTTAGTCAGTTTCTCAAATCCCCACCAAGGACTTTTGCTCTATTCCAAAGGTCCCTTGTTCATCAAAGGATCCACACACTTCAGCCAAGTGTTGTGTAGTGCATCCACTCATATATTTGTCCAAGGACCATTCAGATAAACCATTTGTTAATGTAGTCTAGTCCATCTATTCTATGAAGAACATCATATCAGGCTTATTATCTAGGTCTATCTAGCCATCAAAAACAAACCCTCAAGTAGCCACTGCACTGAATGGTCGTGTAGGGTGGGCAACATTGTATTGAGCCATAATGTAGATGGAGTGTCTTGGTTCTTTTGCAATAAATCCAATGCCTCATTTACAATATCAGCATGTTGGGAGCACTTCACCACCAGCTTTAAGGGATGTTAAACTCCAATGTCACATGATTGTGCAATGCCTGTGTAGTTTTCAGGGACAAATTGATACTTGATTCATAGATACATGTCATTCAACCAAGTCCGAAAAGCGATGGACTTGTGAACTGATCAAATATTGAGCTGCAGAAGACATTCTTGATCTGGAGGTGCTCCTATAAGCTCCTTTTGGTATGTCTAGTATGGCACCAAGATGTCCAAGTTGCTGAACCTCCTTGTGCTAGACTGATATGGTTGTTGGGAGCAAGTGCTTTGTCTTCCCACAATATATGATCTGGAAAGGCAGAGGATCACTGGCTGCAGATATTCCAACGAGGGTAGTAAATGTTTGCTTCTCATCTTGCCCAAGTACATCAACCTGCTTTGAGCCCTTCACCTCATATGTTGAGGTATTGGCGGGCTGGTAGATAACATTTGTTTGGTTGATATTGACATAGAAGCTGAGATGAAAGATAGCACAATCATGAATGGTGAGTGCAAGCCACAAGAACTGTTCAAGGCAGCATTCATCAGTGTTTGCAGGGAGTTTTTGTGCAGCACGAGTGGCACAACAAAATGACCAGTGAAGATGTTCAAACAGAGACTTCTTAATCCATGACTCTGTGCAGCAAAAGGTTGAGCTATCCTTTGTAATGTGGTCAAAAATATGGGGAATAGCATTTTGGAGATGTGCAATAATGAAGCCGCAGCAGCGTGTGATATCCAACACAGTCCCAGCTTGTGAAGCATGCAGAGGTCCTTGACAATGATAGTGATGACGTCAGGATATGGAGTAAGGATGGGTTTCCCGGTGGTTGCGTCTTCTGGATGAGCACCACATTTAGCACAATCAAGGACTTTGTCAGTCCACCTTGGACATGTGCCAGTATGATTGATCCATTGGCCAATGACCTGCGGAGTAAATGCCTGAATTTCACTTTAGGATTGTATGCCACAACAGTGGGCTCTGCCAGTTGACCCTCATAGCAGGCTCCAGCTTTCAAGTTTGTTTTTAACCAACCTAATCTGTTGAGTTCCTTCTGATGTTTTCGCTTCAATTCATGAAAGGGACGAGAGGCTTCTGCAACATTCAACAATATAGCCTCTCCTTGATAGTGCAAATGTAGCATACAGTGGCTCAAAAAGTGTCTGAATGTTTGTGCAATTTTGAGTAATTGGATCATAGCAAGCCAGCACCTAAATATAACATATTGGTATAGGGATATGTCTGAATGCCCTACATCACGGCTCTCACATCATAGTACAGTAGATAGTCCAAGTGGTTCAATAGCAACTCTCGAGCAATTTTCAGGATCAGAGAGCATGTGTTTGTGTGCCACTGATGCAATGAGAGCATCAATGAAACATCCACTAATTTTAAAGTCAGCAAGTAGTGAAGCTAGTTTCAGATGACTAAACAGATCCCTCTGCATGAAAGCCCTTCAAGCAAACATTTCATGGAAGACGGCCAAGGACATTCGAAATCTCCATAATGACAGTAAAACCATCATCATCCACAGACTCCCTTCTCTTTTCAACCCAATCCCACACAGACCACCAAGTACATTGAGTTTCATAACCTGTGCCATGGAATACCAGTATGATAGCACCCAGAATGGAAGTGGAGTTGTCAGAAAGGCTTCATGAATAGTGAAACAATAGCCATCAAATCATGCTTGTCCAAAAAGTAGTCAGACGAAGCTGCAAAGCTAAGTGTGACATGGCCACACCCAAAAGGGCGCAAAGCTATGGTCGTAACTCTACAGTAGTCTCATTAGGCAATCTTCAAATAGGAGCTCCATTGGATCTCTAAAGTTGTCCTCGCTGATTCCTCGTGATCTTTTCTTAGGAAACTAACTTGTTTAATCTAACACAGTTGAGCATGGAGTGTCTCTTTTCTCCACACCCATAACAGATCTTCTCGAGTGAACCAGGAGCTATATAGAATTGCAAACCTGGTTGAGGGAAATTTCATCCTCCATCATTTTGTTGATTGTCAAAAGCTTGGTTTCCAGTGTTCCCAGTGGTCCCAGTCTGAGTAGTAGATGCTCCTCCATTTCACTGAAAGGTGGGTATACAATCTTCATGACAGTAAGATCCAACTTAGTTGCATGATAGTACGACAATCCATACTGAGGATCATCAAGAGTCATAGAATTGAGTTGCTTGATAAGCCCCTCAATCTCGTCGATGGGTTCCAAAGATGTATTTGAACTATCCTTGACCTTTGATGAAGGGTTCTTTAGATGTTTTAGAGCCAGAATGATTGCTTTTGTGTTCAGGGAGGGTGTCCTTGACATACAAGTGTTTCTTGTGGGATTTCTTTGTGGATTTGCGAGACTGCAACTCAAATTCTTCTTCTGAATTGCTTGATACAGTGCCAGAGCTAGTAGAGTCAGAAGAACTAGTCTCGGTTTCCAAAGATGAGATTTCAGTCTCATCCTCGGAGATGAGAAAATTGACATTAAAGTGGTCCTGGTGAAGTAACTTCTCTGCAGTTGAAGTAACCTTTTCAACAGGGAATGCCTTTGACAAACTGCACTCGTGTTGCGACCAATTATGTCAGCAAAGCCAGGCAAATGGCTACTGTGAGACACGATTCTAATGTCCCTCACCCTCACTGAACATTTATCGCTGATAACACTGCCGTCCACCTCAACTACAATCCATCTCGCATAGGAGTCAAAGTTGATGATGTCAGTACTGACTTTGACTCACCAGAACTGCATGTTGCACTTTCGGGCTTCTTACAGTGTGATGTGAGAGAGAAAGGAATAGTTCATGGGGTGGGGGGTAGACTGTCGATTGATCCTATTCAATTATGGAACACAGTTCACCTCCAGCAGACATCATTCCATAATCCCACTATTATGTTGCCGGCTCAAATTGTCCATGCCTCTCCTCCTGGCCCTGGGTGGCCAAAAGGTCGACACGACACAATCCTTGTCAATGTGGATACCGCATATAAATGGCCTAAATCAGGTCTATTGGGTGAGTCCTTTTAATCATATGTGTCAATGCATATAATTAACACACTTCCCAAGGTCATACTATCTGTGAACTATGCCTAACCATGTGCCCAATCCCTCATTGAGGTTCTCGTATTACTTGGCGAGATCAGTACCTTTGTTATGTGCGGTGTCTGAAAATTGGGTCCCGTTATCCTGCCACTGGGATGCATATGTTGAAGTGTGCCAAGCATGTAGATCCATCAGCAGCATCATTCCTCGCCTGGGGGATGTGGCGGATGTACAATTGACTTGGGCTACATCCACGCATGACTCCCAAGATTTTCTTTTGAACAAATATTTTGATAAGGACTTTTATTACGCACTTCACTATGCTGCTACCCCTGATAGCCAGATATCAATTCTTCAGATACCTATCCTACTGTTTGTATACTGTTTCAAATGCACGCTAAAGGCTCTCTGAAAGTAAACACTTGTTTTACATGAACACATGCTGCGGTTTAAATTGGATGAATGCACCGCTGATTTTGACAAAAAAATAATTTTAATTAATTCAATTAATACATCTGAGTACCTTACCACACTGAAAGAACTAAAGCAGCAGAACAAATCGCCCCCCATGTCAACATCTTTTGCCAACAATCTTCTAGCAGCTGTTAACACTGTCACCATCCATCCTGTTTGTTGCACGATGGACAAAATGGACATACTCATGAAGGGTGAGTTAGGCCTCCAAGACAAAGATCCCCGGGTTCTGTGGGAGGAGGACCTCCGGCCTAAGACATCCATCCTTGGTACCCTTATCCCTCTATCACATCTCAACACATCAGAAATAAAGAAGATCCCTTACATCAAACAGACACCAGGAAGCCGCACTCAGATACATTGGGCCCTCATTTTTGATAAGAAATGGAGGCTTAAGGATGCATTTCAGAGGAGACACAAGGTGAAAGTTGGGCGTGCTCAGTTGACTAAGTTACAGACAGATACTGACATTGAAATAGAAATAGAAGGGGATTCCATGGTAGAGACGGAGGGCAGCTTAGGGCAGCAGGCTTTGTCAAGGGTGGGACTTTGAAAAGATCAAAGCCTACAGGAGAGCCGGAAGAAAAGAATTGGGAGCACCTTTTCTGGGTGATATACTATCACATGCGTGAGTTGCTCAAGGAGCAAGTTAGAGAGCGCGATATCAATGGATCCCAGCATGCACCATCACAGCCCTTGTCATCACAGTGCTTGCACACTTTGCCCTTCACAGAACTAGTAATCTCCAGTACTGGTCTTCTGAGTTCGCTTCCAATCCTCAGACCCTACAGATTTGCGGAAGCCAGATCTTGTCCTCCTGGATTACAACCTTAGAAAGCTTGATTACTCGAAAAAGTCCTGGAAAGATGTACTCATGGGAGTTGAGATCACCCAATCTGATCTCTCCGCTGATCGCAAAATACCTTTGTTCCTGGGGGTTGCTACCAAGGGCTAAGTGATGATGTGTGAGCAACCATGGTGTCAGTTCATCCTGCTTTTTAGTATATCTAAATTCAAACTTTGTGCCCATTACATGAATCACTCCAGCATGGTGATCTCAAAACCACTCCCGATTGTTGCATCCCCCACACATTTTGTTGATGTGTTAAATACAATCACTTTAGTGCATCGCTCCTTCCTCAGCTTCAATCCAACAATCCATGTCTGCACCTCTTGCCACTTGAACACCACTCTGAATCACCCCAATTTACCGAACGGCTTCAATGTCATGCTTCCTGGGGAGATAGGCTGGGTTTACAACAACGACCAGAATGTGTACTGGATCATGGACATTCTATGGAAAAGCCACAGATTTTTTAAGTGTGGAACTGTCTGCTATCGCGTTTGAGACAAGTCTAATAGGGAGTATGCACTGAAGGATTGTTGGGTCAACAAGGATATCAAAGACATTGAGATAGATCTTCTCAAAGCAGTAGAAGACCTCCCGAACGTGGGATGTGCTTTACAATGGGCAACCCAACTCCACATTGAACATAAGCAGTCATTGCCCGACATTCAAATTCGAGAAAGAATTTCATTGGCGCATTCTCTTGACACCCTGTGGGCTCCCATTGACACACTTCAATGACTTACCTGAGCTAATCAGGGTTTTTCGTAACCTTGTCACTGGTGAGTTCCTTTCACAATCACCCAGAGTCCTCTGTAATAACCATGAATTGTAGCCCACAAGTCAATGGTGGGCTGACGTGTCCTTCATGGAGACCTCAGCCCTAACAATGTCACCATTTATGAAGGAAAAGGCTACTTAGACTTTGACCATGCAAAGTTTCTCGGTGATGATGGAAAAGTGGACCTGAGTCCACGTGGTACTGTGGGTTACATATTACTATATCTCTGCTTGCGTTAATCTCATGGTTTGTAGGGAACTGTACCATACATATCCTTTCATGTTCTCCGCCTAATGGGAGATGGCGATTTGGTTAAACATACGCCCTGCGACGATCTTGAGTCGCTCTTTTACATCCTGCTCGAATTCACTGTTATGTATCTAGGACCAAAAGGCGTACTAGCCCCCCGACCTACCACAGAAGCTTTGCAACGGGACACCATGCGGAGGTGGGTGGTCTCCTTCAAAAACATGACCTGTGATGGTCTCGTGACCAGCAGTGTATGGAAGCGGGAGTTCATTTATGGCAATACTGACTCACCATTAATCACTCCATGTGTTCCGCGATTTCACTTGCAA